GACATCAGTTGCAAAAGCAGAAGCTTCAATGATGGCAAGAAGGACAAGTGAAATGGTTCTTATCAAGAATAATTTGAGTTCTCTCAAGGAATCATTGGTTATCCTTCAATCGAATGCCAAAGCTCAAACACCTGTTGAACAAGTCGAGCAATCACAAGTTGCGACGATAGACGAAGTCAAATCTGATAAAGTTTTGAAAATTGTAGAGGTGACTGACGAAAAAGAACAGAAGGTTCCAGATGCAGAAGAAGTTCCGAAACATGAAGAAGTTCAAGAAGCAATCATATCCAAGGACGAAAAGATTGTTGAAGTCACTGTTGAGAAGGAACAGAAAGCTCCAGATTCCGACAAAGTTTCAAAGCAAGAAGAAATTCAAGAACCCGCTATTTCCAAGGATGATAAGCCTTCAGAAGAACAACCACAGCCATCGACAGTTTCTGAGGTTGAACCAAAATCTGAAGCCTCTGTAAAAGTATCCGAAGTTAATGAAGTAACAGTTGAAATGAATGTTACATTAAAGAAAGCTAAAGATGATATCGAAACCACAATGAAATCAATGAAGAATGTCAGAAGACTTCCCTCTGAAGTTCAAGCTATTGAAGAAGTTCTTGCAAACACTTTCGAAAATATTTCTGATTTGGCTTCAAATGAGAAACAGTTGCAAGATGTTGTGACATCAGTTGCAAAAGCAGAAGCTTCATTGATGGCAAGAAGGACAAGTGAAATGGTTCTTATCAAGAATAATTTGAGTTCTCTCAAGGAATCATTGGTTATCCTTCAATCGAATGCCAAAGCTCAAACACCTGTTGAACAAGTCGAGCAATCACAAGTTGCGACGATAGACGAAGTCAAATCTGATAAAGTTTTGAAAATTGTAGAGGTGAATGACGAAAAAGAACAGAAGGTTCCAGATGCAGAAGAAGTTCAAGAAGTAATCATATCCAAGGACGAAAAGATTGTTGAAGTCACTGTTGAGAAGGAACAGAAAGCTCCAGATTCCGACAAAGTTTCAAAGCAAGAAGAAATTCAAGAACCAGCTGTTCCCAAGGATGATAAGCCTTCAGAAGAACAACCACAGCCATCGACAGTTTCTGAGGTTGAACCAAAGTCTGAAGCCTCTGTAAAAGTATCCGAAGTTAATGAAGTAACAGTTGAAATGAATGTTACATTAAAGAAAGCTAAAGATGATATCGAAACCACAATGAAATCAATGAAGAATGTCAGAAGACTTCCCTTTGAAGTTCAAGCTATTGAAGAATTTCTTGCAAACACTGTCGAAAATATTTCTGATTTGGTTTCAAATGAGAAACAGTTGCAAGATGTTGTGACATCAGTTGCAAAAGCAGAAGCTTCATTGATGGCTAGAAGAACAAGTGAAATGATTCTTATCAAGAATAATTTGAGTTCTCTCAAGGAATCATTGGTTATCCTTCAATCGAATGCCAAAGCTCAAACACCTGTTGAACAACAAGTCGAGCAATCACAAGTTGCGACGATAGACGAAGTCAAACCTGATGAAGTTTTGAAGATTGTAGAGGTGACTGACGAGAAAGAACAGAAAGTTCCAGATGCAGAAGAAGTTCCGAAACATGAAGAAGTTCAAGAAGCAATCATATCCATGGAGGAAAAGATTGTTGAAGTCACTGTTGGGAAGGAACAGAAAGCTCCAGATTCCGATAAAGTTTCAAAGAAAGAAGAAATTCAAGAACCGGCTGTCACCTGGGATGATAAGCCTTCAGAAGAACAACCGCAGCCATTGACAGCTTCTGAGGTTGAACCAAAGTCTGACGCCTCTGTAAAAGTATCTGAAGTTAATGAAGTAACAGTTGAAATGAATGTTACATTAAAGAAAGCTAAAGATGATATCGAAACCACAATGAAATCAATGAAGAATGTCAGAAGACTTCCCTCTGAAGTTCAAGCTATTGAAGAAGTTCTTGCAAACACTTTCGAAAATATTTCTGATTTGGCTTCAAATGAGAAACAGTTGCAAGATGTTGTGACATCAGTTGCAAAAGCAGAAGCTTCATTGATGGCAAGAAGGACAAGTGAAATGGTTCTCATCAAGAATAATTTGAGTTCTCTCAAGAAATCATTGGTTATCCTACAATCGAATGCCAAAGCTCAAACACCTGTTGAACAACAAGTCGAGCAATCACAAGTTGCGACAATAGATGAAGTCAAACCTGATGAAGTTTTGAAGATTGTAGAATTGACTGACGAGAAAGAACAGAAGGCTTCAGATGCAGAAGAAGTTCAAGAAGCAATTATAACCAAGGACGAAAAGATTGTTGAAGTCACTGTTGAGAAGAAACAGAAAGCTCCAGATTCCGACAAAGTTTCAAAGCAAGAAGAAATTCAAGAACCCGCTATTTCCAAGGATGATAAGCCTTCAGAAGAACAACCACAGCCATCGACAGTTTCTGAGGTTGAACAAAAATCTGAAGCCTCTGTAAAAGTATCCGAAGTTAATGAAGTAACAGTTGAAATGAATGTTACATTAAAGAAAGCTAAAGATGATATCGAAACCACAATGAAATCAATGAAGAATGTCAGAAGACTTCCCTCTGAAGTTCAAGCTATTGAAGAAGTTCTTGCAAACACTTTCGAAAATATTTCTGATTTGGCTTCAAATGAGAAACAGTTGCAAGATGTTGTGACATCAGTTGCAAAAGCAGAAGCTTCAATGATGGCAAGAAGGACAAGTGAAATGGTTCTTATCAAGAATAATTTGAGTTCTCTCAAGGAATCATTGGTTATCCTTCAATCGAATGACAAAGCTCAAACACGTGTTGAACAACAAGTTGAGCAATCACAAGTTCCAAAGATAGACGAAGTCAAACCTGATGAAATCTTGAAGATTTTAGAAGTCACTGGCGAAAAAGAACAGAAGGCTTTAGATGCAGAAGTTCCAAAACAAAACGAAATTCAAGAAGCAATCATATCCAAGGACGAAAATATTGTTGATGTTGCTTCTGGAAAGAATCAGAAAGTTTCAGAAACGGAGAAAGAATTACCTTCAGCAGTTTCTGATGTTCAACCAAAGTCTGAAGATGCTGCAAAAATACCTGAAACAAATACTGACATTGGTAATGCTTTGAAGAAAGCTAAGAATGAAATTGAAAGCACAATGAAATCAGTGAAGGATGTTAAAAGACTTCCCTCTGAAGTTAAAGCCACAGAACAGATTCTTTCTGATGTTCTGGAACACATTTCTGATTTAGTTTCAGATAAGAAAAAATTGCAAGATGTTCTTGTATCTGTTGAAAAAGCTGAAGTTTCGATGGCAGTCAAGAAAACCACTCCAATGATTCTCATCAAAAATAATTTGAGTTCTCTCAAAGAGTCATTGGTTATCCTTCAATCGAACGTCCAAACGCAAGCACCTGTTGAGCAGCAAGTCGAGCAATCACAAGTTTCAAAGATAGACGATGTCAAACCAGATGAAGTTTCGAAGATCGTAGAAGACACTGCTGAAAAGGATCAGAAAGTTCCAGAAAAAGAAAAAGAATTACCTTCAGCAGTTTCTGATGTTCAACCAAAGTCTGAAGATGCTGCAAAAATACCTGAAGTTACTGAAACAAATACTGACATTGGTAATGCTTTGAAGAAAGCTAAGAATGAAATTGAAAGCACAATGAAATCAGTGAAGGATGTTAAAAGACTTCCCTCTGAAGTTCAAGCCACAGAACTGATTCTTTCTAATGTTCTGGAACACATTTCTGATTTAGTTTCAGATACGAAAAAGTTGCAAGATGTTCTTGTAGCTGTTGAAAAAGCTGAAGTTTCGATGGCAGTCAAGAAAACCACTCCAATGATTCTCATCAAAAATAATTTGAGTTCTCTCAAAGAGTCATTGGTTATCCTTCAATCGAATGTCCAAGCGCAAGCACTTGTTGAACAACCAGTCGAAGAATCACAAATTGCAGAGATAGAGAAAGTCGTTTCTGAAAAGGAGCAGAAGACACCAGATGAAGACAAAGTTTTGAATCAAGAAGACAATCAAGAAAAGATCCTTTGTAAGGTTGAAAAGCTTTCACAAGCAAAGGAATTGCAATTGCAAGATTCTGGTGTTCGGCTTGAATCTTCAGCTTTAATATCAAATGAAGATTTGAAATTATTTGCTAAATCAGGAGAACAAGTTCTGAATCATGATCAAACTAAGATACAAGATGATCCAATAAAGAACGATCGCACTAAGCAACATGTTGATCCTTTGATTTCCAATTCCATCAGGAAGGAGATTTCTTCCTATGAATTTTCTAATTCAGATTCACAGCGTCATTCCCGAAGAGAATTGAAAATTATGCCTACTTTTATTGCACGTTTGAGAAATAGATCAGCTGCTGCAAACTCTATAATAAAATTGACGTGCGCAGTTTCTGATCCCGAATGTTCTACATGTTGGTCAAAGGATGATGTAAAAATTTCCAATTCAAACAAGTATTCAATTGAAAATACTAATGGTGTACTCTCATTGGAAATAAAAAATGCTACAACTCAAGATGCTGGAAATTATTCTTGTGTGGTGTCAAACAATTATGGAGAAGTTGAAACTACTTCTTCGCTTGCAATTTATAGTGAAGATGTAGTTCACTCATCGCCTGTGTTTACGAAAAATCTAAAAGGTGAGTATTTCTCCACATTTCTTATTAGGATATTTTCAAAAGGCAATAGTTTTAATCAATATAAATTCGTTAGTGTTATTATAAAACACATTTTTTTTTCTCATATTCTTTTATTGCTATCAGAAATTTACAATAAATTTATAGGACAGCTTCTTAACTAAAAACTTTAAACTTTTATCTCGCGGCGTTATTGCTTGAGGATCAATGACACATACGGAACAAAATTCATTTAAAACTTCAATAAAGAAATGTACTATGAATGTTTCACTTACAAAGCAAATTGTGTTTATTTCTCAACTTGTGACATCAACAGATCGAATCTTCACTAAAGGCACACTTGTTGGTGAAAATGCCAGCAGTAAAATAATAATGATCACTAGAAACGCGATGATTCCATCAACGATTGACGTTCTCATCATAACCATTCCAGTGACGAAACGTAAATGAAAGAAAAACTGTCGAAACGGAAATCTGAACATGAAAGTTTTAGTCATTGATAAGATAAGAACGATAAGACCGACCATGTTGATGACAAAAACAACACGAAAAATCCCAAATGTCTATTTACCTTCAAATATTGACTTATGAGAAGTCGAGTGATGGTCAGAACGAAGCATCAATGAACATTTTTTCGTGTGTAAAATCTGATTTAAAACTTCATAATTGGAATCCAATCTGACTTTTCCAAGACACTTTCTTATCAGACTTTAATTCTCCGATTTCCAACTATAAATTTACTCTTTTATGTGTACATAAATTGAAGATAAAAGTGATACATAAATAATTAGTTTACAACACCAATTTACACGAGTCTCATTAAGTAAAAACCAAGTTGAAGTAAAGAAGAAGAATAGTTAATCACACGAAGATTTTACGAAAGCCGCATAAAACGATAGAACCATAAAACAATAAAACAAAAAGTCATCAAAACTGTTCCCACTTCATACTTACGTTCAATTCGTCGGGTAATTCAGTTTTCAGTGAAACGCTGACAAAGCAAGTTGTGCTTCAATTTCACAGTCGGAATTTTTAATAAAATTAAAAATCGTCTCTTTAATCTCTGCTTAAGATTATTAAATTTATTAAGAGGCAATGTGTGAACCAATTGAGTGAGTACAAAGATTTATTTATAATTAAATTGATAATCCTGAACTGCAATGCTGATAACTTTCGTTTTCATTTGACGTGATTTATTTGTTTGATTAGGAGTTTGATTTTCTGAGTTATTTTAAAGATTTTTTATTGCTTCGAATTTCTCATAATTTCCAGTCAGCTGTGGTTGATATCGACTTTGACAAATTTGTTATCAAAATAAAATCCCTGGAAAAATGAAATAAAATAATTAATCATTAATGACATTTTCAACAAGGAAAAATGATCTTTGATTATAATCTTTTAATTCCATGAAATGAATTTTATAAATAGAAATTGAAAAAGAAGTTAATTGAATTTAATGAGTTCTTATCTACAAGACTTCCGTCTTTTTAATAATCTTTATCCTTTCAAGTACAAATGAATTAAAGGATGATTCACGAATTTACTTTTTATCCAACTTTTTGATAAGAAATTTAAGTTTAAATGTGTTGTAAAAATAATTGATAAGAATTTACTTTTATGTAAATAAGTGGAACGAAAGCGCTAAAATTAAATGAATTAAACTTCTTTAAATGGTTGACACTTAAACGTGTTTATCTCACTTACGTTGCCTCGTATTGATCCGATATCAATGATATCAAACAGCTGTTTCACTCGTAAAGATGAGTCCGTTTGTATTAAGCTTGCATCATAATCTACACATGGCCTTGTGAGTTGTGATAAGAGTTTAAGCGGGAGAGTCAAATAAATTTGTAGCATCGTGGTGAAGAGACTGCTGATAAGATGAACAAGGTCTTTGCATTATCAAAAGAAAAAGGTGAAAAGCAGAAAATAACGCATGACCTAAAATATTTCTTTTTTATGTTGCTAACAACTGTGTCAAGACCGGCAATTGTTGAACTCAATTCTTGCTTCTGTTCATTGTTTTAATAGTAAAGAAATTTAAAATTTAGAATGTCATGAAGTGCAGTATGATGAGTCATTCTGCAGGAGATTTCCAAATTAAAAAGTTGCAAAAGGAATTCCGCCAACTCATTTTTATCTTGTTTTAAAATGCGCAAGCGCTCAAAATTACTATGAGAGTGGCGATGATAACTAAGACAGAAGCTTCACAGAAGTAGATAAGACTTGTTCGTCTATCAATCTTTTTAATTGTATCGAAGAAAACCGATTCGATGATGTNTATAAAACACATTTTTTTTTCTCATATTCTTTTATTGCTATCAGAAATTTACAATAAATTTATAGGACAGCTTCTTAACTAATTTTATTTAGAGAGAATTTAATATCTTATTATTCAACTTTAAATTTTAAATTTTAATTAATTCAAGTTTTTATAATTTTTCATTCTTATAAAAAATATTTTTAAATTCTTATTTCTATAATTTTACTTAAACGCTTCGTTCTTTGTTCAATCAAGGGGAGAGAATTTAATTTTAATTTGTTTCAATTTAATGTGTTGTGTTTATTTTATGGTTTGAGATTTAAGATTAATTGAACAAAACTCTTAACTCAACTGATAAACTCTTCCAATGTTAGAGAAAAAGTGATAAATATTACAAACCATATTAAGAAATAATAATAATAATACTATGTAGAAGAATATTTTCATATATTGATATTTTCAAAGTACTTGCGTAAAAGCAAATGTTCAAATGACTGCCTGTTGATGCATCATTGATGATAAAATGAAATAAACATCTTTTATTCCGAAAAAAAAAAATTAAAAATAGATTGTTCAACGATTCATCGTCTAATTTACAATCTATTAATTGTCTCAAGTGCATTTAAAAAATTCTTTTTATGAAATCCTGATCACGAGAATTTAAAAGTGTTAGTACATCCATCGGCTGTCGTATAAATTAAATTGAGCTAATACAATTACTCGAAAAAATATTCAGCTTTTTTAAGTGAGAATCAAATTTCGAAGTGCAGTTTTCTTCGTGCTTTCTGAAGTGGAGGTAATCTCAGTGACATACTCAAGTGTATGCTTTTTTCTTTTGAAATTAATTTCACAAAATAAATTTATTTTCGCAGAGCAAATTGGGTTACAAAGTGATATTTTTAAGACGTTTTATAATCAAAGCGATAGAAAATATATATTGAAAGTGCTCTGAAAATTTGATAAAATATGGTGCGTGAGAGACGAGTAAAGAAAAGTAAGTCAAAAGATGTGGAAGAACCAGTTGTCACTGTTCCGGACACTTTGGCTGTACCAGCAGAACCAAAAATTAATCGCTATTTCAAACGCGAGAAATCACCATTTGAGGTAGGAGATAAAAAAGAATTGCAGGTAGCGTCATCACATGCCATCATCGACAAGGCATGTGTGATGGATATTTCTGGTGGTGCTGCAGGGGTTGCTGGAAAAATGGATGAGTATATCAATTTGTTGTTCACCGATTATTGCTCCCTCGACAAAGCAAGTTGTGCTGATATTAGCGAAGTGAAAATTGTTATTATCGAAGAGGAAGAAACAGAACCTGTTGTTATCGTTCCGGAACGTTCAATTGAAGAACAAGATGCTTCTTTGAAGGCGGAAAAAGCAAATGCTGAGAGAAAAGCCGAAGAAGCTCGTATTCAGGCAGAGACTGAAGAGCAAGAACGAATTGCACGAGAAGAAACTGAAAAAATCGCTAAAGAAGAAGCAGAAAAAGCTGCAGCCGAAGAAGCTGAAAAAAAGCGTCTTGAAGAAGAGGAAAAAGCAAGAATCGTAAGTACAAATTTGGTTCAAATCAACACGTTGCAAATTGGCTGTTTGCTTAAATGCATGACTCATATATTAATTAGGCTGCGGAGAAAGAAAAAGAAAGATTAAAAGCGGAAGCAGAAGCTAAACAAAAAGCTGAAGCAGAAGAAAAGGTAAATAGAATCATAGGTAGGGTTGAAACACATAGCGTTTATATACCATAATAAACAAATAAGAAAACAAGCATTCACCAGACAACTAAACACTCAGTCATATCTAGTTTAAAGACTATTTTTGTGACATTAATTTTAAACAACACTCAAGGCCCGAATAGCTGCAGAAGAAGAAGAACGAAGAATAGCCGAAGAAGAGAAAGCACGAAAAGAAGCCGAAATAGCTAATTACGACTCCGATAGAGATTTAATTCCCCCAAAAGAAGAGCCAGGTATTGATTGGGAAGCCGTTGAAGAGGAAGAACCTGCAATTCCGGCGGTCTTGCAAGAACTTCTTCTAGAACGTTCAGTTGCTGCTGAAACTGAAACAGAAAGTGAAAGTGAAATGACAGAAAAAGATCGCGATTTAGAATGGCAACGTCAACGTCAGATGATGAGACCACCTTTGGTGATTACTCATTTAAAATCGCGTGCAGTTGCTACATGTACAACAGCTAAATTAACTTGCAATGTCACCGGGCCAGGAATTTTGGTTCGATGGTTGAAAAACGGTGCTCCCATTGAAATCAATCCTAATAAGTACAAGTTTTTTAATAGGGAGGGTTTGTTAAGTTTGGAAATTTCAAACGTCGATAAATCTGACAATGCAGAATATACATGCTTCGTAAAAAATAAGAACGGTGAAACATCAACTGTAGCTAGTTTAACAGTTTATGATAATTTAGATCTTGACCGTCCAATTCCTCCGACCTTCATCACAATTAAAGGTAACTTAGTTTGAATATACACTACAACAAGTGATTTGAAAGTAAAAGTTCAAAAGATGAAAATTATTTTAAAATATTTAATACAAATTATAGTCATGTTAAATTACACTCTTCATTAGTTAAAATATTCAGTGTTCTTCTATGCATAACTCTCGTTTTAATTATGAAAGCTAAAAAATATTTTTCTTAATTACATAATAAATTAAAGCTCAAAAGTCGCTTGACGAAGAGAAACCAGTAGAGGAAGAAAAAGTCGAACTTGATAAATGGGGAGATCCAATTAAAAAAAGCAAGAGGAAGGTACGTCCATTATCATTATGGGCTCAAAGGGAAAAACTAGAATTCACTGTTCATTTGCACAAAATGACAGTAATCGAAGATAAAAATGCTCGATTTATCTGTGGTGTCAGTGGTGGAGGCAAACTAGAAATCCTTTGGTATAAAAATGGAAAGAAGATAAGATTCGAAAGAACACCACGAATATTAGATTATTCGAAAGACTCAACAGGCTGTATAGGTATTGAATGTACGCAGCCAAGTGATGCTGGAATATATTCATGCACTTTCACCGACATCGATAAAAATGAATCTTTATCAACATCATGTGAACTGATTGTTGTCCCAAGAATTCATAAAACTAAAGAGTTGGCTCAAAAAGTTCCCCCAACCTTCGTTCGTAAACTTCAATGTAAGTAAAGAATTAAATTTATTTAAATGAAGTCTTTATATTTTAGGTTTAGGTTATGCAAGCATAAATATCTTGCAACTGAAACCTAAAATTAGAAGCTTTACTTTAAAGTCATCTTGATACAGAAACAATTTAAATCTAATTATAGTTCTCTTCATTTATTTTTATTTCATGTTGATTTCCGTCGACATTGCATCAAATAAAAATATCAGACACACACAAATTGGAAGAAAATCAATTGATTGTTCATTGCAAAATATTTGGCAACCCTGAGCCAACAATCAAGTGGTTTAAGGATAAAATTCCACTAAACATGTTTTCAATTCCTCGCTATACAATTTACAATCATCCTGATGACTTGCATGAACATACAATTGCATCTTTGATTGTAGAGTCACCGTCGTATTTAGATAATGGAGATTACATAATTGAGATTGAAAATGAAATGGGAGTTGAAAAACGTGTATTAAATGTGCAATTTCAAACGGAAGAAGAATATAACAATCTTTATTTTCAAAAATATTTGGAACACAAAGAAAATCTTAAGTATCATCAATATCAACCAGGAGAAACACGTTGGGAAGACGTTGTTCCGGAAGTTAAAGAATTTGTTTTCTGGGAACCAGAAGAAGAAAAGGAAAATAATAAAAATAATAAGAAGAAACGTAAGAAAAAGCGTAAAATATTGAAAACTATTGTAACTCCTTGGGGTGATGAGAAACAAGTCGAAGTGACTGATGAAGAAGACAGCGGAGAATCTATTTATGACAGCGAAGATGAAAAACAAGAAAAAAAATCAGAAACACCTGAAGATGAAGGAGACAATGGTTGGAATGTTGAAGGAGAAGTTGCTTTGAGCGAAGAAGAAGGCGATGCGAATAAATCAGAATCAAAGGTCGACGAATTAATGGATCAAGAACAATCTCAAATTGTTGAAACATCAGAAGATAAAGAATCAAATACTGAACCACAGATTACTGACGAAAATAAAGTGTCTGGAGAGGTTGAGAAAGACCTTGAACATTCTGAAGAAATTGAAACTGAAAACGTTTTCAATGATAATAAAGTGCTAGAAATTCAACAAGATTTTGAAGCCCTTCAGCTAGAAGAAGACAATAAAACCAATGAAAGAAAATCTCAAGAGGTCGAAGAACTTGAAAATTATATTTCAACAAGGAAAACAGTTCAAGAAGAACATCCCATAATTTTACGTAGACCTAAATTTTACATCACCGACTTCCAACTAAGGAAGAAATTTTATTTTGTAAACAAATTGATTGACGTTGAACTTCTCAAAGGCAAAACATTGACAATGCAAAGTTTAAGTTCTTCAATTGGCCCAGTTACATGTGAATGGCGTCATAATGGTCGCTTAATTAAAGCTCCAACAGCACGAAAAACGATTGAATTTTATCCCAGAAAGAATTTAACTATTTTGGAAATAGAAAACACTCGTGTCTTAGACAGTGGAACATACACAGTAACAGTTTACAACGACTATACTGAGCCTTTGATAGATTCTTGTAAAGTCATGATTACGGTTCCTAAGCCAAAAGAAACTGCCGACCAACCGCCAACTTTCACAAGATTACTCACAGGTATAAATCATATTCGTTTAATTAAACTATGAAATATTTTATATTAGATAAGCTTTCGGCATAATTTAATGATAATTTCGAGAGAAAAGATAAAAAAATTATTAATTAACAAAAACTTAGGCTATGAAAATAAAATAAAACATGAGACGTATGAAAATTTTTGTTTGAGAATGTCATCATTTCATCATTTCATTAAATTTTATCATTTTATAGATAAATATATTGAAAGGACCGACGAACTTATACTTGACTGTCATGTTCGTGGAAATCCCAAGCCAACAATTCAATGGTTTAAAAATAATTTAGAGATATTACCTGATCGAAATGAACGTTATCGTGTCGTATATGACGATGAAGGTACTTGTACTTTGACAATTTCGAACCCTATCAAACATGCAGACAGAGGTCGGTATGAAGTAAAAGCGAAAAATTGTATGGGAGAAGACGCATGTTATTTGCGAGTCTGGTTTCGAGGTAAAGATGACGGCGACGATAAAGCTGAAAAAGCTGAGTATCGAAGAACTCAAAAAATGTTTAAAAGTCGTCATGTTAAGCCCAAAGATGAAGACGAATGGCAACAAGAGTTGTATCATTCGAAACGATTGGATAAGCAAAAGGAATACGACCATCGATACAAGTTAAGTTGGCTGACTCATCCTTATCCCCAAACTCTTGCACAAGGCTCTACTTTGAAATTTACAGCTTTTGTCGATGGAAAATATCCGCAATTTGATTGGTATTACAATGATATCCCACTTATTCATGGTCGTAAATACCGTCAAATTGTTACGAAGAACGGTAAAGGTTCTCTCATTATTAATAATGTTCAACCAAGCGATTCAGGGCTTTACAAGCTCATAGTGAAAAATTATGCAAATAGCATTGAATCTGAAGCGAAAGTAACAGTTTATGCATATGAACACAAAAACTTTGAACCTCCTTTGTTCACAAATACGTTATCAGGTAATATAAAATCATTATTGAAGGGAATCGGAGAATTAAAACTTCTTGAAAAGTTTTTCTTGTTAGATATGCGTTACATCTAATAATTGTTATTTGTTGTGTTCGAGCCTTTTGAAAATATTTAATTAATTTTTTTTTTTTGTTTTATGTTTATTAATTAAAATATTTTTGTCTACATAGATTCATACGACACTGTAACTAACCAGCTTGTTATTGAATGTAATATCAACCCTTCATTAGACTTCAAAAAGCATAGATTCAAATGGTATAAAGATGATTCTGAAATTCGAACATCGTTCATTCCATCTGAAGGCATGCTAACGACCTACGAACAAAACTTCGATGATAATACCGGAAAACTGATGCTTATTATTACTTATCCCATGAATATTGATTGTGGGTTGTATCGATGCTGCATTTTAGACAATAATCTTAAAAAAGTTGATGAGATATCACATTTGGTCTATAAAATTTTCAATCCACCTCCACATTTACCGGCTGAAAGCTATAAATTCAGCGATAAAAAGAATTCATTGATATTCGAGCAAATATTGAACGATGTGTCAACAGAAGAAGGAAGACAAAGCATTCGTTTAAATTGTAAATTACCTCAATTAAATTCACGCCTTGACATCAAATGGTATCGAAATAACGAAGAAATTCTTATCGAACAAAAACGTGAGAAATATCGTTTCACGAAAGCTTATAATCGCTTATGTTTGGAAATATTAAACCTGACTATTGATGATGCCGGTACTTACGAATGTAAAGTTAAAACTTCAAATGCCGACACTTCTACAAAATGCAATGTTTACGTTAACAAAAACGAAAGCAAAACTTACTCAGGAAACCAACAAAAAGGTAAAAATATTTATTTATTAATTCAACTTCTTTACAATTTATTACCGGCATTTTTCAGAATGGAATAATTTCACCAGCGAGTCTGATAATAATATCGTTGAAAGCACAAATAAAATTCTCTTAGACCGTACTTCAGTTGATACAAACACTTTCATTAGAGGATCATCATCAGGATTTTGTGAATCTAATTCATCAGCACAACGACCTATTTTTGCGACTCCCCTAAGCGATCGAACAATAACCGAAAATACTTCTTTTGTTAAATTTACATGTTCAGTTTTATCAACCGATTGTGATATTTCATGGGAAAAGAATGGCATACCGATACGACCATCATCAAAATATCGTCAAACATTCTCAGATGGGTTAGCAATTTTAGAGATATCTAATTTGGATGATGATGATGAAGCAAAGTATAGTTGCATCGCTTCAAATAGGTTCGGTGAATGTGTAACTTCGGCAAAGTTAAAAGTTTTTAGTGGATTTAAACCATCTGTTAACACTCCACCTGTTGTTACCCGCCAGATGAAAGGTAGAATTCATTTACCAAATTCATTTTTAATAACTTTTTTTATTGTTTTTCCATTAAAAGATTAACATGACTATGATTTTATAAATTCTTTTTTACCAAAACAATTTTTTAGGATTTCTTTCTTTTTAGAACTTTTATTTTAAGAGCTATGAAGGTTTGAATATTTTTAAATTTATTTTGTGAATCGGGTTACAGAAAGCTACAATCTACATAATGATGTATTGACATTGGAATGTCGTGTAAGAGGAACGCCTAAACCACACGTTCAGTGGATGAAAGATGGCGATTATATAATCCCAGGTGACAAATACGAACAGTGCGAACTTTCTGATGGTACATGTAAATTGATTATTGCGACACCTGACCCTGAAGAAGATTCCGGAACTTACACATGCGAGGCAGAATGTAATGGTTGCAGTGATAGCATTAGTCATAATGTTCAATATGAGGGCTCTGTTGAGAATCAATTTAATCGTATGCATCGTTATTACCATCGTGACCCTCTCAAGCCATACTTCAAGACAGGGCTTACTGATTGCAATATTTCATCTGGTGGAACAATCGCTTTGTTTATTGAAACAGCCCCAAATTGTGAGGCAGAATGGTTCCGCGATAGATGGACGATTGACCACAAACCACCAAAGCGTTATATCTTCAATGATGGAAACGGATTTTTCGCTTGCGTTATAAATCATGCGACAATGGACGAGTCTGCTAAATATATTTGTAAAGTTACGAATTCTTATGGCACATCACAGTCATCATCATATGTTGATATTATTAATCCAAACAGTGTTGGAAAAGGCCAAAAGCCGCCAACATTTTTGACTCGACCACAAACTGAAATTAAAATCCGTGCTGGTGACCCATTTTCAATGTCGTTTAGAGTTCAAGGAGAACCTAAACCAAGAAGTAATTTTATTATTTATTACCTTCATGAGATGACAAATAACATCGATACTTTTTTTTTCCTTTCATTTCGAAGTTCAATGGTTCAAAGGGGCAAGAGAAATAACGAACGCTGGAAGAACAATCAAAGAAGTTTTCAATGATTACGTCAGATTTTCTATTAAGGAATCAAAGGAGAGTGATTGTGGTATCTATTTCATTGTAGCACGCAATAAACATGGTGTAGACAGAGCTTTCTGTCAGGTCACGGTGAGTTCTTGATTAAAACAGCTTACATTTATTAAGACAGTTAAACAATTTATAAGCGAAAACTATATAATTTTAACACATAAAACTAAACTTCCATATTGATTTCATCAAGCTTCTCCCACTAAACAATATTATAATTTGCTTGATTTTTTAATTTTTTAATTATTTCTCTTATAATTTTGCTTCATTCCATTTTAACAATAATGACCATTATTGTCCAAACGGACTCCATCCATTTTGCGGGGAAATATTTGGTTTGCATTGGGATATTCTTAGGTTAAGCAAGCCCGAACAGGCAAAAAAGATGAAAAGAAAATTGAAACCGTTAATGAAACCGACAGGTCAGAGAAAGGCAGGGAGTAACTGATGATAACAATCTGTCACCAAACATCGAGATTACCGATGCTTTATATTTGAAAAGTAAGTTTTTATACGTAGATTAATTACAGTACATGTTCTGAATTTCATTTCTGTATTAAATTATAAAATCATTTTTAAGTGTATTTAAATCACAAATACAATTTGCGGCTAATAATCAAATTGAGTGAAGTTTACAAAAAAGTGTCTTAAAATTCTTACAAAATGTTGTAACTAATTGAAATTGTCACCTATTAGGTAAGTCTGAAAATGTTAATTTGTTAATAAATGTACTAAATTGAGCTTTTATTTACACTCTGGGAATTAATCATTTTTTCTTTATATTTTCGTTTAGCTTTAGGAGTTAACAAAGCGACTACATGATTAAAAGAGCGTATAGTTTTTTTTTTGCTTACTTCTTGGCGTGATTACAGACGAAATCAACGATAATTGAACTACTTTGTATGTTGATCATCGAAATATTTTTATTGATTCATTAAATTAATTAGGTATTTTTAGCAGAAAATAGTTTGCTGTATTTAAACTTTTTTATGATTTTGTTTTTATTTATTCTACGTCTTCATAGAATGGAAGTTTTTAATATCTTATCAATCTCCCATTTTTTTTTATTTGAAACTTTACTTTTAATGAGAATTGATTTGTATTATTTACATTAAAGTAATATACTTTTAGCTCAACATTTTTCTGCCTATCCATCTAAGCTCTCCAATATTGTAATGATTGAGTTCAGATTTTTATTCCTTTTTCTAAAAGCTCATATTTATGTAACGATCGATTGATATGTTAAGCACGAAACATCGAATTGATGTAGAAACATTTGTATTGAATAAATTATAAAATAAAACTAATAAAATGATTTAACTAATAAATAAAACATTTTATTTCATTATTTTTAAAGAATAACTCAGAACATTACCTTCATTTTTTAATTCATTTAAATTATTATTCATAAGTTACACTTTCATTTGTACGTATTGTTCAGATCCACCAGGTGCAATTCCACACGAGCCCATGATTACTGATACTTAAGAGCAACAATCATGTAAGTTTGTCTTGGATGAAGCCATTATGTCATGATGCAGCGCCTGTTATTAGTTATCGTGTGGATGCATGGCTTGTAGGAAAAGAAGGGGATGCATCATGGAAAGAAATCGGAACATCCCCAATAGCAAGCTTTGATGTATTCAATTTAAAACATGGTTGTGAATATCATTTCCGAGTCACGCCTCGAAATCGTTATGGGTATGGGCCTTCAACGCAAACAACATATCCAATTATGTTCGGGGATGTTGTCAAATTACCGGAATTCACAAAAATTTTGCCGGGTCAACTCAAAGCACTTATCAATAATGACATTACTTTAGAATGTGTTGCAATGGGTTCGCCTCGCCCGACAATCATCTGGTATAAAGATGGTATTCGAATTGATGGCAACGAGAAACGTGTCATATCTATAATGGGACCACTTTGTCGTTTAACTATTCATAACATCAGTGAAAGTGACAGTGGGAGGTATACATGTGAGGCGTCAAACAAAGAAGGTCGAGTTTCAACCTTTGCTCGCCTACAAAGTGTATCAGATCCGAAATTATTCGAAGCTGATACAAAATTAAAGAAGAACATAGAAACTGATATAGAAAATCTGGATGAAATGTTGCCACAATTTACGATGCGTTTGAGAGATCGTCGTGTACAATGTACTTATCCAGTTCGATTAACATGTCAAGCTTTGGGTGTTCCAAGTCCCGTAGTTACCTGGTATAAAGATGGTGTTAAAATTGAAGAAGATGAAAGAATTGCATTCTTGCAAGAAGATCAATTCAGTACACTTGAAATATCAAGAACATATCTGGAAGATTGCGGACAATATACCGCATCTGCTCAAAATGAACTTGGTTCAGTATCATGTCATTGTAACTTAATTGTCGATAAAGGTATTCGTGCTTATATCGCGCCAGAGTTCTTGAAAACTTTAGACTTAGCTTACACATGTAATGAAGATGGAGAAATCTTCTTGCAAGCTCAAGTGGAAGCTTATCCAGCAGTTGGTGTGACGTGGCATCTTAATGGTCTTCGATTACGACCTAGTCGAAGGATAATAGCTTCTTTAGAAACTGACGGATTAATAACTTTGAATATTAGTGAAGTAACAATTAAAGACGCAGGAGTGTATACATGTGTAGCATCAAATGCAGTCGGACGTATTGAAAGTACTTGTAGAGTTCATGTTAACGAAAATGTTAATAAAAAGCTTAACATACCGTCCATTGTCAGCCCTGATACGCCGTAAGTTAAATAACGCAAACAATTTTCATTTTCCTTCATTAAAATTTGATTTTCACTCAGATATTCAAAAGAACCTATGTTCTTAACAAAGCCACGTTCGAGCGAAGCATTTGAAGGCGACACTGTTATCATTATGTGTGAAGTTATTGGTGATCCCAAACCCGAAGTTGTTTGGCTGCGAGATTTCTTGAAAGTAAGTTTTTTCTTTTAAATTAAAATGTTTCAAAGTCATCCACATAAAGTTAAAATGTCTTTTGACGTTAGTTATGTATACTTGTCGTGGAAAACAATCATCTCCATGAATATGATGGATGAATAATAAATTGGCAATTTCGTTGTAAATTACATACAAGCCGGACTTACCTACAAAATACTGCATTACGTAAACATACATTCTGCAAGCCAGTTCATGGACATTTCTATATAAATAAATCCAGGCTATTAAAATGCATTTCAATCAACAAAATTTCATTAAAATTATTTCAAACAATCTTTAAAATTTTATCTTAACATGTTTGAGTTTGGAGATGTGTAAATATTTACAACCAACTCATTTATGAAAATGTCAGTTGAACTTGAAAATGGTTTGTCTTTTACCCAAACTTTCAAGCTACTCGCTGCAAATAGCAAACACTCAAAACTTCAATGAATACATGAACATTTTTTATTACGCTCTCTTTCTCTTAAGCTAAGAGAAGAATAAAAGAAAAGGAAAAAAAGTTTTTAAAAATACTTTTTTGAGTTAGTAAGTCCATGTGTAGTGTACACAATTTCAGAGTCAGCATGTGAAATAAAAGAAATGAAAGAAAACAATTAAAACGATACGAGACGATGCTTCGATGCTCATTTTACGCTATTTTTTTTCTTATTCATAATGTAAACTCAGTTGTGTGCAGATCAACAAGTTCAGGTGCCTAACTCACAATTTCACTTATTTTTATTTATGATCTGAAACGTTCGCTACAAGCAGTCTGTGAATTATTGATTTATAAAATCATCGTAGGTGTTTGTTATTATTTTTTCTTTTTATCGGAACAAATCTTGTTTAATGTGAATAAAACAGTAATTAGTGTGATGAATTAATTAAGCAATTGGTTGTTAAGAAATATAAGAAAAAGTAGAATTTGTAATGGAAAGGTCGTTTGACTTAAAGCATGGGAATTAAAGTTTAAAAGTTTAATGAATTATTATTCACTTAATAGCTGAAGTAATTAGCTAGTTTTTAATAAAAGAAAATATTTTATTTATGAGACGGCTTAGGGAATTTAATCCTTTCATTCCATAAACAATTGAATAATAAAATATTAATCCCAAGGTCATTGAGAAGGAATGTCAATTGTGCTACAATTGTTAGTACTTCACTATTGTCTTCAAAAATTTTATTTATCTACATAGATAATGTTAAAGTTGAAGCCGCAATTGCTAAATAGTAAATATTTTCACATCATTCCATTTAAAAACTTTTCGCAAATATTTTACATGATACAAAATTTTCTTTTTAGCCCGAGTATTACAAAGACGCCCCACATTTTCGTAGTGTTATTGGAAATGAGTCAGAATATCGTTTGGAAATACCACAAGCTAAAATAGATTATACAGGAACTTATTCAGTGATAGCCACAAATTGTTATGGACAAACAAAAGCTATAATTTCCCTCCAGATTTACGCAAAAGGTAATATGAGTAACTAACACATGTTCTCCTTTAATTGAAATCTCGCAATCCTGACATTGCCTTAGAGATACTTAAATTCTTTATGAAGTTATTTCCACTCTAAATGGAAGATAATGTTTAAAATTTATTAGATTAAATATTCTTCATTTCATATCAATTTAAACAGATGCATTATACATTTAGATATTTATTCAAATTTATTACGAATTGAATTTTATATGAATTTCAAGATTATTCACTTCGATAATGTATATAAGAGAGAAAAAGAGTAATGAACTGTTGGGAATATCGTCTACTCGTAAAAGATTTATAGTTGGAATTTAAAAATTAACTCATGCTTACTATTTTTTCTTTTTAAATTCATTGTGTGAGTGAATACATTTCTTCGCGAATTATGTACTTACATACCAAAAGTAAGAAAAAATAATTTTACTTGCTCTTTCATTCACCATATATGGATATAATTCCTTGAAAAAAACTTTATAGTTTAATTTATTTCATACATTTGCTTGGAAAGTCAAATCATAATCGACCGGCCTTAAAACATGCAGAGTTTCAATAGGTTTATATTATTACATTGTGTATAGATATTTATACATACATCTACATATATGTATAAGAATAACAAACCTAAGGTAACTTTTGTCACAATCTGTTCATAAGTAGAAACGTGACCATGATTTTGGGAGATATTGGCATTACTAATGACCTAAATTATATTAACAATTCAATCCCCAAACCTTAAAGTTTGTAATCTCAATTCATAATTTAAAACATAATTTCATGTTACAAAAGTAATGTTGAATCCACCTTTTCATTCTTTCAGACATAAATAAAGGCAGTTCTATGGATGCGGGATCTATAATTCATGGGTAAGTGATCAAAAATGTATTTCTAATGGATCAAAGTTTATTTTTAAAATACCTTTCAGAAACGTTGAAACATTACCGCGAGTCATAAAACACTTAAAAGATTTAAGATGTTGTGATGGTGATGCGGTGACGTTGGAATGTCACATCCAAGGCGAACCTGATCCTAATGTATTCTGGGAAAAAGATGGAAAAATTATTCATGATAAATCAGTTGATTATCGTCAATCATTTGATGGTCGCAGAGCAAAATTGTCAATTTCAAGAGTTTTTCCAGAAGATGAAGGGCAATATTGTCTCGTTGCATCAAATAGCATGGGTCGTGTGAAAAGCAAAGCTTGTATAATAGTTGATAGTGAGTTAAGAAATTATAATGAGTAAAATATTTAATTAATCTTTTTTTTTCTATCAACAGTACCAGAAGAAAAAGAAAATTTACTTAATCGAACGCTATCACGACCGATGACATTCTTATCACTTAACTCAACTCCACATTCTACTCCAAGATCAACACCAGCACGTAGCATGTCACCACTTTCCTTGCATGCATCAACATTGAAAGCAAGTAATAACATAAGTCAACGACAAAGACGATATCGCTTTGCTGCACCTAAATTTTATTCAGTTCCCCATAATCGTGTTTGTGAAGAAGGCGAAACTGTGAGATTCCAATGTGCCATTTCTGGTCATCCAATTCCATGGTCGACTTGGGATAAAGATGGAATTATTGTTACACCATCACAGAGATTCACAATCAAAGAGCGTGATGATTTAAGATATCTCGAAATTGAAGAAGTGTGCTATGAAGATGCTGGACTTTATCGTATAACTTTGGAGAATGATTATGGTAGGATTGAAGCAACAGCTCGTCTAGACATTATAAAAACACACAAAACATTACGAAGAGGTATTCGTGCATCAAGTGCACCAACAAGATCATCGAGAAGCATGTCAAGGAGAATTATGGGTTACAGTACGAAAATTGGCGGTCGAATGGCTCTTGCAACACAAAAGCGAGCGTCTTCAATCCCTTCTAAAAAAATGGTTTTCCTTAATGGCTACGATGTAACAAATCATGAACGATTATCGATAAGCGAAAATGAAAATGAAATCTTGATTGAAGTACATGACGTTAAATCTTATGATGAGGGTGAATACACATTGATGTTGGAAACTGACGATTTTGTTTTGACAACAAGCACATTTGTAAAAGTTTATCATGAAAATGAGAATGATATTGAAAAAGTTCCACCAACATTAAAACAGCCATTAACAAATATTACAAGCATAGAAGGAATACCTTTAGATTTAACTTTTATGATAGATTGCAACATACCTTTTGATTATCTGTGGCAGAGAAATGGCGAAACTATTTTGAATTGTGATGACTTCATGTATGTAGAAACACGTTTCCCAACCTTCTTTAACTTTATTAAATATTTTTCTGTTATTTAGTTACATTGATCATGGAAAAGGAGTATTAACATTGAGAATCACAGACCCATTCATCTTTGATAGTGGAAATTACTCGTGTACTGTAACGACGCCTTATGGCGACTGTACGACTTCCTGTGACATTGAAATCGAAGAACCTTTTGACAACATTTCTCATATAATACCAGAATTTGTGAAAGCTCCGCTTCCAACTGTTGCCTTTCCTGGTAATTCAGCATCGTTTTGTGCTCGCGTGTCTCCAGTTGATTCAATTGTTCAATGGAGTGTATCTGGTGTGGATATTACAGATGACGATAAAGATTTTGTGGTGAGTAATTATTTGCCTTACACTGAAGATTTAAAGCATTCACTTAAAGAAAAATCTAGAAAAACTAACTTTGAATGTATTTATGAGTACAAAATGCTTTCTCTATTCAAATCATTACGAATATCAAAACTTTGAATTTGAATTAATATAAAAATGAATTGTGGTAATTTCAAGATCAACTGTTAGTTATTTTGGGACAACTCTCAAAAGAATATCTTATTTCTTTGTTTCAACCACATTCTCATGTTTCTGATGTTACCCGATGAATGAAATAATCAGCGAATTGTTTGAAAAATTCTATAAAAAAGTTCTTTTGAGTATTATAAATAATGAATTGATCAAACTCAACTTGTTTCAATTTCATCATACAATTATTCATTTGTCAACAGTTGCTTGAACTTGAAACATGTAAAACAAACATTCAAATTATTATTAAATAAAACTTTTAAATTTCTTCCAATCTAGATTGAGCGATTAGAAAGCGGAATTAATTTGTTACATCTTTTAAATGTTCAGCATCATTTAAGTGGTGAAGTGAAATGTTGTGCAACAAGTGCAATAGATCCAAGAATATTTAGTGTTTATCACACAAATTTGACAGTCTTACCATTACCTTTGAAACAAAAATCAGATCGACTTGAAACATCCTTAACGAACCTTGAAAATAAATCTAGCCTCGTTCACGATTTAACTGCATACATAACCAAAAGACCAGACGATCTTACCGTCCTTGTTGGCGATTCTATTCAATTATATGTTGAGTTTGTCGGGTTTCCAGAACCTAAAGTACGGTGGATGAGAGCAGTAAGTATATTTGATTTTTATTAAAATATTTACTTTGTGTTTCGAACAAAGAAAGTTTTTTATAAGCAGAGCTTGATAGTAAAATGGAAAATTATTTAATTAATAGAATAAAAACATTTAAAATTCACTCAAGTTCCAGTCCTTGCTATAAAGGGAGATAACATAATTATATTTCCGGTAATAAATTGCTATTTTTTCAATTAAATTAGTTCTGTAACTTCCTCGTTTAAAACTTCATTTACCTCATAAATAATTTCTTTTCTTTATCATTCACTACAACTTTGGAAATTGAAGCAAAATGTTTTTTCCATATTTGCATAAATACTTTATAAAATAAATATCTAATGCCTAGTTACATTTACATTTGTCAATATTAATTTATTATATTTCTTCACCTTCGTTTTTCTTTTTTAGGAACGTTCAATTGAGAATGATTCAAACACAATAATTATAACTAGAAATGGTCAATCAAAACTGAGTATTAACAACATTACATCAGATCAAGGCGGAAAATACAGTGTTGAAATTATGAATGAGCATAGTCAAGATATTGCTTCAGTTTCAGTTGCTGTTGAAGGAATTCCTGATGCACCAACAGCTCTGAGTATTTCTAAAGGTTTAGATAGAATTGCGGTTGCATGGTCAGGGCCACCTTACGACGGAGGTTGCATGATTTTAGGATTTTTACTTGAAATGCAACAAAATGAAAACAAGTGGCAAGAAATAATTGAAGTTGCTGATTCCTTGGCATATACTGTGAAAAATCTCGATTGTGGTGTTAGATATAAATTTCGAGTACGTGCAAAAAATGTCCATGGTTATAGTCTACCAAGTAACCCAACAGACGAAATTATTTTATCACCACCGAAAGAAATCAATGAAATGACGAGAATGCCTCATGTTCGATCTGGTGGCAACTTTCGAGAGCGTTTTGAAATTCTTGAAGAACTTGGAAAAGGTCGTTTTGGCGTTGTGCACAAGGTGATTGAAAAGGAAACTGGTGTCGCTCTTGCAGCTAAGTTTATCAAATGTATAAAATCATTGGATCGTAAAAAGGTTCAAGATGAAATAAAAGTTATGAAATCTTTACATCATCCCAAACTTCTTCAACTGTCCGCTTCATTTGAGACACAAAAGGAAATTATCATGGTCATGGAATAGTAAGTATATGATTTTAAATCGATCTGTAATTAATAATTATGAGTTAAAAAGCAGAAAGAGAAAAGGAGACAAAAAACGTTGCGGTTTTAATCTTCCTTCTCTCTCTCTTGCTTTATGTTATGTTGTGGTGTTTAATATGAAATGTTAATTATATTTATTTAATTTCAGTTTAACAGGTGGAGAACTTTTTGAACGCGTTGTTGCTGATGACTTTACACTAACCGAACGAGATTGTATTTTGTTTATTCGACAAATTTGTGAAGGTGTTGATTACATGCATGGGAAATCCATAGTACATTTGGATCTTAAGGTAATATTCTGAACTCTTTTTTATCTTTATACACATTAAAAAATATTAAATTTTTGTTCTCATATTTTAAGCCTGAAAATGTATTGTGTTACGAAAAAATGAGCCATGAGGTTCGTATCAAAGCCTCACGATTTCTTTATTTTAAACTTTTAAATTTATACTTTATTTAACTCTTGAAGATAAAAATAATTGACTTTGGCTTGGCTCAAAAGTTAGAACCGAATAAACAAGTTCGTGTGCTTTTTGGAACGCCTGAATTCATCCCACCAGAAATAATAAACTATGAGCCTATAGGACTACAGTCAGATATGTGGAGTGGTAAGAAAATAAAATTCTAATGAAAATTAACGATGTTAATGTGTAATAATAATAATAAATTACTCCAGTGGGTGTCATCTGTTATGTACTTTTGTCGGGCTTATCTCCATTTATGGGAGAAACAGATGTAGATACGTTTGCAAATATTACACGTGCAGATTATGATTTTGCTGATGACGCTTTTGATGCAGTTTCGGATGAAGCAAGAGAGTTTATTGCAGCATTACTTGTTCATCGGAAAGAAGATCGATTAACAGCTAAACAATGTCTTAATTCAAGTTGGCTTTCGCAGCATAATGATGGCATGGGAAACACAAAACTGAGTACAGATAAATTGAAAAAGTTTATAATCCGCAGAAAGTGGCAGGTAAATTTAATTAATGAATTAATTATTATGCATGTGTGTTTTGTTCACGTTTCTTAAATATCTAACTCGACGTGTTTTGTGAAATTTGTGGCGTTGTTTGCTTCTTTAAAAAAATAAAATAGAAAACTGGAAATGCAATACGAGCTCTTGGTCGCTTGGCAACATTATCAGCTTCTCGCAAATCTTCTGCTACAAGTCCCCCAAGACCACTTGCCGCAAGAGAAGTGAAAACGGAGAACAATACTTTGATAGCTTCTCCATTATCAAATATATCGGAACAAGATATAAAGATCGACTCTTCTGTAAATCTAAATTCATCTGAGAAAATGTGTAAAAGTCACCAAACTTGTTCTGAACGTAGTGACTCTGGTTTCAGTGAAGGGCCTAACAGTTCCGCAGTCAATTCAACATCTAAAAGCAATTTGAATTTAAATAAATGTCCAACGATTACAAAGGAAAAAAACGATAAATCGTTGAAATCAAACACTTTGATTGTGAAAGATTCATCAATCAACGACAATCAAAATTTATTATCAATCAAACATGTTTCAAGATATAATCTTGAAGAAAAGGAAGATTTGAGAAGTGAAGTCGACAAACGTAAGCAATCTTTACTGAAAAATAATAATAGTAAAGTTTTACATTCCAAGCATGCTTATGATTTCGAAAGCTTAAAGAAAAGCAGTAAAGTTTCGCTTTTGAAAGGAAAATTTGAAAGCAAAAAATCGATTTCCTCAATAACCGGCTGTAAGATAAAATTGACAGATAAAAAAGGTAAGAACGGAACATGTGTGTGTGTGTGTTATCTCATTGCAGAGATAATTTATTACTTAATTGTCTGTCCTGAACATTGTTCACGAATCACGTTTCATTCTTTAATTACTTTTTAAAAATTTCCCTTTTAAAGATGCACCTTCAACGAAAATCGAATCGAATTCAACGACATTTAGGTTAACCAACAAAGCTCGAGAAGTAACTGAAAGATTATCTCAGTCTAAGTAATAATCATCAGAAGATCTACGTTATTTGATCTTTGCTTTTATTCGGCTATTATTGAATCATATGTAAGTTACATATATTAAATTAATGTTTTGATAATATTTTCGACCCTTAAAATATTCTTTTTCTTACTTTTCAGATATTAGCATTACAAACTTAGATATCCTTTTATTTCTTCAAGTAATATATATTTAGAACGACATATAGACATGTTTAGCCTCTGGGATGTCTATGCTATTAAGTCATATCAATAAATTATATGGCCAATGAATATCCATCATAGTTATCGTTATATTATATTTACATATAACGGAATATCAACAGATGCTTAACAAAATGTGATTTATCACAGAATAAGTTTAGAAGCATCCCTTATTATATTCTTTTGGGTGAGAACTTTTAAAGTTGAAAACTTTTTAAGCTAATACTTTTCTTATTTCATACTTTTGTTACTTAATACAATTACGAAATTCATTGTGTTCGTTGTAACAAAAATCTTTTATGTAGATAGTTACCTTGGACATTCAACAACTTTGAATGTCAGAATTTTAGCTTTTAAAATTAAAAACTTTAACTAACGAAGATTTTAATCCTCGGATTTTGCCAAACACTTTTTTTCTTTAAAGATTTTTAAGGGAAAACATTTTTAATCAAACGATTTGTATGTAGTGAAGGAAAAAATGAAATTGTAAATTTATATGAACGAAAATTTAAAAATGTATAAATCATTACTAAAAATTATATAAAAAAAAATTGACAAAATAAATTTTTTGAGTAAATTTGAATACAAAATTGTATTTTTATAACATTCTCGTATCAGATATTTTTCTCTCTGCTTTTAAATTTATGACAAGGATTTGATTTTGGTTTAAACTCAATTCAGACTCTACTTATTTGTTCTTGAACATTAATTTTCATGCTTTAATGCATTCAGTTATAGTCCAAATTCACATTTTTTTATAAGGATAAGAGGGGTGAATGAGTGAATGGACAATCTATGGTATGTTTCTCTTGCTTCTATTCACAACATTCTATCGACAGAAGTAAAATATAAATAGGAAAGTAACACTAAAGAATCATGTATGAGTCATGTTTAAAACGATAAAATGTGACATATGACGTTATGATATGATTGATATTATATTCACCTCATACTGAAATGCAAACGAAGAAGAATATAAAGATATAAGAGAGAACATTTGTATATTTTTTGAGCTTTATTCAAATAAATTATGAGCGACATGACATTGCAATATAAAAAATCATTTTTGATAATATAAAAAATGATAGAGAAGCAAATTCTATCACCCTCTAGTAAATAAATTATAATTCTTGTTTTCAAAACTCGTTTCGTTATTATTTCTTTCTTCGAATTGTACGAAAATTCCTCCACGAGCTCTTAATGTTATTCTGAAAGAAGGTTCAATGATTTCCTTGCCAGGTACTGACGTTATTCGATATTTTCTGAGAATTGTTGAAACAATTGTTTTTAACTCAATCATAGCAAAACGATGACCAATGCAATTTCCTGAGAATAAATAAGATTGTCAATTAAATTAATGATTTTCTAAATAGATTTTAAAACCTACTAGGTCCAGCTGAAAATGGAAGAAAAGCGTAGGGATTTCTCTTGTCACATTCTTCTGGAAGAAATCTTTCTGGTATGAAATTTTCTGGATTAGGATAAATATGTTCAAGACGATGTGTTGCATATGGAATGACAAAGATTTCAGAACCTGAGGGTAACGTTACGTTGCCACATTTTACTTCTCCACCTAAATGGCGTGCCATTATAGGAACCGCAGGATAAAGTCTGTAACCCAAGAAATAAAATAAAATAAGTAATTGATAATCTAAATAATTAAGAAGTTGGTAACAACCGAAGGGTTTCCTTGATACACATTTCAAGATGTTTCATTTCCTTCAGATCATTGATTGTTGGTGTTCTCTCATCGTCACCAAAAATATATTTGATTTCATCATAACACTTGGCTTGATGATTCTGATGTTGAGCGAGAAGAAAAATTGTGAAAGCTAAGGTAGCACCAACTGAATCTTGTCCCTTTTAAAAACAGAAAATTTCAATATGGCACTTTCTTTATATTTAAAGAAACTTACAGCTAACATAAAAGTACATGCTTCATCAATGATATCCTTCTCATCAAAATCTGGATGGGTCTTGGAAATATCTATCAAATAGTCTAATAAACATTTCCGCTTCATGTCATCAACGTATTCTTCTGTATTTCTTCTTTCTTGAATTATCTTTCTTACAAACTCATCTAAACGTTTCTTTTGGTCTAACTCATCTGATGCTGATGAAGTCAGTTGATAAATCCAATCGAACAAAAGCCAAGGATTTGCAATGCGATGTGGAGCAACAACTTTCCCTCTTCAAATAAAATACAAACATGCTTTATAAATTGTACAGATAAATGGGAAAATTTTCAAGAAGATAAAAACTTTTTTTCGTTTTTTAAATTCTAAATATTTGGTAAAAGGAAAAGCTTAGAATGTTGAAAGCTACTTATTGCTCAAGTCATCACTTTTTCATTAAAAATTATAAGCTTTATCAAAGTTCACACACATGAAATAATTCATGTCAAACTGTTAAAGTTCAAGAATGCAACTTTTATTTTAAATGGAATTTTCTAGAAGCTTGTTTCCTATGATAATATCTAAGTTTCAAATATAACGTTTTTGATACACTTACTCTCTGAAAGGAGATTTTTTCTGCTTTTCTTTCACAAGTACTCCCAATACAGATTCTGGCAATAAGAAGTGAAATTAATCTACAATTATCTTCGCTATTCAATTAATTTATTTACCATTCAAAACATCTATGATGCATTCGTTGACAAAACTGGTAACGTTTATTTCATTTTTATTTTGCAGTTTTATTAAAAATTCTTTTGCGCTATCAGAAAAAGTTTCTATGAATTTTTCAAGTATATTGATATGAAAAATGGGAGTCGTAAATTTTCTATGCGCCAGCCATTTGTCACCTGAACTTGTTATCAATCCATCCCCAAGAAAATTATGTAATAATTTATAGAGAAATGACTTTTCTGTATGCTTATGAGAGCTGAGTATTTGTTGAAGATGTTCAGGCTCAAAGATGACAAAGAATGGAAGAAAACCAAACCAGAGTCTACTAATAGGTCCATACGTTTTATATCCAGTTGCAATGATGTTTCCTAAAACTGGGAAAAGAAAATGTCGACAATATTTAATTAAATTTATAAGAAGATGTGAAAATATATATTAATTACGATCTTTTTCCTTTACAATTAAACAATTTCCAATGAATGGAATTGCTTTTGGCCCTGGTATTTGGAATGCCAATAAAGCACAACGGAAATATCCTGATTGAAAAATAGCATAAATGATGATAGCTATTAGCAATATCAGCAGAAGCTTAAATTAGAAAGAAAAATTTACATAACGAATTATTTATTGCTTTTCTTTTCTATATTGTTTTTAAGAAATTTATGAAAAATAAAGCTAATTAATAACGATAATTTAATATGACAAAATAAATAAATTTCATCAGCTGTCATCACGCATATGGTTTTATTTATTTATTTCAATGTCGAAGACGTTGACCATTGGTAAGTCAAAAATAGCCTAAGAAGTTCCATATCTTTCAACTCCGAAAGTCCGGCATTGTCCTTGAAAGATTGCTTTAACTTCACTGCAAGCTTTTTATCAAGAGGGTCGCTATTTCGGTCTGTTCTTTTTTTACTTTCAATAGTTTTAACATCCTTGAAACGTTTTAAGACTTACGGTAGCAACACCCATTTTCAATTTTTTGCTATCGATGAACCTGAAATTTGTGGATTTTCAAGGTATTTGTTCACAATTTTTTGTCATCTTTCCTTTTCCATCGTCAAAATAGTTTAAAAAACAATTTTTAACAAATCTTTGATAAATCTTCAACAAGTATTTCTGCAATCTTGAATAGTAATCCCATGTTTATTAAAAAAGCACAGTCAAAGAACCTTTGGAAATATTATTGAGATAGACTTGTTTGCTACTGGATTTCAACTGAACTTCTCTCTAGTACTTACCAACGGTCAACGTCTTTGAAAATACTTACATTAAATGTAAATATCTACTCGCAAATGCAAATAAACAGTTTATTTAAGAAAATCGTTTCTTATTCCATATGTTATCCGATATGTCTTTAAGTTTTTCTAGTTAGATGGAACAAAAATGTACTTATTCAAATTTTTTTAAATTTAAATACTTATCTACATGAAAAAATTAAACAAACACTTGCAGAATTAAACATATTAAAAAACGTTCGAAATGGTTTTGACACCAAATTGTTTATTGAATACAAGTTAAAGATTAACAGTATTCAAATTAAAATATCAAAGGATTTGCCGCATTAACAGCAAAAAGCTTTTGTTTACGAAAATCTAGAATGTGCTGTCTTAGATATGTGAAAAGAATCTTTCATTCAATGAGATGCAAAAATTTTAGTTCTTATTTTCTAAAGTTTTTAAAGTGCGCTGTTTGTTGTTTGTATCATTCAATAGCTACTTTAAATATTTATTGAAATCTCAATTTTCATTTCAATATTCGAAAAGTATCTATAATAAAATACACTTCTACAAAAATATTTTAATTCCCTTGGACCATTTCCATCACGAAAAATCCACTGCCATAAATTTTAGATTTCAAAAGATACTAATTATTATTTCGATTCCTTTTTTAATAATCTACCTAATTGAATAATTTTATGAATCATATCTCACCATTTGCCAATCCATTTTAAATTTTTCTAAATGGATAGAATTATTAAATTTTCACGATTTTTTTATTTTAATATTTGTCGTTGTTCAAAATTGACACTAATTAATGATATTATTGTATCTAAAATCAGAGAGCGTTTACACAAATGAATTAAATATCGAATTAATTTTTTTTAAAACTTTTTAAAATGTTTTTATTTGCACAATTGTCCTTTATCTTGTTCTATAACTTTATTTATCCAAAATTATTGACAATAATCACACAATAAACTTTATTTAAAATTCACCAATAAAAATGTTCGAATGTTAACAAAAGACTTGCAAAGAATTAATGCGTAAGACAAAAGCTTTTTCACAACTTATATAGCTGCTTGAGCAACACGTGAATGAATATTTTTCAGTATACTCGACCTAAGAGAGGATTCAAAAAGAAAAGTCAACATAAAAGTTTGCATCGTCTGATGGAATATCTTCAAATTTTTGAAGTTGCCAATTATCTATATTCTCTCTTTAAAAATGTTAACGTTAATTATGAATTATGATTAAAAACTAATTATTTTCGGTTTCTCAAATGAAAAGAATTTTTATTACGGAATAGATCCACATGAGAATCTCACCTGAAATTCTGTTAAAATGTTTTATATTTCTAACTTTTTTTTCCATAATATTTATGATATTTCTTTGAACTTATTTCAAGTTTTAGTTCAAGGTTTCATTAGGTTGCATTCATTACGTTTGAGTAATATGTACCTTTTCATTTCACAAGCTTTGCTTTGAACTTTTCATTATCTCTGTTTAGCAAACAAGTTCAATGTTAAACATCTTTCTTTACAAAAACATGTAAATTTACCTTCATGTTAAGTCACTATACTTTAGAAAGGGTCATCAGTTGCTTTAAAAAAGTTGGTACATTTCCTGGAATTTTAAATTTTATTTATTATGATTTTTCCACTTTTACAACACAAAATGAGAAAAACTAACAGATCGTCAGTAACATTTCATCGAATTAATCAGATCGTTTTATTATTGTCTTTGTTACATGTAAAAATATTACAAAAGTCAAAAAAGGTAACACGAGATTTATTATTGGGTAAAATTCTTCTTGATGTCTTTTTAAAATTTAATTCTATGGCGTGAGAAAATTGTCAGATCTCATTGATCGGTGAGTTTTAATGTAGTTCTTGTAAGTACCTAATTTTAAATTCTAACTAATAGAGCATAATTGAGTTTCCTTCTTTCTCATTGATTGGTTCTGAAGATTTGTTAGAATTTTCCATTCTCACAGAAAATGTCAAAAGAATTAGATTGACAATCACGGCAAGGAATGAAAAAACAAGAAAGTAAAAGCTGAACCCAAATTTTGTTTGACCTTCAGATGTCCAACGCTGCTTTTCTTCACTGAGTAAAACATTGTGATTGAAGTAATAGAAGAATTGTACACTCCAGCATATTATTGCCACAAGTTGTCCACAACCTGTAATTACATTGCTAAACTTCAACCATGTCATTCCTCCTTTTGTTTTTATTGTTGTTACAACACTAGCAACAGCAGCGATGGCTGATGCGAAAAGGGCAAATCCAGTTCCAAGTGCTGTTGACAGCCACAACCAATAATCCGTAAATTGTTCTTCTTTTTTTATTATCTCTAATACACTATAGGGAGGTTCATGTCTTACTCCATATCCATGATTCAAAGCTTTCTGATAATTAAATAAACCAAATTGGATCGAACCCCATTTAGTCTTTTCAGTTACATTTGTCTTTTGGGAAATGTATGAGACACCAGATACAATCCAACTATTGGTAACCAATGCACTGAGAAGAAGACCAATAATCGCACAACTTCCAAAAAATGTTCCGAATATCAGAACTTTGGGCATTAAGCGGTTCATTTATACTAAATATAAATTATGAATAAAAAGATGCAACGAATGCAAACAATTCTACTGACCAAATTAATTTGTTTACGTTCCTTTCTCTACGTCAAACATAAAAGTTTCATTAAGTAGGTTTCGTGTACTACAGAACAAATCTTTTTAATTCATTCGTTTCGGTATGTTTTTCTTTTAATTTTCTTTAAATAATAATAAAAGAAAATTTTGTTAGATTTTCATTTTTTAACTTTCAACTTTGAGTTTGACTCATTTTTACGAATCTGGTTTTTCCAGGGGTTTGTAAATGTCAATTCTCAGATTGATCAAAGACATGAAAATAATGTTGATTACCTAATGGTGAGCCACATTCCAATTTCAATAAAATTTATTTTATATAAAAAATTAAACGGGTATACCAAATACCAAGTCATAGACTAATTCCTGTGAGTGAGTATTCGAGAGATTGATAACTTCATTTATAACTTTAAGCGTGGCGAATAAACGACGGTTTTGGTTTCAAAATTATTGATGTAAATAAAGAAGTTACTTTCCCCTCGTTCTTGCAAAGAGTCGCCGGCCCCGCCAAAGAGCTACCTAGGGGAAACATAAGTTTTCTAGTAGATCTAATATCAATGGATTTCCCTAAAGAGTTTCCAATTTTATTTATGAACTTTAAAATTCTCGACCTAATCGGTGAAGGTTCATTTGGAAAAGTTTTTAAAGCAGAAAATAAAGAAAATGATACATTTGCCTTAAAAATTCTAAGAAAGGTAATTTCTTTCAGGTAAACGTAAAAGAATGAACATTAAACTTCGAAATTTGTATATTTTAGAAGAGCAGATCAAATAAGGAGCTGTCGACTCTTCGACAGGAAGCTATCATTCATCAGAATCTTAAGCATCCAAATATTATACAATTGTTTGATTCAATCGAAACTGACAAGGAATTGGTATTTGTATGCGAGTATGCAGTATCGGATCTCCACAAGTTGCTAGCAAAACAAGGATCATTAGGCGAAAAACGAACACAAAAATTTTCTTGTGATATAATAAGTGCATTAAATTATCTCCACTCACACCGCATTCTGCACAGAGATTTAAAACCTCCTAATATTCTACTTGATGTAGGTGACAAAGCAAAACTATGTGATTTTGGACTTGCTCGAAATATGACATTAAGAACACAAGTTCTCACATCTATCAAAGGTACGCCATTGTATATGGCACCAGAAGTTCTGGATTGTCGTGGATATGGCCATCAAGCCGATTTATGGTCGTTGGGAATTATTATTTATGAAATGTTAACCGGCGAAACTCCATTTCAAGCAAAAAACATTATGCAATTAATTTGTCTGATCCAAGGAAGCCGAATAAATTGGCCGACCTTTCTCTCGACTTCTTGTATTTCATTTTTACAAGGACTTTTAGTGAATGATCCACAGAAAAGAATGAAATGGAATGAGATATTAAATCATAAGTTCGTGAAAGAAGGCATCTTGATTACAACACCTGAACAAGGTTTGCCATTCACAAAATGTCACGACTTAAAAAATGAAGAGCATTCTGACATTTCATTTCAAAATCCTTCAGGAACATCAAAAAGATATCGAAAAAATGAAAATCAAACAGACATGAATGACGATTCAAATCTAATGTCTTCTCGTGATTCATTAAAGGTGAACATGAATTTACAAAGTGACTTAGAAGAAACGGACGTTGACACGTTTAACAATAAATCTGATTCCGAAGAATTCGAAACAAGTGGTGATGCGACAGATCAATGTGAGTTTTCAGAATTAATGGACTTCATTGGCAATCAAACAAATATGATGAATCTTAATTCACCTCAACATTATCAAATCGAAACACCAAGAATTCATAACATTGAACATTTCCAACCAGTTATTGAGAATTCCAACATGGTAATGCACAGATTTATGGATGTTTATCCAGAATTGCAAAACTTTAAAATGATACCACAAAATTTTGCCATGGGATTTTCTCCAAATAACTTCGATCCCAAAACGAGAACACAAAATCCGAAAGATTCATTAATTTCAACTCAAAATGAAGACAACAACATGATATATGTTCCAAAGTTCATTTCCGCTTCGGAGATCAGCAAGAAAAGTGACAAAGAAGGATTCAGTGATGGATTCGTAAGCGACATTTCAAGTATTCCAATTGAAACAGAAGAATGGCTTCAATTTTTATTGAAAGCAATTCAAGAAGTTTTTGATGGTGACTTAGATATTTATAGTCAGGAAAAAATGATGACGATGATAATTGCACTTCTTCGCAATCCAAAAATCAACATCAAACTTATTGATCTTGTGATTCAAATTATTTGTCTTCCATTTACTATCGAAATGCCACAAAGCTTACATGAAGAAATCGACAAACTTTATCTTCAAATGAAGCTTGTTCCGAACCTCGTTTATGCATCGAAACTTATTTGTAGTAGAAAATTGACAACAACATCATTTGACGCAGAATCGTTTTTGAAAAAAGAAGAAAATATTAAACTAAATTCAGATGAATTGAAGACTGTTTCAGGTATTTATGATCTTGTTGTATTTTTGGTATACACGAATGAGACTTTCCTACACACTTTATGCGATGCCTTATCTATTTTAAATGTGAATCACATGTTGAGAAGTCTTATTGCTTATTCACATAAAGGACCTGAAAGGTTAACTGCTTCGATTCTTTCACTTCTATGCGTCATTCTTAAGGAACTTCCAGAGAATTCGATTCTTGTTGAAAAAATTATTTTTCATGATGACATCGATTTAACTAAATTAATTAAGCATGAAAATAAAAAAGTGAAATTACAAACTCTTACGTTAGTTCGACTTCTTGGGAGATTTTGTTGTTTTTCGCTTCAAAATTATTTAAAACAAGATTTTAAAAAAGCTCTCTTTAATCTTTCACAAGATTCTAATATTCCTGTAAGAGAACAAGCTGTAAAAATTATTGGAGAATTTGAAGGTTTCATCAATTTTGAATGAAACAATGATGTAAGATCTTATGTTGCTATATTTTATGTAAAAAGAATTCTGTCACATTTAAAGAATGAAAAAGACATGAAATGAGAAAAAGGAAATAAAATTAAGTGAACGAAATTATTTGTTTTGAATTCGATGAATTTCCATCTCAAGTTCAGCCCGTTTTTGATTAACTTTTGTGAAAAAGTATCGTGAAACACCTTCTTGAGTCCAAGATTGATAATAAAATTCTGACCGTCGTTCTTCTTCAGGATTACCGACCACATCTGTCATTGTTTTGAGATCGCGAGACTGTGAAACGATCCACTTATGAATAAAGTTTTGTGGATCTTTAGCGAAACTTAAGAAGAATTCGCGATTTGTCTTCAATTGATTGATGGTATCAACAGTTTCATGTATTTTCGAGTCCAATCCTTGAATTTCTTGTTGACTTGCTGTGCTCAACAGGAAATTGTTCATCTGGTTCTTTAACGTATCGTCAACTTCGACATCAATATCGTAACATGCTGTCTGCTTGTTTTCCATGCCACCTTCAACTGTTATGACGTGATTAATAACGATCGGATCTGGAGGATGAAGAAGTGGATTCAAACGTTGAGGAATTTCAGCGAATTTCATTTTAGAACATCCAAAGATTTGTTCCAAATATTTATCGCAAATTATGTATTCACGTTCATGTGCATCTTGAAGTTTATGTGTCTTTATATATTGCCACAATGCAGAGATGATAACTGGACGCGTTTGAGTGTGTACGCCTAAAAGACGAGCCAATCTTGGATCCAATTTGAATTGAAGTGGCTGATAGTCAAGAAGCAACAAAATTGTACAACGTACATTTCTATCACCTGGACGTTTAACTTGAAATCCATCAGTTTCTTGTGTTGTATGAGTTCGATGCCATTCAACGAGATGATTATCAGGACCATAAAGATCTTTATCTAGTTCGATTACTAAAGACTTGAAAAAGCTGGAAAACTTTCTTTTAATCTTATTAGGATCGTTTTTGTTGTCTTCTAATAACCGCCCTTCCACTCTTAGTTCCCATGATGCAACGGAGCCTTCAGCTCCTTCTGCACTTTCGACAGGCTCCTTTGCTGGATAAAATGTGTTGGAAATGAAAATTCTCAGCTTTCTTTTCTGTTTCATGGGTCTCTTAAGTGCTTCTTGAATATCCAAACGTTTTCTCATAATCGTAGCATCAAGCTTACGTTCAAAAGCAAGAAGATCCATATAAGCTTGCGATTCTGGAACAAGATCACGAACTTTTTGTGGAAGAATTTTGTCAGCTAATTTTTTCTTCTTTTTCACCGAGCCATATTCACTTTTTGGAGCTCCTGCGTTCAAAGGACGATCTGGACGCTTTCCAGGAGTGTTAGGCATCGGTCTTTGAAAATTCGGATTCGAGGGTCTCTGTGGATTAGGACCGGAAACTCCTTGTATTTGAGGAGGTGGAGTGTAATTGCGTGGCTGAAATTTTTCATAAATAAACAGTTTATTAGAATACTCTAACTTATCTTATAACATAGAATGCACTTCAACAGTAGTAGTTTTATTTTTTTGAAGCAACATACAAAATAAAAACTCACTGGAAATGGCTGAGGAGAATAATTAGGTCTTATTGGATATCTCTGTGGAGGGCCACCTTGAGGCCCCGCTGTTACATTTGGGGTCGGAAAACGTTGAGACATTTTTAATGATTATTTTTTGTCACTTTTTATTTTTTTTCCACACGTATTTTATCGGTTTTAAATTCCACAAAATGATAGTATTTTTTTTCAACCAAGCCAAAAATGTCTGACTAAAGGGGGTAAACGACTTTAAAAGGAAAAGTTCTTCGTACCCTTTTTAACGAAGAATGAAAAACTTGACGAAAACATCTACATATCAACGAATGTGTTTTAAAAAAAATATTGTTGAAAAGGAAATAAAGAGAGATAATACATTTCAAGCTTATAAATTTATTCTTTAGTGAAGGAATAAGAAATTATATAAATGGATGCTCCTGTGAAAATTCAAAATAATGTTTCTCAAAACGAAGAAACTAAATCGACTGCAATTGAAGAGTTTGCAAAGGTAAGAAGATTAATTTCATGTGCTTCCTGTTTAAAAATTAAATCTTGAATACCTAAAACATTAAAGTTAGATTAAAAAAATATTTTCAATTAACTTGTAGAATGGAATGAAACATATTATAAATGCAACAAAAGCAGTCAGTTCTTTGCCTTTTGGGTCTACTCGAGACCTTTATTCGGCTCATCCAATTTTTTCAAAGGTTATGGGGCAGCAATCTGATAACATTTTAAATGTAATGCAATCGATGCTATCATTTCAAGAAATTAAACACAACGTAAAGAATTGTGATAATGATGAGAAATTTGAAATTCTTCAAGACTATAATGATTCTGCTTTGGAGAAAGTGAACTCAAATCTTGATGAATTGGCAGGAATGCGAAAGAAAGCTCCGATTCTTCTCACAGAAATTAAAACAACATCAATTCCTAAGCAATATCAACTTTCGGCTTCATTTGATTCTCCTTCAAACGTTCAAAAAGCAAAACTTACAACTGCTAAGAATATTCCAAGGCCTCAAGTGAATTTCACAAGACCAGTTGATAATAGCAACAATCCTTTTGTTCCAATCCTCAAAGATAAACCAAATTCTTTAAAGCCGCTTTCAATTCTTCCTGAATATGATGAAGATGGAAATATAACAAGCTATTTACATCCATATCAATTTGAAATTGAAAAATTTGAGCCACAAGATGACCGGTTGATTATAAAATCTGTTGAAACAACATCAGATATAGCAAATGCAGAATTCACATTTGTAGACAGCATAGATAAGTTGAATGATATGCTTGAAAAGTTGAGAATGTCGAAGGAAATAGGAGTAGACTTAGAACATCACTCATATAGAACTTTTCAAGGCATCACTTGTTTAATGCAATTATCAACTAGAAAAGAGGATTTCATAATTGATACAATTGCTTTACGTGATGAACTTCATATTCTCAATGAATTTTTTACTGATCCAAAAATTGTTAAGATTTTTCATGGAGCTGACAGTGACGTTGAATGGCTTCAACGTGATTTGTCGCTTTATCTTGTAAATTTATTCGATACTCATCAAGCTGCGAGACGACTTGGATTTTCAAGATTATCTTTAGCGTTTTTGTTGAAGCATTACTGCGATATTGATGCTGATAAGACTTTCCAACTTGCAGATTGGCGGATGCGTCCACTTCCTGAACAATTTTTGAAATATGCTCAACAAGACACGCATTACCTTCCTTTCATCTTTGATCGAATGACCAATGATTTGATTGAAGCAGCTAATCAACAAACAAATCTTCTAAAAACTGTTTATATGGACAGTAAAATAATTTGTCTTAAACGATATACAAAACCTGTCTTCACAATTGATTCTTATAAAGAAATTTATTTGAAATCAAAGAAAATGTTCAACGAGCGTCAGTTGACTGCTTTGAAGGAAATTTTTGCATGGCGTGATAAAATTGCACGTTTAGAAGATGAGTCTTACTCTTATGTTTTGCCCAATCATATGTTGCTTCATATTGCTGATACATTGCCTAGAGAAATGCAAGGAATTCTTGCGTGCTGCAATCCAATTCCTCCTCTTGTTCGTCAACAATTAAATAATATCCATCAAATTGTGCTTAAAGCTCGAGATCAACCAATGATTAAAGCACTGTCAGTTGATAACAATTCTCTACGACCAGTTGTAAGTAATAATCAGAAAAAGGAATTATTTAATCATCCCTTATATTGTCCACATGATGTAAATCATTTACGAGAGATAAACGACAATTTACCGACGCTTCTTGGAGAAAGAAATTTTCAACAAAAAATTGAAACGATAACAGAAGAAGTTCAATTGTCTGTGTTCAATAATAATTTACAATTTAATAATCAACTTTGTAAAAAGGAAACGCAGTTATTTATCTCACCATATCAGCGATATAAACTCATGATTCCATTTATGGAAGAAAGAAGAAAAGCTGAAATGATTATTGAAGAAGAAAAGAGGAGAGAGAAATTAAATGAGAAACGATTGCAATTACCTGAACTTCAAGTTGTAAAAATCGCTAGTTCTGAAGTAGCCACAACACCATTAAAAGACATAAGAAAGGAAGAATCGGTTTTTGTCAAAACAGATAACTTGAAAGCTAATCGTAAGCATCCTTACAATAGATACAAAAAGAAAAATGATTCAACAATACAAGCTACAGAAAATCAATCCAAAATATCTGAAATTTCTCAAGAAATAAATAATTTGAGGAAGAAAATTAATAATGCAACAAAGATAGAAGAAGCTTGCAATTCAAAATCGGACGACGTTTCATCCTTCAACTATTCACAAGTTAATAATTATCAACGATTTAAAGCTTCAAAGCCGGAACCTCAAAAACACTTAAAAGATGATAAAAAGAAATTCAAAACAGGAAATAGAAATAAAAATAATATTAACAAATTGTTCAACTTTTCAAACTTCCGACTGAATAAAAAGTGAAAACTTTTATGAAATTAATAAAAAGATTGTTATTTGAATTTATAAAAAAATGCAGTTTTAAGTTTTTCATTTTTGGAGAAATTCTTTCTTAAAGGAATCAAATAAAAAAGAGAAGAATAAAGGAAATAACATTATGTGATATTTTCGTTGTGTTGAAAGCTTAAATGTTTTGCTTTCCTTCTCTCAAAGCTCCAGTTTTTTGTTTGTTTACATTACCAAGATGACCGAATTTCGTTTAATTCTATCTAAATTCGAGAATGTTTTAATTTGATAAAAAATTAAATGAACATGAAGTGAAGTGAATAAGAAAACATTATTATAAATAAATAAGACTCTTTACTAACACTTCATAATTTGATAGTGTAAACGACTTGATAAATACTCTTCTCATAGTGTTAATGTTCATCAGCTTTAGATGCTTCTGAAATATCTACAAAAATTTGAGAACAAATTGTTGAAATTAAATTGATTATTAACATATCTGCTTTTGCAAGAAGACAACATGAAAGGGATAAATTGTTCAGAATTATTTCCTTCACGTCAAAGTGTACTTATATTTATAAGTTACATGTCATTATTTATTGCTCAAGGTAAACATTTTCATCAAATTGAAATAAGAATCCAGAATCATTAATGCATTTCTTTTCAGGAATTTTCGTGACAGCATCACAGGAAAAAAATTATACATACAAATATGACACTGTGACACTTGTGTTTCTTACTGAAGCATTGAAATTATTTGTTTCATCTGTTCTTTACTGTAGAGAGTAAGTTGGCAAATAAAATTATTGAATATGGCAATTAACAAATTTATTTTCTTCCTATTCAGACACACATTCAAATCTCTCTTGTTGAACATCGTCAAAGGATCTAAACTATTTGCCTTATACTTCTTACCAGCATTCTTATACTGCTTGTACAACAACTTGGCTTTTCATAATCTCTCTGTATTTGATCCCACAACATATTATCTCTTACTCCAATTTCGTGTTGTCATAACTGGAATTCTTTTTCAAATCGTCTTCAAAAAGTATTTAAGTAGAAATCAATGGCTCTCGTTATTTTTATTGACATTAGGATGTATGATTAAACAAGTGAACTTCGGTGACATGCCTGTAATTACAGAAACTCAAAATGTTAATCAGCCACAAAAGAATCTTGTTGGTATCGATTTAAGTATCAACGCAATCTTCATTTTTATTCAAGTTATTTGTTCATGTCTAGCTGGTGTTTACAACGAATATCTTTTAAAGGGCAAAGGACAGGACGTCAATATATATATTCAAAATATTTTCATGTATATCGATTCCATAATATGTAATGGATTGTTGCTTCTAGTCCAAGGAAATATTTTGAATGCCTTCTCAGGTGATAATCTCATTGAAATATTTAAGCCTGGTGTGATATTAATAGCAATTAATAATTGCTGTATTGGAATAGTTACAAGCTTTTTCCTCAAGTATATGAATTCTATTCTGAAAACTTTCGCAAGTGCTTTTGAGCTGCTATTCACGGCCATTCTTTGTTGGATTCTTTTCTCAATACCAATTTATATTAATACATTTCTGGCTATTACCATTGTATCGTTTGCTGCTTATTTGTATTCAATGACTCCAGTGGTTAACATTGGAAAACATTCTACAGATAATGTCACTCATGCCAAATATTTTAACAAATCTTCAGAAGACTTGTCTGAAGAAGAGGAAAATCTTTTAGTGATGGAAAAAGTTTGATTTTATTCAAAGAATATAGAATTATTAGTCATTTAATGAAACAATAACATTTACATTTATACCTGCACGATAATCTATGTTTGTATATTTAGAAGAATAATAATAATGCAACAAAGATAGAAGAAGCTTGCAATTCAAAATCGGACGACGTTTCGTCCTTCAACTATTCACAAGTTAATAATTATCAACGATTTAAAGCTTCAAAGCCGGAACCTCAAAAACACTTAAAAGATGATAATAAAACATTTTTAAACGTGCCAAAGTTATGAACATCTCAAAGGACATTAAAATTGCAAAATGCTTCATGTTTGATTACGGAATGACAGCAAATATAGAAATTTCAAAACTTTATAACATCACAGAAGAATTTTCCGAAATTTTTGAATATCCTGAGCGATGTTTTGAAGCAACTTAAAAATTAATTAAGGTTTTTAAATCACGATTTTATTTCGACATTATTGGAATGATTTGAAATTTATATTTGAAAACCTCAATCATTCCACGAGTGGTACATTTCCGAAATATAAAGTCGACCAGAATGTTTAAGTATAATTGAAACTGTAGATGAAATTGGAAAAATGAACGTAAAGTTATTAGAGATCAGGTGGAACGTAATAAAAAATGCAAAGTTGAATAAATAAATAATAAAATGATGAAATATTTTTCGACTTGTCAGTTTTATTAAATTTGTAAATGGTTGGTAATGAAAGGTTCAGTATTTTGTTTCAGAAATTATTCTAACTAATGATAATAACGAACGAAAATAAGAAGTTCTTAAGGATGAGCCATTTAAAGTTTTGTTCTTCATTACATTTCTATTATCATCATTACAACAAAGTTGATGAACTATTATTTAAGCATCTAATAATCAGTTCTTATTAAGTAATTAAACAGATCTCGGAACGTTGAAGTGAAGACCTAGTGATTGTTCAATTATCTTGCTTAAGTTTTTAAAAATATTTGACAAGAATTAAGAGAGTTGAAATAGAATAGTCAACCATTTTTACTTCATCACAAGTTTGAAATGGCCACATCGTCCCCATCCTGTTTTAAAAAGTTTGATACAAGAAAATTCTTCCTTAAAGAATTCTTTTATAGTTTCAAACGATAGAAATTGGCTGAGTCCAGATAATGAAATGCTTTGAAGCGCAGCAGATTTAATAAGTTCATTGAAATTCCTCAGAAAATTTTGGTTTCTATTTTCCCCGGGGATTCCCCCAGCGGGGATTCCTAGGGGAACCTTGATAAAATACCCATCTCAGCAATGCCTGGAGTGAAAATCTCATATTTTCATGTATCAGTGAAAGCTTGCTAGGCCTATAATTTGTTAGGGACTAATAATGAACTTTAATTTAATTTGTACTTTATTTCTTGCTAGATAGTTTTTTAATGGATTGTAAGTGAAAGAAAATCGTTATTTTTTTAAAAGAAGTCGAAGAAAAATTTCCATTTAAAAGCAGAATAAAGAACGAATAGAAAAATATTCTGCTTCTACCTTCGATGTCTTGCGGAAGAAGCAATTGATAAAAGTAAATTCTTCCTATTATCCAAAAACTTCTAATTGAAAAACAAGAACCAGAAAAAATCCAAGAAACTTTGAAATAAATGATGACTTTCGTTCAAGAAATGTCTAGCCTGCAAGGATTTTTGAAGGAAATTTTCGAGAAAATGGTATCCATTCAATATTGAGATATATAGATCGTCTGCCACTTCGGAAAGAGTTTGGTCGATTTTTACCTTCATCCACGTTGCGAAATGGATTAACAATAGGAAAAATAAAAAGTTATATTGTTAGTGTGTTGCAGCCTCGAAATCGTCGTTAGTGTGTTACAGTTTTCACTAAATTCTTTTTTTAATCTGTTTTCCCTTTTAAAGTTATACTGGGGATACGTCTGAATGACAGTTTCAAGTTTCAGCTTTCACTTTGCTTTTTATGTGTGGCTGGAAAATCATTCTGGTAGTAATAAATAGCTTTGCATTATTACTAGGGTAGGACAAGCATTCTGAACACAATATTTTCTGTAAGGTATTGTGAACACAAAAAACTTTGGATTTAAATTTCAATAACATTTTAAACTTTCCATAGCTTAAAAAATTCAACAAAGACTCTTTGAACNAGTCTGAAGAAGAGGAAAATCTTTTAGTGATGGAAAAAGTTTGATTTTATTCAAAGAATATAGAATTATTAGTCATTTAATGAAGCAATAACATTTACATTTATACCTGCACGATAATCTATGTTTGTATATTTAGAAGAATATTAATTATACATAATTAATAATCGTACATGTTCCCATAATAAAAGAAAAAAAAACAATTTAATCATTAATCATTTTATGTCAACAGAATTCAAACACGCAACAACATTTCGTTCATTATAATTCATTTGAGTAAATAAAAAAAGTTAATATAATTTAATCTTCCTCTTCTTCTTTTTCTTCCTAAAAAAACGAGAAAGAAATAAAAAAGTTGAAAAAATCATAATTCAAGCCATCTCACATCTTCTTCCTCGATTTCTTCTTCTTTAGTCTCTTCCTCCTTAAGTGGCACCTCTTCAACTGAAGATAAAAAATAGTTTAATTAATGATTTAATAATTATGAATTATAGAATTACCTGGAGGTGGCGTGGGTGATTTTGGTTTAGGATTGATACGAGGCACTTCATTTATAATGACGATCTCATCCATTCTCTTACGTTTTGGTTCTGGTTTCTTTCCTTCGAAATCAAGCATGTATGTGAAGACAACAGAACCAGCACGATTCTCAACTCTAACCATATATTTTCCATTATCACGATATGTATTTGGATCAGAAATAATTAATTTTTGCGTGTAATGTCCATTGATCTCGTCATGTTTAATTTGATATTTTTGATATTGTTTCCATGGATCGATTGGCAGTCCATCTTTAGCGAAAGTCCATTGCATTGTTGGTTTTGGATTTCCTCTTACACTTATTTCAATGACCACATCGTTATAAATTGGTCGATACATTCCCGTCATTGGAACGAGAAGTGTTGGTGGAATATCATCGGCAGGTTTTACTTCATCTCCATAAACTTTAACTTCACAGCTGCTTGAAATGTCACCTTTCTTTGTCTTCACAACCACCTTATAATGTCCAGCATCTTCAAATGTAACTTGCTTTACTTCCAAAGTCACCATTCCATCTTCTGTTGCATTAGAAATTATTCTCGAATCCATCGTAATCGGCTCATCGTCTTTCGTCCAAACAGTTTTTATCCTCGGATCACCTTCAGACACACAACATGAAAGTTTAAATTTCGATCCAACTTTTACAATAATGTTGAGAAGACGTTTGACAATTTCCAATGGAGTTTCTGCATTCTTTCTGAAGTCAACAATTCTATGAGCTCGAAACACGTAATGAGATATTTCGCTTGATTTTTCCATTTCTTTTTCTTCATTAACTGATGTTGATGTAGCTTCAATTGATTCTGCACTTGGCTCCTTAGGTGGTGGTGGAGTTGGTTCTTTTGGTGGTGGAGTTGGGTCTTTAGGAGGCGGAGTTGGTTCCTTAGGAGGGGGTGGTGTTGGTTCTTTAACAACTCGTGGAGCTTTGACCTTTTTTCGTCTTTCCTTTTCTATCAATTCACCATCTTCATCGTATTCTGATTCCGTTGTTTCATATTCGGATTCTCCTTCGACTAAATTTTCATCAACATTCTCTTTCTCAACTTCTGAAGCTTTTTCAGTTTCAACAGGTTCAGATTGAGGTAAAGGCGGAGGTCGATAAGCCATTCTCTCTTGTCGTTTCTTCTCTTCATTTTCCTGATATTTTTTGGTCTTTGTTAAGTCAGCATGATAAATGAAGCCACTGACAATCGGCTCATCTTTTCGTTCAAATTCAATAACATATTTTAAGAACTCCATGCCATAAGAGTTTTCACATTGAACCAAATATATTCCGCTATCTCTAAATGTTGGTTTATGTACGAATAATTTGTAAATCTCACCGTCCCGTGACATCAAATATTTATCATCATTCTCCAGTTCACGAGCGTCTTTGTACCATTTCAAGAACAATCGCGGTGTACCACGAATAACAACTTCAATAATCAATTCATCAGTTTGTGAGTTAAACGAGTGTTTGATTCCAAATGGATAATGAGGTGCGATGCCTTTATCAATTGGTTTTGGAACTTCCAACACTGTCAACGTGCATGTTGTTTCAATTCTACATTCCCGGTTCTTAACAATGCAGGTGTATTCACCAGAATGGCTTGGTTTTGCTTTAGCGAATGACAATGCAGCAACATTTTCATTGCTTACGTTCTTAACGTCGTCATTATACTCAACTGGGCTTCCATTATGCAACCAATGAACTTCTGGTCGAGGTCCTGAAATTTGACAAAAAAGCTTGACGCTTGTGTTCTCAACACCAGTTCGATTGTCAAGATTTGTCAAGAATTCCAATTGATATTTAGATTTCTTCTTTTCTTCTTGAACAGGTTCCGGAATTCCTTCTGGTGCCCCTTCAAGCCAATTTCTCTTTTTCTTAGTGATTTCTTCTTCATTAATCACAATTTCAGTTTCTTTTGAGTCCAACGAAGCTTCTTCACTTGATGGCATGTCCAACTTAACTACAGCATTTGTAACTTTGATGTGGTCATGTTGTAGAGATTCGACTGCTTTGTCTTCGGTCGTTACTTTGGTTTTTGGCCGGAAATTCATTCGTTCTTGTCGTTTCCGTTCTTCTTCGTCTTTGTATTTAGCAAATTTAGTTGGATCAGCATGATATAAACCAGCAGTGTGAATATATTCTTCCTTTCTTTGAACTCTCAAATAATATTTGAAATCTTCCGAACCAGCTTCGTTGACAGCTGTGCAACCATAGCGTCCACTATCTTTAATCATAGGGTCATGAATATTCAAACGATAAACTCCATCCGGATGACGAGTCCCAAAATATTTATCGTTTCCCTTCTCAATTTCTAGTCCATCTTTATTCCAGATTAAAGTTGGTCTTGGATAGCCGCGAACATGAACTTCCAACACCAAATCATTCGCTTTCTGATCGTAATATTCTGAAACGGAAATCATAAGTTTGATGATAAAATATTTTGTCTTAAATTTACCTTTCAAATTTCTTGTGAATGTTGGTTTAATCCAATTTGGATCTTGTGCTGGAAGAACTGTGAGTGTACATTCTGAAGAAGCCTCACACACATCATTCGAGGCAATGCATTTATAAACGCCAGAATCACGTTCAGAAACTGCTAAGAATGTAACACTGCCAAAAGTTCCACTCGAAGTGTTTTTAATTTTCGGTGGTGCAAACTCCAATTCTTCATCATTTTTAAACCATTTCAAAACGGGATTTGTGCCAACAACCGTACAAAGAAGTTTCACTTTCGTTCCAACTTTCACTGCTTGATTCTTCAATTCAGACTCAAATTCAATATGATTTCGAACTTGTTGCATAACAATACTGTCAGTTGCTAACTCTTCAGCTGTTGGAGGCAAGAAAACTTTTTCACGCAATCGAAGTTTCTTTTCTTTTTTCGGTATTAAATTTCCCCATTTGTCCTAATTGAAAATTTATTTTAATTAAACAATTTTTTTGATTAGAAAGCAAAAATTATTCACCATTTCGGGTTCATCATTTTCAACAACTTTGGGTGGAGTAACTTCATTAGATTCTTCTACAATCTCTTCTGTAGTTTCTTCATGTGGTTTCTTCGGATCAGCATGACAAATTCCTGGCAAATATTTGTAATGTTCCTTACCCACAAAACGAATCATTTTTCGGATTTCTTCTTTTCCTGCTTTATTTGAAGCTTCAACAATGAATCGACCACTATCAATACGTTGTGGGTCATGAATACACAATTTGTAGATGCCCTCAGGTTCACGCATAACGAAGAACTTTTCATTATTCTTAACATCCAATTTTACTCCATCTCTCAGCCATTTCAATTTTGGTGTGGGAACACCACGAACTTGCACTTCAATTATTAAATCATCAACTTCTTGACGATAATAATCAGTAATTCGAGTGAATGTTGGTTTGACAGCAACCTCTTCAACGTCATAAACAGTAACTGTTGCCTCGGTCTCAATGGAGTTGAAAGTATTCGCTACGCAACATTTATATAAACCTGAGTCACTTGGCACTGCGTTTGCTATTGTTATAATTCCCCAACCTTCCTTGGGAAGAATGCGAAGTTTTGGTGACTGTTCAATTGGCTTTCCATTTTTAAGCCTAGGAAAGATAATTAACTTAAATCATAAATAATAGAAGGCTTCAATTACCATGTAGCTTTAGGCGCTGGTCCTTTAATTTGACAACAAAGTCTCAAGTTTGATCCACTTGGTGCTATAATGTCCTTCAAAGTCACAGCAAACTCAATCTTTTTAATCTATTTAAGAAAACTAAATAAAATTGTTTACGATTGAAATAAATTAAAAGTTAATCTTACAGAATCACGAATTAAAAGTGGCTCAACTGGACCATCAAAGCGACGTCGTCTTACAATTGGCTTTCTTTCTAATTTCTTTTCTTTTTTTTGTTCTTCTTCATCTTTCTCGGCATTTTCTTCCTCGTTTTGATCTTTGTCAAATGAATTTTCTTTTCGTTTTTCATTATCATCACCATCTTGGTTGCCATCACCACCAGGTGCTGAAGAACCGAAGTCACCTCCATTTCCTGATTGTTCCTCATTTCCTGACGTTTCTTTGTTCCCGTCGCCTCCATTACCCGATGAACCAACAGAAATTGACTGGTCAGATCCTGAATTACCTGAAGCTTGCACAATTTCAGATGAATAATCAACCGATTTCTCAATAACTGGTTCCGGTTCTATTGACATTCTTAATGTTGGTTGCCAGAATGATTCCTTATGATAGACAAACATTGGATGTGTGTGTCGTTCAAGTTCAGTGAAATTTACTTTATGAGTTATTTTTGCTTTTCCTGTTTTATTTATCGCTTCACAAGCATACAATCCACTATCACTTTGAACTGGTTTATGAATTCTAAATTGATAACCACCATCATGATCTGATAGGAAATCAAAGCGATCATCATCCTCCTTCTTCATTGCAATTCCATCTTTATACCAAATAACTTTCGGTTCAGGTACGCCTCGAACATGTGCATCAAGAATTAAATCATTCTCAACATTATGATAGAATTCACCGAGAACACGTGTAAATGTAGGCTTTGATGTGTCTGTTACTGGAACGATCGATTTTGAGATGACTTTAATGGCTGCTTCAGTTGATACTTCACTGAAGGCATTTTTAGCAGTGCAAGTATACGTTCCAGCATCTGATCTTGCAATATTATCCATAATCACATGTCCTAAGCCATCACCACTGTAATTGCGAATTGTTGCACTCCATGGTACTGGTTTTTCATTCTTGAACCATTTAATGATGGGAAGAGGCCCAGACACAGCACAAATTAATTTAATTGATGTCCCTTCGATTGCAGTCTGATTACGAAGTTTCCCAGAAAACCATAAACTATTCTTGGAATTGTAAATACGGAAAGTTTCACTCTCATAAGGTTCATGAACAACTGTTGAGAATTTTCTTTTATAATGTTCTTCAATTGACTCACTTTCATCAACTTCTATTTCGTCTTCTTGATCATCAACAAGATCAGCGTCGATTTTTGGTTCTTTCTTTGTTGCTTTACTTCGATGCTTTTTTGATTTATGTTTGCGTGCGTGTGTATGTGTTTCTTCAGTCGTTTCCGTTGTTACTGCATTTAATGCTTCAATAATCTCTTCAGCTTTTGGAGGTTTGGGCTTAAGAGTGTCAACAACATTTTCTACTTCATTAATTTGTTCTTGAACTGCTTCATTGTTTGTTTGAATTTCTGGCTGTGGTTTTGGAAGTTTATTCAACATTCCTTCAACAAAATCATCAAGTTTCTTGTCAGCATGACGCATGCCGGGCAGATGAATTAAAGGATATTTCGTAACAAAATCAACATGATGATCAAAACGCTTCTTTCCTGCTTTATTTTCAGCAAGAATTGTGTACATTCCACTGACACTTGCATCAGGTCGTACCATTAAACATTGAAAGATTTCTTTGTTATCAATGAAGAAAACAATTTTGTTTTTACGCGCATGCAAAAGATGACCATCGCGATAGAATTTCACAGTTGGCAATGGCAAACCATGTACGTGTGCTTCAATTACAAGACCGCCTAAAGAGTGATCATAATAATCTGTGAAATAAAGAAAGAAATCATAAATTTAAATTACAATTTAATAACCAAATGAATTCACCTTTCACCAAAGCAATGTCAATGTGATCGGGTTCGTGTAACTTTCCGTCGTAAACCTTTACACGTGAAGACGTTTCAACTTCACCTGCACGATTTTTGAAAACGGCAGTATAAACGCCAGCATCTTTTTCATTAATTTCACTTATTTCGAGAGTATGAATTTCCCCATCGGTTCTTGTTTGAATGCGTTGTGTGCGTTCTAAAATGACGTCATCTTTCATCCATCGTGATTGAATGTTGTTACCTTGAACAGTGCACGTTAATCTTACATTGCTGCCTTTTGGTGCAATTCTATCAGGCAAATATGAGACAATGCTGGGACGGCAGAGTTCTCGGATATATTCACGAAATTCTTGATCTCTTTCCTTCTCAGAACGAACTGAAACCAATTCCTGAAACCCTGAATCTTCTTCATCTTCTTTTTCTTCTGCTTTCACTGCCTTCTTTCTTTCTTGTTGAACTGAAGGATTTTCTCCACCGCCAACAACTTCCTTCATTGCTGGCTTCAAATCGCATTCATTTATATCGGCAACTTTCATCCATAAGGATGCGTCAATCTCATAAGAAGGATCGATTTCTTCCATCACATCAAAATCGGAATCAAGATCTGACTCAACAGTTGTATCGGAACCTTTCACTTCCTTTAAGACGTCTTCAGCAATGCTTTCATCAATCGTCTGAATCACTTCACTGTTGACATCTTTCTCGTTATTCGGAATCGTTTCATTGATTACTTCAACAGCAACTTGTGGTTCCACTTTAACTGCATTCAAAGCTTTCTCATCAACAGAATTTTCATTCGGTGTAATGTTTAAATCATTTTTATCTTCTGATGCAACAAGATTATTCTCAATAATTTCACTGCCACATTCAGGTTGTTCTTCTGACTCATTCAGGCAAGAATCAATCGGAGTTTTTTTTTATCCTGAGATTCACATTTTTCTGTTGTTGCTAATATTTCATGACCAGGCAATGGCTTGGGAGCCTTTTCATTAAAAGTAATAAATTAAAAATTAACTCACTTTTCATGAATAATAAAAAAAAAGATTAAAAACAAGTTAAAATTACTTTTAGAGTTGTTCCCGTACGAATCGCTTCTTCTTCTTCATTTTCTTCAATGACCACAATTTTCACAGTTGGATCACTAACATCTTCATAGCATGCACGATCAATGACACAATATTCGGTTAAGAATAGTTGAATGTATTCATCAACATTCCTTACATCACTATTTGAAATATCCATCACACATGCTTTATCGATGATTGCACTTGATGATGCAACTTGCAAATTTGCAGAGTCACCTAATTCAAATGGTGATGGTTCGCGTTTAAAGTCTGCCGGAGTACGACACTTCATAGGATGAGGATGCAAATAATGACGATCAGGAGAATGTGAAAAACGCATTCCTGCTCCTATTATCGACGATGAAGGAGATGATCGAAGCTTTGAGACACTCGCCATAACTTTTCGATTTATTTTCACTTCACGATTGTAGTCGATATAAAAACCAGCACTTTGCACAACTTCACGTTCTAAACTCTTCAAAATCACTGCCGATTTATCTCAACTTCAGCTCATTTAAATACTTTTATCGATCAAGGTTTGTGGGTCAAATTTTGTGTTTCTGAAAATAAATCGAGAAAACACATGTCGATGACTTTCGCTGAGTGAATTGAATTTAGTTGGAGTTCAAATAAATATTGCGTTGAAAAGTCTATTCAATCAAGGTTTCAAAGATACCTCACGATGTGTACATCATCGATTAGATGATGTTTGACACTTATTTAAGTGCAGAAGAAAATTTTCTTCATTTTCTCATTTTTTGTTTATTTTGAGATTAAATAAGATTATTTTTTAAAGAAATGACATTTGATTCAACATTTTCAAATAGATACCTAGTTCCAAATTTGGATAATTTTTTGATTTCTTCAGAACACCACACTGACAATTTCATTTTTGAATAAACATGACAACTGATAAGAAATGAAATTTTACACAATTATTATTTCACTAAACTCTTATCACTTTTTTTCTTAGTGCGCTCACCTGTTCACTTATTCAACATGTGTGTGGTTGTCGTAAATTCAGATAAGTTACTTAGCGAAAAAGTGTGGAAGAATTTTCAATTCATTCGCTTTTTAATATTGCTTGGGCCTACTAAGTTTAACTTTGTGCATTTCTAATTAGCTACCTATTTAAATAACAACACAATAAAAGTATTTTTCATTCAAAATAGTGTGTTAAAAGAAGAATCAGTGAAATGTATCCTTATTATGAAACCGAATGGGGCATTTTGCCCATGGAACATAATCGAAGGTTTGCTTCAGAAGCTTTCAAAGCTCAATGCTCTTCAAGATGTATCCAAAACATTTATTGAAATATTTTCCATCGTTTTCTCACGTTATCAGGTGGAATAACAAAAATATTTCAATAATTTAACTTTAATAAGGTTATTAATAAAATATTAAACAAATTAATATATCATTTTAGAAACCGATTGTATCAGTTACTGAATTATTATTTTATGAAGTATTAGGTAAACGAGGCTTTCTTGATTTGCATGGTTGAAATGAAATCTTAATAATTTTTTTAAGTTTATTATCTACTTGTTGAAACAAATAATGTAAATTGTTGAATCAGACTGATTCCTAATTGAGCCTTAAATCTACACATCAAATTTGAAAAATTTGCTTGCTATAAAATTCTGAAATCATTTTATAGCAATTTTCGATAAAAATCGAGTGCCGAAGTTGTGATGAATACCTAATTTTATAAAAATTTGGAAAAAAAAGTTTCTCAAATTAGAAAACATAAAAAAATCACGAAAAAAATAAAACTTGATTAAAAATCTACTTTTATTGTGTTCTGAACTATTCGAAATAATTTAATTAAGTTGACGAATTTGAAAATATTTTTATTAAACAGTGCAATCAGAGTATTGTTCTTTATTTTGACTAAACCTTATCTTTCATTGTTCTACAAGATTAAACTGAGTTCTTCAGGTTCTAAATTTTATTTATCGAACTATTCTTGTGTTATTTATGATCAAAGTTTTAAAGTATACTATAAAAATGGTGATATCAGCCAAGTGATAAAAGTTAAAATAATTTTATTCTAAGGGTGTACCATTGAAATAAAAAAATTCACAGTTCATTCTCAAATACCTGACCAATTTCTGAAATATTCTATTTGAATTAGATAATCAGTAGTCAAAGATAAGTTTATTAACTAATATTTGATCAAGAGAACATCAGGAAAGAGTGATTTGTGTGGAGTTTATGACATTACATTTTTTTCGAAAACAATCATAACCTACATTGAAGAGAAGAAAAATATATGAAGAACTAAAGAAAAGACAATTTGAGAAACGTATACATCCAGATTGCCTTTGAAAACGCTGGAAGAAAGTGCTCATTTGACTGTTAATTATTAAAGAGTTTTCCTTTGGATTTATTCAATAAAATCATTTTGAATTCTCTTGGAAGCGATCAATTAAAAACATAAAAGGATGAATGCTGAGAGCGGGTAATGACATACATTAGATAACATTTTTTATCGTGTAAAGATAGAGCATAAGTTTCTACGATTTTTCTTCTCTCAATCACTTATAATGAAACCTGTTCATGACAACTCGACGAAAATATAGAAAAATGATTTAACGCTTTGAGTGAAATAAAATTTTTTTTACTCAAAACAAGGTCATTGAAGGTGCCACATGGAAGCATGATTGACATTGTTGGTCCTCAGTTAAATTTCTAACAGATTTAAATGTTTTAAAAGAAATCTTAAATTTTCTCATGAAATTTTTTGAAGAGCATTAATAACAACTTTAGCTCTGCTACCATCTGATAATTATAAGTAAATGTCTTTGTTCATTTCAGATTTAATCCTGGCTTGAACATGGCCACAATAAGACAAGCGATTAACGAAACAATCGAAAGGGGTATAAGTAACAATTGCGTCTCAATTTGAATTAATATACAACGAATTGATGCTGATTTTTAATTTTAGTGAGAATGCCAACTCCAACGCGTTTGCGTGATCTTATTCGACAAATCAGAGCAGCAAAAACTCAAGCTGAAGAACGAGCTGTGGTGAATCGAGAATGCGCTTATATTCGATCAACATTCCGCGAGGAAGATTCTGTGTGGCGATGTCGGAATATCGCGAAACTCTTCTACATTCACATGCTAGGATATCCAGCGCATTTCGGACAATTGGAATGCTTGAAACTTATTGCAAGTCCGAAATTTACTGATAAAAGAATCGGATATTTGGGTGCAATGTTATTACTCGATGAGAGACAAGATGTGCATCTTTTAATAACAAATTGTTTGAAAAAGTAAGACGAAAGTTTTGTTTCTGTGCACCAAAAATATTTTAAATGATTTTTTAATATTTTTAGTGACTTAAACAGTCCAACACAGTTTGTTGTTGGTCTTGCACTATGTACTCTTGGAGCCATCGCTTCACCTGAAATGGCACGAGATTTGGCTGGTGAAATAGAAAAACTAATGAAATCACCAAATGCTTATATTCGGAAGAAAGCCGTTCTTTGTGCTTTTCGAATCATTCGTCGTGTGCCTGAACTCATGGAAATTTTCTTGCCCGCAACTCGCTCGCTTTTGAATGAAAAAAACCACGGTAAAAGTTGCTTCTTCATGTTTTTGTTCAAATTTATTCATTAAGCTGGAATTATTTATAGGAATTCTTATCACAGGCGTGACGTTGATAACAGAAATGTGTGAAAATAGTCCCGATACGTTGAATCATTTCAAAAAAGTGAGTATCGAGTCGATACAATGTAATTCAATTGAAATTGTTTATTAAATCAAGAAACGGGTTTCTTAATTCAATGAATACTTATATTTAATTAACATTGAATTTATAACAACATCAATTATCTACTTCGAGTGAATTGAATTTAATTTTCCTCTTTTTTTTGTTACTTTGATTAAAAACAATTTATTTTTAATTTAAATGAAAATTTTTATCGTGGTGATTTAGGACGATAATGGATTTCTAGAGGTAAACGCGCTCCAGCCATTAATCAATTCTTTATTTTCTTTAATCCGCCTTCATAATTTTCTCAGTTGCCTTATTACAAAATTCACTGGCTTAGGTCGTGTTGAGCTTACGATCATCAAAGGCTATTCAAGTTAGCTCTACGCTTGTTGGAAAAATCTAATACAATCTCTCACTTACAATTTTTTTCTCAAACTTATTTTTTAAATTTATAAGACTTTAATTACGAGCTGCTGCTTTTCATTTTGGGGATTTTTGAGAATTTTAATATTAAGTTGAAGCTTTTGCATGAATTTTAAAATATCAAATGATGTTCAAATTCAAATTTCATCATTGAAACAACACCTACGTTTAATCAACAAATGAAATGAAGACCTCTTAAAAGATTCTTACAAAATCGAATTTATTTCTCACTTGCCATTTAAGAAGAAATTTTAATTAATTTCAATGCACAAATTAATTTTTTTTGTTTACATTTCAGATCGTTCCAAATCTTGTGAGAATATTAAAGAATCTTATTCTTGCTGGTTATTCTCCTGAGCATGATGTTAGTGGTGTCTCTGACCCTTTCCTTCAAGTGAAAATACTTCGACTTTTAAGAATCTTAGGTCGTAATGATCCTGATGCATCGGAAGCGATGAACGACATACTTGCACAAGTTGCAACAAATACGGAAACAAGTAAAAATGTTGGGAATACGATTCTATATGAAACTGTGCTTACAATTATGGATATAAAATCTGAAGGTGGATTAAGAGTGCTCGCTGTTAATATTTTGGGACGTTTTTTGCTCAATAATGACAAAAATATTCGCTACATTGCACTTCATACTTTGTTACGAACTGTTCATGTTGACATATCAGCTGTTCAACGTCATCGAAGCACAATTCTCGAGTGTTTAAAAGATCCCGATGTGACCATTCGAAAGCGAGCAATGGAATTGTCATTTGCTCTTGTTAACACACAAAACATTCGTGCAATGGCAAAGGAATTGTTGATTTTCTTGGAAAAAGCTGATCCAGAGTTTAAAGCTCAATGCAGTTCAAGCATGGTGAACTCTGCTGAGCGTTATGCACCAACAATTCGTTGGCATCTCGATACGTTGCTCAATATTTTAATTGCAGCTGGAAATTATGTTCGCGATGATGTTGTCTCATCTACAATTCAAATTATTTCAAGCAGTCCATCAAACGAGCAAGGAGTTATAACTGTTAAGCTTTGGGAATCAATTCAAGAGACTTTAGACAATCAACCGCTGCTTCAAGTAGCTGTTTGGTGTATTGGAGAATTTGGTGACAGTTTATTATATGGTGATGATCTTGAATGTAAGTTTTTAGTGACAGAAGTTGAAAAATAAATAAAATTAATTTAATATTTTTTTATTTTAGTTACTTTGGAACGTCCAACAGAATCAATTGTCATTGAACTTTTCAATAAACTTTTATGTTCAAACCAAGTGAACATGGTTAGTAAACAATATGCCTTAGTGTCGCTAACGAAGCTAAGCACAAGATTAAAAGCTGGTCAAGGGTAAGCAAATGAAAACCTTTCATTAAATGTTCAAATTTTGAAATGAATTTTTGTCTTAACTTAGTGAAATCAAAGGAATTGTCGAAGCATTTGGATCACATTTGAATGTTGATTTACAACAACGTGGTGTTGAGTTTTCGCAACTTTTTGGTTCTTATAATCATCTGCGTACATCATTGCTTGAGAAAATGCCTGCAATGACGATCACGAGAATGAATGGAAACACTGAAGGAAGTGGTGAAGTTGAACCATCAAATATTAAAGTGACAGATGAGAAGAGTTCAACAAATGGAAGATCGAATACTGATACGCTTCTTGATTTACTTGGATCAGGAGATGATATTATAATGTCAACAACATCATCAGTTATTCCATCGAATACCACAAATACTGTTGAAAGCAACAACTTGCTTGATCTTCTCGGAGACATAGATCTTTCAGCTTCGACAGCACCTGTAATTGTCAGCAATAACAACAACAATTTATTATCATCGCCTGTCACAATGTCGATCTTTGATGACAATGAAAATACAAACATTTCGGACGTATCGGGAGTGTTTAGTTTGAATGGTGACAGTAATATTCCTGATAATTTCGATCTTGGACTTGATGCGATGCCTCAATCACCACCAACAAATGCAAAGATTGTTACAGCGCTTGACAAAAATGATCTTTTTGTTCAACTTTCAATGGTTAATCAAAGTGATTATCAGCAGATCAACATGATAACAACAAATAATTCGAAAGACACTCTGGAGCAATATTTATTCCAAGTATGGCAAATAAATTAAGTGAATTAAGAGAATTTAATAAAATTTTCTCTTTTAAAGGCTGCAGTTCCTAAAAGCTTCCAACTCCAAATGATGTCGCCATCAGGTTCAGTTTTACTTCCCGGTGGTAAAATCACTCAAGAAATGCGAGTTAAAAATAATTCATCGAATGTAAGTAATGACTTAATTAAATTTAATTAGGTACTTATAAAAATCTTTCTTTTTATTTTAAATACTTTCAAACAGGCCGTCCTTCGAATGAAACTAAGGATTTCATATTTGTGCAATGGAAATCCTGTGCTTGAACAGTGTGAAGTGAGTGAGTTCGGCAAATAAAAAAACTTCAGCATCAATCAATAAGCAGAAAAACATCCTCGTTCTTACTTATTCCATATAAAATTATTTCTTTTATTGATTTATTTCCGCTAATATTTTTAATGAAAATCAAAACCATGTAGGAATTTATCACGTTTTTTTAAAAAGATTCATTGCTGTTATTTGATAAGCGAGTCTAAGACAAATGTTGTTATAATTATCATGAGAAGCGATGACATATATTCTGTTCAGAGCAAATAACATCAACAACAAGACATAAAATATTGTATAATTAATTGTATTTGAAACTTTTAATCATTTATTTCTTGTACTTAATTTGATTAAAGTAGCACTTTTCTTTCTTTTATTAAAAAAACTAGTAAATGGTTTAAATGAAAATGAAAGAAGAAATAAAAAGGAAAACTAATTCATATTCATATTATTCAAAGAACTTTGAATTTTCTCAGTGCTTCCGGGTTTGACAATGTCCTTCTTCTTCTTTATCGTATCAACGATAGGTAGTGGCTTTTTCTTCTCTGTTACCATATTTAAATGTATGTTTTTAAGAAGTTGATCTGATTTTGCTTTAGTCTGGAAGTTTTGCTGTTTAAGTTTCTTCTTAATTTCTTTTGTCTTCTTTTGTTTCTTTGCTGTTTTACTTGATGACACGGCTTTGAAGATATGCTGAGTCTTTTCTTTCGAATGCTGCTTATTCTTCTCTTTACCGACGTTCTGTTTATTTTTCTTCATCACGAACACCTAAAACGACAAAGAAATAAGAATAAATTACTTAAAATCTCAATCAATAACGACTTTATTACATTTTCGTTTAGTTGGGACAATAATATAATCATCAGACGAATTTCTTAAAATATCAGATGTAAGAAAAAGATCAACTCGCATCATGTCTTTATTTGGTGCGACATTTCGAACGAAAGCAATTTCTTTTAAGTTAACACCATGTATGAGCTTAATTTTCATATGATTTTCAACCAACTTTTCTGCCATTATTTTGTTTTTCGTATCATCGACGCCTTTAACAAAACAATAACAATGACAGATGAGAGGTTGAATCTTTTCAAATCCTTTATCAACATCTTTTAGAAGTCCAACAAATGAATCAAGAAATTCAACAGCCATAGCAGGAAGATTCATTACTATGTGAATTGTTCGATTGTCAACATTCTCTTTTTCCATTAGCTTCAATAAATGATTTTTGACGTCTTCTTTTATGAAATCACGACCATCTTTATTGAATGTTTGAACATTTTGTAGAAACCTGTTTTTGCTGATTTTTGTCTTATTTTTATTAACATTATGCTCAAGCCACTTATAAGATTCAGGATTCAAATCATTTGCCAAAACAATTACATGTTTCTTTCCAGCTGGAACCGCAAATGGTCCAACTCCCGCAAACACATCATAAACAATGTCATTTGGATTCAGCATATTAACGATTCGTTGATGTTCCATTGACAGTCTTGGATTCCAGTATACTTTTGAAAAATCAAATTCAAATGTTATGCCATTCTCTTTGACTTGCACTTGATATTCTGGAACACCACACAATAATTCGATTTGAAAGTTCCTAAATGTTGTGTCGATTGTCTGAGCTTTGTTAATGACTGTTTTACAACCAACTGTTTTATCCATATATATTTGAGCAATTATTGTTTTAAATGGCAATACATGATCTTTTAGATTTAAATGCAAAATGTGACCGATTCTTGAGTATGAAGTCGGAATTTCTAAACCTTCGGGGATTATTGCTTTGATAAGATCATCGGCTTTCCAGTTCTCATATCCGAAAGACATTTTCTCAAAACCAAATGACGATGAATTAACGCCAAGACTTTCTAAATTTGAGCATGGTAAGTCTTCCCATTTGCTGACAGTACCAGGATTTAAAAATATTTTTTCATTTGATTTTGGACGAAAATGATCGAGTTTTAAGAAATCCTTTTTCAAATTCTTAACGATTTGGTTCATATTTTCTTTTTTTAGGCCTCCTATTTTAATTGTTGGTATTTCTGCAATTATATTGAACCTTTCCTTGTCTAATATTTTAAGTCCGTAAACTTTTGGTGGAGCTAATTCCATTTTATGTGAGTAATTTTTACTATTTTTAAAAAAGCTAATCAACGTTTTGAAGAACCAATGATTTCTCATTAGACACCACAAGATTCAAGTTTATTATTTCTATTAAGTACCTTTTAAGTAAGGGAAGCTTGTGAAATATTTGATTGTTATTTATTCTTTGGTGAAAAATAAAACCACCTGGAACTTAGGAGACAGAATATTTATTTTTTCTGAGTAGACAGATTTAAATTTTCAAAAAAGAGCTTTTTAACCGCTGTTCTTTGAGTAGATTTGTTTGCAAAGCTAAGTCAAGTGAAACAAAAAATCTTTTTATTTAGGTAGGTATATGTACATACATATTTAATTTATTTATTAGATAGGTAGATATCTATTTCAATTTTAAAAGTAATTTAACATTATTTTACAAATTTTGTCCTTCAATCACAAAACAAAAGTTCTATTTACATGAGAAAATTAATTATATTTTTACCATGAATCTATAGATGCTTTAAACTTGGTCAAGTAGGATTTTGATTGGCTTTAATTATCGTAAAATTTACTATGCTGCAAAATTAAATAAAGGAATTTTATCACAGTCATTTAAAATATAAAAGAATGTAATGACAGAATTTTTTATTTATTTAAATAAATATTTAGCTTTCCAATCTGTTCGATTTCTTGTTAATATTTTACTCGTTTCAATTGTGTCTAAATTAAAATATAAAATAAAATTAATCGATTCAATATTACCTAATTTCACAATTAAATTCTTTACCTTTCTTATTTATTTCATGTTGAGTATTTTTTTCCTGATTTTCTTTCTGGACAAACTTTTGCGATTGCTGTTCCCACGGAAACAATTTGATTGCAACATTGTTAAGTTTGTATTCAGGTCTTGAATTTCCACTAACAATACCACTTCTAAAAACAGAAATGGTTAATTATAGCAGACAATACATGTTCAATTTAACGCACTGATTATTAGAAATGAACGTCTGTTGTTCAGGTTGCTGTCTTCGATTCATTACTACACTTGCACTAAGATGTTTTTGATCAAAATTTGATGCGAATAAATCATTAACAAAACTCCCTCTTCGATTTGTAGAATTTGTGATTGGCACTGTTGTAGGATATTTTGAGTGTTCGCTTTTAGAATATGAAACCTTTCCAAGTAGATCGTCAATCTGTAAATCACTGAAGTTCCTTTCCGAAGGTTTAATTTCATTTCTTATAAAGAATTGAATGGTAAAGAAAAACATTCTAAGCCATGAAGATATATAAGTTAAAAAATTAAAAAAATTACCCTAAAATGCTTGCAATGTCATCATCTACAAAATCATCCCATTTCTTGTTAATATTCTTGCCAATTTGTTCAACTGCTTGTCTTGCAGCCACATTAGAACTGTCGAAAAACCCTTCATCAAAGGAATTGTCTACAATTCCTTTCGTTAGTTTCGAAAAGCTTAAACTAGAATCGTTTCTTTGTCTTCTCTTTTGAAAGTTGCCTGATGGTTTAGGTTCGTGAAGAAAGAAACCTTGATTACTATTAAATGAATTATTTAAATAAAATGAATCATTTTTGTCGTTCAAGAGATTTATGAAAACATCGTTGATCTTTTCATTCTCGCGATCTTTTAATTTCTGTGGAGGGTTCTCAGTTTTTACTTGTAAATCTTGATCTTTGTCTGAATCTTTAATAGCTTTAAAATCCTTGTCGTTATTATTTGTGTCTATTTTCATGTTGTTAAACATGTCGTTAATAATGTTGAAGTTTGATTGGAATTTCGTTTGATTTTTCGTCGTTTCATGATTTGTGGTTGAGAATGAACCACTGTCGTTGTCTTTTATATTTCTTTGTAATCTTGACAATAATATTCCATTTGTGTCATCAACATCTGGTCTTTGAGAAAATCCTGATCGAATTTTAAATTTATTGTTTATTGAAGAGTCATCTAAAGCCTCCACATCCATGATCGACAACACGTTGTTATAGTTTTGTAATGATTTTTGATGTAACGATGTTGATGAACTATTCTTCATGTTCATGAAGTATGGATATCTTTGAGATTGTTGAGCGTTTGGTCTTTTATCAGGATTCCAACTAAGTAAATCTTCAACGAACTTTAGACCTTGTTGACTTGCACCTGTAACAATTGAACTCATTGGCAGTTTTGGGCATTCTGGAAATTTAAATTGAATTGCTGCAGCTAAGCGATGTCCTTCTGGCCATTCGTCCTGGAAAAATCATTTGTCAAATAAACAATTCTATAATTTTCAAATTTTTAAAACCTTTTCAGGAGTTCCCAAGACTGAACAAACTTTGAAAAGCTGATCGACTTCGCTAGACCCAGGAAACAACGGTCTAAAGGTGTAAAGTTCTGAAGCAATGCATCCAACAGCCCATAAATCAATGGCACTTGAATACTTTGTTGAATGCAATAATACTTCAGGTGCTCGATACCATCTTGTCGAGACATAATCAGTGTAAGGCGGTCTCGATCGAATTTCTCGAGCTAACCCAAAATCGGCTATCTTTACAAGTTCCGGTCCATTACAAAGGAGATTTTCAGGCTTTAAATCACGATGAAAAAATCCATGACGATGCATAAAGGCTAAACCAGCAAGAATTTGTAATAAGATCATTTGCACGGTACTTTCAGGAAAGTGAGTTGAGCGATCTTTTATAAGTTGATATAAATTTTCTTCCATGAACTCAAATACGAAATATAAAATATCATTCTCTCGTATAACTTCCTTAAGCTTCACTACATTAGCATGGGAAAGCTTTTTGAGGGACTAAGAAAAAATAAATAATTTAATGAGTATAAAATGTGAATTAATGTAAGGGATTCAATCATACTTTCACTTCTCTCAATGCCATCGCTTCTTCCCATGAATAATATTTTCGTTTCATTCGTTTGATGGCTACTTTCTCACTTGTATCTTTCCTTTTTCCAAGCACGACAGTACCATACGTTCCATCACCCAATTGCGATAATACAACGTAGCGATTCATTCTTTTACTGTTTAAAATTTTTTACATTGACGATTCCAAGATTATTAAAATTGATTTTTTGATGGCGACTTTGTTTTATTTATCTATGTAGATAATTAAATTAATTAAATATGTTATTAAAAAAAATGTTGTTTACTCAGATAGTTTTATTAGAAATATGGAAATGCTTTCTTCAAATAGAAAACTCTTTAAAACCTAACGTGTTGTAGATAGTCGAAAAAAAGAATCGATTAATTGTATTAATTTTACATGAACTTGTGTACAATTTTCATCATTGTCGCATTGCTATCATTATTTTATTATTTTCGACCTTGATTTTATCTTTTAAGTGACATTCAAAGGAAAATAGAGAAATGATCATGGAATAAAAGTTTTTTCCTTCAGCTTTCGGTAATTACACAGAGGATAATTATGAAGTTCAAGGTTTGTCATGCGTCACGTTTCTCTCGATTGATAAGCTTAAACGTTAACACCGTGACAATGTATCTATTTACCAAGTTTTTGATTTATTTTATTAAGATTTTTTAGATATGAATAAAATTATCCAACAGAACTAATTTAAAAGTTTCTTGAAGAATATTAAAATTCCGATTAATTTTTCCTTTACAGTGTGTAGGTAATCTTCAATTATGAATGTTCCAATAACTTTTAAACTATATCGAATCGATTTCTTACATTTATATTTACGTTTCTTCTTTGTTCCAGCACTAAACTTTCAAATTAAAGTTTAAACTATTAAATTTGAGATGAAAACCTTTAGTAGAAGAAATCATTAAAGTTTTTTATTTCACTTTTCCTATCTGATATGAAACCCAGATTGAAACTTATAATTTGGAGGATAAGTAAGTAATTAATATTGAAATGATTCATAAACTTTTCGTTTGAATTTGAAATTCACTGCACTTTGCACATTTAAAAAATTTCTTAATACTTTGATTCCCTTCAATGATCCCGAATGTGTTGCTACACTTTAAAATATTTTAAATGATTTAGTTTTATGAATTCGCTAATTATTTTGATAATAAACCTTTTTTTTGCTTGTAACAATATTTCTGAGTTTAATTTTTTCATAAAGCTGTTTTTTTGTTGCCTCTCCTGGTAGTGAAAAAAATTCTTTGTTGTTTGGTTGTCATGGGTAACGAAAAAGCATAATTCAACCGTAACATAAATAATCAAAAATATGTATGTAACGCGTTAATGAAATGTTATTTATAGCTTGTTGTCAGATTTAATGACTTTTAGATAGACACCAAACTTTTTCATATTCAATCTTTTACATCTAGACAATGTCTACCGGTCATCATTGAATCTTATTGTCAATTTTCCAATTTTCAACTCTCAATATTTTTCAATTTTATGTGTGCTTACTTGAGTATCAAAGGAGAAATTGCATTGTAATATTTTTTATATTACCTAAATAACTTTTAAATGAAATAAAATAAATTAAGAAAACAAAGTTGATTGATTCGTTTCAAATAAATTTCGCGCTTTTATATTTTAGAATGTTAATGGTAGAAAAAAAAAATGCGCATGCCTTATAATATTTTCCATTGAAGGAAATCGATTTCATAAAAAGAGAAGAGCTAGAGAAATTTTCATTAATAATTTTGTAAGTGTCGTACTTTAATTACCTAACATACATTTTTTTCAATAATCAAATAAGAATGGAGAAGAGCAATCTGCAAGGTACTAATAATCGAGTATTTCCACGAGCATTACAACCAATAGGACGAAATGTTTGGGACTTGGATTTGAATACACTTTCATGTGGAATGAATGAAGAGAACGATCAGCAAGAAATTGCTAGCACTGACTCCAATATTCTTACTGAAAACGGTGGATCTGAAATGCTTCTATTCCGCAATCCAATGGACGATGAAGATCTCGATGTTTTCGATTGCTTCAAATCTGGAGAAATTTCGGAGGTTGAAAATATTGTCGATAAATTAGGAGCTGAGATTTTGAATTCAAGAGATCGACATGGTTATACTGTAACTCATTGGGTTGCATTGGATGGTAATGTAGAACTTCTACGTTACCTTATAGAAAAAAATGCTCCAATCGATTTGCCTTGCTTGGGAATTCAAGGACCTCATCCAATTCATTGGGCCGCTCGAAAAGGTCACACAGCAATTATTCAATTACTTTTGCAAACTGGTCATGTGCACGTCAACACAGCCGATTTCAAAGGTCTTACACCACTCATGACAGCTTCAATGTACGGTCGAACCATTTCTGCTTGTTATCTTTTGGGAATGGGGGCACAACATCATTTAACTGATATCAATGGTGATACAGCTTTACATTGGGCATCTTACAAAGGACATTCAGAAATTATTCAAATTCTTATCAATTCTGGTGTCGATCTTCAAAAAACTGACAATTTTGGATCAACGCCACTTCATTTAAGTTGTTTATCTGGTAATCTTCAATGTGTTAGAATTTTATGTCAAAAACGAAATTTAGATTTACAACCAAAAGATAAAAATGAGAAAACTCCATTGATGTTGGCTCAAAGTCATCGACATTATGAGATTGTTAAACTTTTGCAAACTGAGATGAAGGTAAAATCTTTTCTTTTTCTCATTTTAGTTGATTTCATTAATTTTTTATTGTAGAAGAAATCTCGATGGTTTCCAGCATTATCTGAGGTATGGGGATGGATTTTTGGGGGTGCTGGAAACTCTAAAGGGCCCTTGTTACTCTTTCTCGTGTCAGTTCTTCTTTGGGGGTATCCAATGTATATTATTCGTGTGATTCCAATAACATGGAACACTTTACGTCGCTCACATTATGTTTTTATCTTTTGGAATGTTTTGATGTGGATTAGCTGGATAGTCGCAAATCGAAGAAATCCCGGTTACATTCCTAAAAATTCCGATTCATATTATCAAGCGATCAAACAAATTCCATACTTTGATAAGTGGAAGAAAAGGTCATGCAACACGATTTTATCAAGATTATGTCATAGTTGCCGTTGCTTACGACCATTGCGTGCAAAACATTGTCGGATTTGCAATCGATGTGTTCAAGTGAGTATAAGATACATCGATAAATTATAATAAAATTATTTGTAAATATTTGGTTTCAGTCTTTTGATCATCATTGCCCATTTTTAAGGAATTGTGTGGGACTCAAAAATCGTGTATGGTTCTTTTTGTTCGTATTATCGATTGCGACAAATTGTTCATTCACTATCTACTTCGCATGTTATTGTGTAATGATAGAAGGATTTACTTTGTTATATGTCCTGGGATTATTGGAAGCTTTTATTTTCTGCGGCTTTGGTTGGATATTGACATGCACATCAATTCTTCATGCTTGCATGAATCTTACGACAAATGAAATGTTCAATTATAAACGATATCCTTATTTGCGTGATAAACGTGGAAGGTATAGCAACAGATTTTCTCGCGGAATTGTTGTGAATCTTTTCGAATTCATCTGCATGAGGCCATCTTTTGATGAAAACATTTCGTTGGACGAACAACTTTGAAAATCATTTAAAACTTCCAGATCCACTCTTCTGTCTGAGTAGTTTAAATCTTTTCATTCACTTTCTATGATCGATTTAAAGCACTGATGCGAGAATTTAGAATCACAAAATAAATTTATAAAGTTTTAAATACAAAAATACTTTTAAAGTCTCTAATTAAAAATTGTAAAACTTTTCACTAATATAGGTATTTAAAAGTTTTAGCAAATTAAATGCTTTTTGCGATTATATTGAAAGCCATGTCCTCTTCAAATCAGCATCAAATTGGACCAAATTATGCAACAAGATTAGAAATCTAAAAAATTCGCTTAAATAAAGTAATTGCTTCTTGTTATTCCAAAAAGATCAATAAAGGAAAATATCTTGAAATTAGTTTTATTTCATAAACCTTTAATTCTCTTGAAGAAAACTTCAATACACTTTACTATAAATTTTATTTCTTCTTCCGACACCTTGGACAATACCAACGACCTTTGGGTTTCGAAGATAGACCAACACAGCTGAAATGGAACCACTAGAAACAAAATTAATTAATAAATTGGAAAAAGGAATGAAATTAAGCAGGATTCTCACCTCTAAATATCCGGTTAAAAGTTGAGAAAATGGAAGAAACGAAAACGATAAAAATATTATAAGCAAAAGTTGAAACAATTATAGTTGAAATAAAAGATCACCTATTGGACAATCGTTATTGTCACATCCAATCATCTCGCCATATGAGACTTGATGGCATAAGCAGTAAGTTGGTTCATTAGGATCCACTGGCATATCCAATACATCTCTGGATGGTGTAAAATGACCTTCAACAGGTGGCTCCTCAGCTTCAACAATTTTCTAAGAAATAGAAACATTTAATTAAAGTTTTCAATAAAAGAACTTCATTTACTTTCTGAACTTTCCGTCCTCCTTCAGACACATTTAATTTCTGCTTCTTGGAACTTTTATTTTGTGTCGTTGTGCTAACAACTTTCTCGTCTGGGTTTTCATCTTCATCTGATAATGAACGCTTCTTTTTTCCTGACACCTTTGGATCTTTCGTTTTCTTTCTACCTTCTATCATAATCGGAAATATAAATAAATGATTAAACATTAAGATGATAAATTTTAGTCTCACTTTTCACAGCTGTTTCTTCAGATTTTCCATGAGTAGCAACGCTAATGGTTTTTTCTTGTATTTCACCTTCGAATCGTGCAAGATCGGAGTCTAATCTTCGAATATGTTTATCAACAAGCTCATATGTTTGTATAGCAAGTTGAACTTTATCATCTCCATACTCTTTTGCTTTTGTAAACAACTCTTGAATTTGTTTTAGTTTTGACTTCTTTTCTTCTTCACTAAGGTTTTCTTTTGAATTAATAGTGTTTTTCATCATATCACAAGCCGTCTCATCAATTTGAATCATCAATGTTTGTGCTCGTTGATCCAGTTCTCTCAATAAAGTAAAATTTCGTTTAAGTTCCGTTGGGAGAGATTCTAAGCCTTAAATTAAAAACCAAATCATTTTCATTTATTGCAAAAGAAATGAAAGAAATATTTTACCATCTAAATAATGTTCCAAATATAAAGCAGAAGTCATCTCTGCTACTTCGTTTTTATGTCATTTAAATGAAGAAAACATAAAAGCAAACAATTTAACTTTTATAGCAATTTCTGCCGCGACAGAAATCGAGGTTTAAGGAGTGAAATATTCACTGCAGAGAGCGCTGCCCACACGAATTCAAAACGAACCGGTTCAAAAATTTAGTAAACTAAAAGTAGGTAGGTAACTTTTTACGCTAAAACTAAAGAATAAAGATACAAATTAATTCAATAAATTTTGTTTTATCTAACAATCAAATTATCCCAGAAGTAAAACTTAGTTCAATCTTATTAATGGATGAATCAGTAAACGTACAAGATGAAAATGCAAAGGTTGCTGAAGATGCTTCATTAAACAAAAGCATTAGTGATATTAATATAAATGGTAAGATTTCTAGCAATGTCTGTATATAAGCTCTTCATTTTCTTTCTTATTAATAAGATAATAAGAAGGATTGCAATGAGACCGGGCGTAGTAATCCGTCAAAAATTTTGTTAAACGTTCTAAAGCATTTATCACAAGAAAGTATCAAGGATTTAATAAATGAATCCAATGAATCTCAGAATGAGCCTGATTCAAGTTCAGTTGCTGTCGAAAACAGCAATGAGACTATTGTGATCAAAGCCGAACTAACCTCCAATCAAACAGAGAGTTTGAATGAAAGTCGGATGGATGTAGATGCATTTGAACTTCAAGATGGTCAAATTACTTCAAACAACGAAGAAACATCTGATTCTATAATTTTATTGCTCTCTGATGATGAAAATGCCGAGAAAGGTGAAGAAAATGCATCAAAGAAACCAAAACTTGATTCAATCGTTGAAGAAAACATATCAGGTGAAGTTGTAACAGAAAAAGTTGAGCAAAATAAAAATAATGAAAATAAGAGTGATGATAAGGAGAATAATCGTAAATTTAATGGAATATCTAAAGATTGCATCAACCCTGAATGCTCTCATGGGTCTTCAAAATTTTTGGAATGTTCAATTTCTGTTTTGAATTTTTATTATCGTCCAAAGAAGAATAAGCCGCAATTTGTGTGTGAAATATGCTTTGAAAACGCTATGAAAAAGTATGAAGTAAGTACTGTTATAAAGAAAAATGTTTCATAATAAAATACACTTTCTTGTCCTTATAGATTCTTGTCGATACTTTTGTCAACAACAAACCACTTCGCGATATTGAAATGCATAAGAAATATGAAATGGTTGAAGTGATTGATTCTGATGAAGAAGATGAAAATAAAAATGAATTCTTCATAAATTCTAAACTAGAGCAAATATTATTTACCACAGGAACTGAAATTGAAACGGAAGGAATCATGCAACAAATCTGTAATAAAATTGATATAACAACACATTTGAGACGTGAAAATGACGTTATCGCATCACGTATTAAAATACTTGAGAAATCAGAAAAGGATTTTGAGAAACAATTACGACATGTCGAAGACAAATCACGTTTATGGTATAACGAGTTGTATGCAATTAACAAGCCATTAATATCGAGACGACCGTCCTTAGATCTTCCTGCAAACACAAATCCGAGCATTAAAGTTTACCAATCATCAAGAAATGAAACAACATCAAATACCAATGAACTTCATGAAGATGAAATTTATTATGCCATCTGCTCACGTTCTGAAGGACGAATTGGACAAACTTGGGCTCCATGTAAACTTTTGGAAACAATTGAACAAGGAGCCAATGGCAATAAAATGTACCGAGTTCAATTCATTGATAACCCATCAAAATGTGAAATTGTTAAAGGCAAAGAATTCGCTTTGAGTAAAATAAACAACGCATTGAAAATTGGCGCTAGAGTCATAGCACAAAATCCACGAGCTCATTCAAAGACACACAAAGACATTCACAAACGATTCTGTCCTGGAGTGATCGGTGAAAAGCTTTCAAAATACAATAAATCAAGATATTTAGTGTTTTACGATTACGGCCAAGTGAATTATGCAACTCCACAACAAGTCCGTGAAATTGCTGAAGTATCGAAGAATGTTTGGGAAGATGTTCATAAAAATCTCTCCGAATTCATTCAAGATTATTTACAAAGTCACACACAAAGACAACGTGCGCTTTTAAATGTTCACATAAATCGAACTGTTGAAACAGAAAAAAACGGAATATGGCGTACTTGTACCATCGCTGATATTGATTGTAGTCTTGTCAAGTTGTACTTTCCCGAAGAAAATGTCTATGAATGGCTTTACAGAGGATCAAAGCGACTTGGCCCTCTCTTTAAACAAACAAATAAAAACATGAACATGAATGCAAGACGAAACACTGACATCACTTACGTAACCATCGATGATGATGATGAAGACGGTGATGATGAAAATGTTGATAAAACTTCCATAGATTCAGAAGCAAATAAAAGAAATACTGCACGAAAATCAACAGCACCAACTTCTTTGTTAAAATCATCATCAAAACCTCCATCAACAAGTTCAAATTCAGCACCCACCAAAACTATCATTCTCAATGATGACCAATGTTATTTATATGAACCAAAAACAGTTACAAAGTATCGTCATTTCACTCCAATCGCAAGCATTGCTGCTAAGCAATACGCAATGCACACTTGCTCAAACTCATGTCTCGTTAAACCGTCGCATAAATTGCCATCATATAGTCCACTGCCAAAGCCATTATTATCGAATTGGGAGCGACAAATCGTAAGACATAAAAATATTAAAGTTGTTTTCTACAAAGCACCATGTGGAAGACGATTGAGAAACATGAATGAAGTTTGGGATTATCTCAACATCACAAAATGTGACTACTTAAATGTTGATAATTTTGATTTTGACACTCATATTCAAGTTTTATTCTTCTACGATATCACTAATATAGAGGATTGTCCACTATACATACCAGACATGTCAGAAGGCAAAGAAGGAATGAAAATTCCTGTAATTAATGCATTTGATAAAGTTCCGCCACCTAAATTAGAATATTCAGCTGTGAGACTTCCACAGAAAGGTGTAAACATCAACACCGATCCTGATTTTATGCCATGTTGTGATTGTACTGACGATTGTTATGATAAAAGAAAATGTTCATGCTTTCAAATGACAATTCAAGGATATAAGTTTGCAAATCGCAATGAGACAATGAATGATGATGATATCTCTTATGTTTGGAAACGATTATTAAAGCCAGTTCAAACAGGAATTTATGAATGTAACAGTCGCTGTAAATGTTCAAGTCGTTGTCTTAACAAAGTTGTTCAGAATCCAATTCAAGTGAAGATGCAATTGTTTAGAACTGAAAATCGTGGATGGGGATTAGAATGTTGTCATGATATTCCCATGGGAACATTTATTTGCATTTATGCTGGTCAACTGTACCCTGAAGATGATGCCAATGCACTTTGTCAAGGAATTGATCATGGTGATGAATATTTCGCTGAATTAGATATAATTGAAACAGCAACAGCAATGAAGGAAGGATATGAGTCTGGTGTTATATATGAAGAAGAGGAGAGTGAGGATGAAGAGGAAAGACCTTCTTCCGATTCATCTGACAGTGATTATGATGCTCATAAAGATCACGAAGATGAAGATTTTATAAGTAGAACAAAACAATCTGGAAATCGTGAAATTATCACAAGGTCAGCTCGTGGTGATACAAACAAGAAAAATTCTTCTGCTAAAAAAAAACAAAATGTCAACGAAACATCAGATTCTGATAACGAAATGGTGAATATGTTGCCTACAGCTAGTGATGGTTCAGGAGAAAACCCAAAATGGAAATTTTCATTGAGAAAATATTTTGGAAAGAATGAGAAAGTTTACATTATGGACGCGAAGCATTGTGGAAATGTTGGACGATATTTTAATGTAATTAAATTTTAAATTCATTATTTCTTCTTTTAAACTTTGGTTTTATATTTCTAGCATTCTTGCGATCCGAATTTGATGGTGCAAAGTGTTTTTGTTGACACCCATGACATGCGCTTTCCTTGGATTGCTTTCTTTGCATGTCGTGCTATAAAAGCTGGTACTGAACTAACCTGGAACTACAACTATGAAGTCGGCAGTGTTGCTGCAAAAGTGTTATATTGCAAATGTGGTTCAAGAAATTGCCGTGGAAGAATTCTTTAATCATTCATCTTTATTTTTAATTCATAAATCTTCAACTATAATTATGTCGCTGACGTTTATAATTTTTTTATATTAACAAATCTTTCTTTCTTGAATAAATCTTTGCGACTTGCAATGAACTTAAGATTCCATTCGTCACGATTGTTTTCTACTAATTTTTCAATTATTTCAGGGTGCCGATGATCAACTTCCATCCACAAATTTCCATCTATTTTAAATATACAATAAGTTTAATTTACAAACATTGTGAAAAAAAATATTGCTTACTTTTGCTTAGATATTTTGAAGAAATTTCTAACAAAAGTTGAATGATATTCAAGCCTTCAGGTCCACCATCCAAAGCTCTGATATCTTCATACAAGAATATTTCTGGAGCTAATCTTAAAAGATCTTTAGAAGGTACGTATGGAGGATTTGAGACAATAACATCAAAAGGCCCATTTTGAGAAATTTCCTCTGGAAGCGAATCGTCTTTTAGTTTATAATTGAAGACTTTCAATCGGTTTGAAAGTTCAAGATTTAGGGAGTTTTCCTTTGTAAGTTCACACGCTGTCTTGCTTTGATCAATTGCAATTATTTGTTTTACATTAGGCATGAATCTTAAAAGTGATAAACTGATACATCCAGTTCCACAACCAACTTCCAAGATCTTATATTCCTTGGATGAATCTAATTCTTGTGTTATAATATTCACAAGTTCCTCAGTCTCTGGTCTAGGAATAAAGACTGGGATCTTCATTTTTAGTCTGAGATCATTGAAATCCCATTCTTTTAGTATATATTGAGTTGGCATTTTACTCAATCGACAATCGCACATAGACTCAATCATTTCAATTTGATCGGAATTTAATTTAAGTTCATTTTTTATTTCGGAACGAACATCACTAAGTTTATCCTTTCCAAGGACGTGTGCAAAGAACAATTCCAAACTGGAAACAGCTTCGGAAACCTTTTCATTCTCAAACTTTCTGAAATTATAAATTTTATATGATTTATCAAGTTTTATTAGAATATTTCGAATATTTTTTACTTTAGTTGGAGTGTGAACAGATCCTTAGAGCTTGTACTACAATGCCGGTTGATCGATTCTGGTACGTCATAAGCTTCAAAAGACTTTCTAGCATGTGATAAAAGTCTCAATAAACCAGAAGAACACTTTCGTATCATTATAATTATCGTATCGTATTGCTATTCAATCCTTGAGTTTTTTATTTATTTATTCAACTTTTCATGTGAATATTCTTAAAACACAACATTAAGCTTGATTTTTATTTAAACGTTGTCATTCAAATATTAAAGTACTTTTTTAAATATATTACAATCAGAATGGTTTATTCATAGTGTTGTTGAAGAATTTCATCTCAACACATGGAAAAACTCAATTTTAAGAACTTTCTTAAAAAGTAGGTAAATACATTTACCTACGGTCGACTTGTGCATTGTCACACTACTACTATGAAAAACGTCGATTTTATACATTCCCCACCTGAAACTGCTTCCTTCCTAGAAAGTTTCAGGTGGAGAGTGTAGTTAATCTCGGAATGAGAAAAAATCTCGGAATTGATGGAATTTGACCACTTGTATGAAAAACTGAATTCGGTCTCCTCAGGTTGTTTCAAGAGGGGTATGCAAGTAAGTTTTGCTGAAAATATTCAATTAGTGCATCAACATTGTCATGTAAACATTTATGTAAAAGAAACATTTAAATATATTTCTTTCACTAGTGAACAATAATCATAAAAATTATTACACATGCATACTGAAATATTTGATCTTTCATGCTTTTCCTTACACAATTGGTATGAGAAGTTTAAAGAATACTCAATAAAATCACTTTTAATACCGATTCCATCAAATGTTTTGGATTATATTCTTTACGAGCAATTTATTTTACCAAAAGAATGTGGGGAACTTAGTAAAGAAACCGATTCGAATAATTTTATTGGAGAAGAGTGCAAATTCGACAGTGATGATGACAATGACGAGGATTATAATGCTCCTGAGTTTCCTGAATTTTCCAAAGTAATTTCTGAAACTTTGGAAAAACTTGGTTAGTATGATAGCGATTAAAAACCACATGAATGGACGCATAATTTATTTTATCTTTAGGAAAAAAAGCTTTTATAAAAACAAATTGGAGTTGTCCTAAAGATTCCTGTTGGATTACCACAAGTAATATATTATGCGTTAGCGACCTGACAGATGTCTATCAATTGTTAAAAGCGTCAAGCATTTGTCAGCAAGATTTCTTGAAACCCGGACCTCATTACCTAGTCATGAAAGAATGGAAGGAAATCGACGCAGGGGCTGAATTCAGATGTTTTGTTCGTAATAAGAAACTTATTGCTATTTCACCAAGAGATTTCCCAGAATTTCATCAACATTTCGAATCACACAGACTTGAAATTATTGAAGATATTACGGATTTCTTTAAAAAGAAAATCGAGCGTAAATTCAATACTTTGAATTGTAAGTTCATACGTTTCTGAATCATTGAATTTTTTAATAAATACAAATAATTTTTAGACTGTTTTGACATCATCTACAATTCAAGAAATAATTTGACAATTATTGACTTTTCACCTTTCAACGCAGCTTACACAGATGCTTTGGCATTCAAATGGGATGAATTAATTTCAGAAGATTTCAGTTCTCCAGAATTTCGTTATGTCGAGTGTGACATTGGCATTCAACCAACTAGCAAAAATAATTACGGAATACCTCAAGATGTTATTGATATGTTCAAAGAACCTCAGGAGAACGACAAGGAAAACTTCTCTGTAGATGAGGGCTTAGTTAATCAAATACATCGTTTGCTTCTTGATAAGAAAGTTCAAAATCAAAATTAACATTAAATATTTTAAAAAGCTGGCACTCAAAAAATAAATTATAATTTTTTTGATATCAATATTTATTAAATATCAACTTTTATTAATTTTTACAGAAAATTTCATTTATTTTTATGTCCTATGTTTTGAGTAAATCATAAGAATCAGATATCTAGGTAGGAAGTGTCGGATATGTTTCACTCTAACTCCCTTGGAATTGTAAAATTTCAATTGTTTTCGTTTTGACAATTATTTTTATTGAAATATTAATAACAATCAAAACGACAACACTTTAGGTAGATTACAAATCGAACAACAACAAAAAATTCACAAACAGGTACAAACAATTTTGCTTGTTCGCAGAATAAATTTAATTTCTTTTACTTTACAATTGATGTACAATAAAAAGTGGTAGGTAGTCACATCGGTTTTTGCGATCTAAGAATCCAAAAAATTAACAAAATAATAAGTTTTTACGAATTTCTTTGTTGCTTAAATATATCTAAAGACTTTTAAGATATTTAAGCTTTAGTTTCCTGTTTTGGCATCGCTATTGCTTTTATCTTCAAAAGGTTTTACGCTATTTGTTGACTTTACAGTAATCTTAAGAAGATAAAGAGAATCGAGAGTTAACAAGATATGCAAGGACATCATCATCAACAACTCTTACCTCTAAGCTACTGTCATTGTCTAAGGCATTTCTCACAAGTTTAGCTTCATTTGTGAAAAGAAAACATGTTGGTATATTCACATCGTCTTTACCATCTCCCGACATTGCGAATGGTGGTTGATTCACGATTGATGTATCAGGTATATTGTCAAATATTATTACAGCAATAGCACCACTAAGCATCGCTCTTCTTGCTTTATCAACAAATGTGCAGTCTCCTCTTTCAATAATTGCAATTTTTCCTTTTACATCGTCTTTGTTTTGAATCTCAGAACAAGCATGGGATGGAATCACATATGATGCTTTTGATTTCACAGAATTCACCACGTCAGGACTGAAATGTGATGGACCAGCAGTTAACGCAACTTCATCACCATTGGGTTTTCGAAACGACACGACCTATCAAAATATAAAAAGAATATTAATTAAATTATTTAAAAACTATTTTTTTCATATAACTTTACGTGAAGCTCTGTAGATTGCATGGTGTTCATTTTTGATAATTCAATCATTTCCTGCATGAAAAGGAGTCCTCGCTCTGCTTCTTCTGCTGACTTTGCGTTATAAAAGCTATGAAGAAGTTGAACTTTTCCATTCCCAAGTGATACCATTGTGACGCCCATGTCAAACAAGGTTCGAAGATGATCTGCATTACTTGCTTGAAATTCAGAAGCTCGCAATCGGTTGTTGTTGGTGACACGAGGGCATGTTGCGCTGACAAGATCTCGTAGAGGTCGACGGACTGTCTCAGGAAACAACTTGTTTGGAGAAGGACACGATCGCATAAAATCAAGCTCGATTGAATTTAAATCTTCATCGTCTTTCGATGCTGTTGTTATATTGGATAATTGTCCCAAAGATAATGGCAGTAAATGAGCTTCCGTGGTGAAGATGAAGTCGTCGATATTAATTAATAAATCTGATTCTTCAGTGAACAACAAATACAAATATTTTATAGTTTCCGATAACAAATACGAGTCCATTCTATCTTCATGCTTTCCAGTTCTAATATCAGTAACAGCAGCATAACCACATGCAACTTTTGCATGTTTCTGAAGTGTCTTTAATATCTTTTTGCCAACTTGCAAGTAGTAGTGATCACCAGTAGCTTTATAAAGAAAGTAAGTTGACTCAATGAACTCCGGTCTTAGATGATATTGACCCCAATGAATTTGAAAATCGTAAGTGAATGCTTCAGGAATGAAAGTATGCATTTGCATAACTTGATAAAGCATTTCATGTGTTTGAACTGCTGGTCCAATATCACCAGATAAAACTTGAAGTCCCGGCCAAAATGCAAGAAGTGCATCCATAAAATTTTTACTCTTTGTATGTGGTCGATGCATATGAACATCAAGTAAGATCGGCCCTTGTCGAATATATTTCATAATGGCATTATAATGACGATTGAATCTTGACAAATAACGTTCATCACCGAGTAGAATGTAAGATTTCAACAAATATTCATAATACGAGTCGATTCCAGCACCAACTCCCGAATCTCTTCGAATCCAATCACCTGAATGCACATTCAAAACTGTTCCCATAAGGTCAGATGAACGATTCCTTATTTTCCATAAAGCATCCATTGCCATATGTGCTCTTGCTTCGAAAATCGGTTCTCCACTTAATCTCGACAAAGCAGCAAACTCAAGTAAAATTGTTCCAGCACATGCTGTACAAGTTTCCCGTGAATGCTTTAAAGGTTCAGATTTCATTCCATATTTTAAATTAACTCGAGCATGGGGGATGCCTGTTGATGTATTGAATGCTGGTAACAGACGATATCCAAGATCTTTAGCCATTTCTAACAGTTCTCCACGATACCACAACATCATGCTGGCTTCTTTTTGGATATACTCAACTAAAACATGAGCTGACAATAATCCGCCAATCATTCGAATGTTGGTCTCAAACACAGATACAATAATATCGCTATCGAACTGAACATTTTTAATGACCAACTTCACAGCTGATTCAAATTCTTCTAAATCTCCCAAAATTACCAGTGTGTCTAATGTGTCTACCAGCGTCATTGAGAAACTGTTAATAAAAACATATTTTTATGCGATTAAAAAGCGTATAAATATGTATACACGTCATTTGATTCGAGATAAGGTTTATTACATTCACATTTAATATTTTTTCTACCTGAGAAATTTTTTTTTTGAGTTTTAAGCCAAATGAAGTGATTCGTGGCATAAGAAAATTCAACTATTTTGACCTGATACATACTTACATCGAGGTAAGATTTGGGATAAAGAAAATTTATTCAGGAAGAAATGGAAACAAGGAGTTACTCACTTTCCTAAGATGTCATCCATGTCACCCCTTGATGGAGAAACTCCTCGAATTCTTCCTTTACAGCTAAGTGGCTGCAATTCATCAGCTGGAAAAGCATTGTCCATATATGCACGATAGGCATGATAAAACATTTCACGGGCCTAAAAAAAATTCAACACAAAAGTGAAGGAAGAAAACAAAAATTTTAGGATTTTTCAATCCTTGTACAGATCTTTAATTTTTTTAATTAATTTACCTCTTCCCTAGAATAGAAAATAATTTAAAATAAGTAAATACTTATTAAAACGAGAAATGTGATGTTTTACTTACTTCAATTCATGTCTTTCTTTTATTGATACATGATTTAGTGATTGTGAATTTACTAAATTATGTTCGAAAACTAAAAATATCACCAAACACACAATTTTGAAGAATCGTGCATTACTAAGATGTACCCAATTCATTATACTGTTATATTATTTTATCTTCTGACTACGATTACTCATCGTTAATAGTGGAAAAATAACAATCGAAGCACAAAACACAAATATCTGATTCGATATTTTATTTTCTCCCTGCGCACTTTAATTTTTCTTGTTTTGTTTTAGCATAAAATTGATGATGTTTACTAAAAAATGCTGAAATTAAACAAAATGATTTAAATTATGTTTAATTATTGTTCTTGTTGTCAATTACAGACTTAAAGTGGATAGAAAATGTTACCAAATAAGACAGAATGGATGAAGTGGAGTATTTATATGAATAAAAACAATCAAAAGTAACGATATTTAACTTTAACCATATAAAAATAGTATCTGAATTTGTTTGCTTTTGTCCGTACGTTTTTACTATTGAAGTTAAGGGGTATCATGGTATGCTTCCCAACAATACTGTTGAAGTTCATCGGGTAACAATAATTCTCCTTAAAAATTACAACCTATTTACTAGTGGAAATTCGCATAAATTGCTAATTTCATTTTGAATTTTATTGCTCAACTGTTTTTTTTTTCTGATATTATACCTAAAGGAAATTAATTTTTTCTTGAGTGAAAAGCCCTAAATTTTAATGGACTGAATTATTTATGTATGTTATTTTATTAAATCTCTTCAACATATGAAACTGAATCTTGAAGATGCCTGCCTGTATGAGACGTGACAAGAATTTTTAAAGCATTAATAAATTTATAGAAGATTACTTATAAGAAACAAATAAATTTGTATCAATAACATAAGAATTAATTTGTTCAATAAATAGGTAGTTAATAAAAGCTCTGACGTAAGAATGTATGATGAAAAATTCTATTTTCACTACAAGTTTCTGAAAAACCCTCAAGAAAGCAATTAGAAGTTATTTCATTAAAAATAAATTGCTACTTAATTTTAAGGCTTAATTAATTTAAAATGCAAACTAAAATGTTTTAATTATTGCATAGAGATTTAAATTAGAAGATCATCTGAGAGGAAAATTAAGACTAATCTTTCAGTAATTGAATATTAAATTAAAAATTTATTTAGATCCCTACATAGATATACCTAAGTAGATGCCTTTCTTCATCTGATATACATTTCTTTTATTTTTCTCTCCTCTCTTGAATCAAATTGTAAACAATAATTTAGAAATGAACTATCTAAATCGTTTCGGAAAATTCCATGAAAATCTTTCCATTCGGAGAGTGAGTTCATTGGAATTTTTTTTCGCAATTTTCCATATTCATTTATGCACTTGAGATTCAGTCGAGATTTTGATCCTGAATCGTTGCAAACTTTTTTAGTAAGTAAGAGTGTTTAAAATTGAATTTTTGCAAGAAAAACTATCTACCTTGCAAGAAAGTATTCTAACTAAAAGTCTTAAATAAAAGAGTGCTTAAAAACATGTAGAAAGAATCGAAACTTTAGTGAAAATTTGAATTTAATGTTTATAATTTAAGGACAAATAAATGAAGTGTACGGGAGAAAATATGATGGAAACAATTATAAAAAAAATGTTTTCGTGCCATATCAGTTTTTGATAAGATGTTTTAACAAAAAAAAATTTTCAATGAATTTGTTCCAAATTTTTTTTTTCACTTTCATCGAACAATCAAACAAATTTCTTTTGTGAAAATATGAATCTTTTATTTTCTATAGCAAATTGAAATCAAATCTTTTATTTGTTCATCAATCTCTGTTATAATTGGTTAGATAATTGACCTTTACATCAGTACAATTATCAAAGGTTTTTCTCATAAGAAAAACATTCTCCAATGTCAAAGGAAGAATAAAATGAAAAGAAGAAAGCTTTATGTAGCAAATCACATATTGTTCATCATTGTATTTTTTTCTTCTATTCCTTGAGATGAAGACTGAGAACTCGTTTGATAATATTTATTAAACGTTTAAGTTATCAAAATGTAATCTACAAATGCGCAAAGCTTTGCCGAATTGACATTGTCAATGTCATTTTTCTTATGTTGATTAACTGATCTAAACCTGTTCAATGTATCAGTTTTGTAATTCCGCGCGTTTTCATACCATAAAATGGGCGATTCCGAATTCAACTGAAACTTTTCTTCATAGTTGAACTTATTATCAAAATTTCAATACGTTCAGACTCTTTCAGATAATAATTAGGTACAATATTTTGATACGCGTGGTTCATTCTCAACCCTTTTTATATTGTATAAAAATACAAATACAGAATACAAATTTTTTTAAAATAAAAAATATTTTAGATAGGCCTTTAAAATATTTAATAAATATTGTGAAAATTTAAATTTTGAAAGTTTCAAAACATTCGTATAAGCAGAAATTCAAAATATCGAGTTATCTAAAAGTGAAAAACGAAAAAAATTTAAACTTCAAGAAATTTTTAATGACTCGAGATAAAATATGAAAAATAACCATAATTCATCAATGTGGTTAATTCACAATATGGAAGAGGAAAGAAAATTTCGTTTTTTTGAAAAAGAAAATGAGTCTGTCAAATATTTGCCAAGTACTTAAAAGTTAGTGAAAAAAAAGAGACATCTTTTGTATCCTCTTGTTTATATCTATTAAACAAAATGTTTGAACTCACAAATCTATAAAGTGCGCAGAATCACTAGATCATCGTGACGGATTATTTAGCTTAATGGAAAAGCTTTTTTTATTTTATGTGGAACAACTAACAAATTGAGGGAAATTTTGAGTAAATATATAGGCCAAGGCATGATTTTAAAATTATTGAAATTAGTTTATAATTAATTCAGTTTTTATAAATTAAGATTTTTCCTAACAAATAAACGAAACATTTATCATTGAACATATCTGGTCTTATAATTGCTAAGCATGTTCATGAAATTTTTTGATTGTGTTTTCTTTTGTCAAGAGATTTGATTAACAACCATGCAGTATTTGTTTTGCTACATATCAAATAATTACCCAATACAAAATAAACAGAAAGAAAATATATTGGATTGTAAAAAAAGAGAATAAAATTTCGAGGAAAATCATTTGAAAAAATGTTAATCGATGATATTTTTTATTTTATTTTGATTAGTCATCAAAGTTAGATAAAATTAATACATAAGCAAAAGCTTTCGTCCTAATTATAGATATAATATAAAAAATGATAATTAACATACTATCCATAAATCTTTAACTTTCTTAGATGTTCAAGGTGGAAGTAAGAGATATCAAAAAAAAGCGGTGATGGGGATTCTTCTCATACCCCACGGTTCTTCATTTCACTCGTTGGATAACATTCATCATTTAACTATAGGCAATCTCTTACTTTGCATCACATTTTTTGAGGTCGCTACAGCATTCCAGATCTTTTTTACTTATGCTGCTGCTGAGCAATTTGAACTTGAAAACAATGCGAGACCATTAGTGTCATCAGCTTGTGAAACTAAAATTTTAGATGAGGTGCCACCTGATCCGGTAATAATTGCATAATAAAATATAATTGGAAGCAATTTCATTATAATGCGATTTAAATATTTTTTAGTACTACGATGCTTCTGACGTGACAATTAATGCAGCAAGAAAATTAAGCGAATTTATTATTAATTCAACAAGCAAAGGAAAAAAGTCATCAAATTATTCATTGTCCAAAATTGATGTTTTTCGGATGCAAGCAAATGCACTGGCAAACGAAGCTTTGAAGAATGATGATAATCTTATAGCATTTGCACTTGCAGCCCCGTCACTTCCATTGGCAGTTGTGCAATTTCGTGAGAAGGTCGATAATCGTAATATTACCGACCACGCGTTCTTGAGCATTTATTGGCGTGAGCTTGGAATCGCATGGAATCAAACAGATGGTGCACAATTTTGGGGTGCGCCATTTAAAGACTGTGGGCCAATGAAAGGTCGATGGCTTTGGCCTTTTAGTGTTACTGTTGTTGTTCAAAATGTCAAGTAAGTTCATTCTTGTCTACGTTGACATAATATAAAGTTTTTCCTTTCTTTCTATAGGACTGTTGCTTCATCATTTATAGCAGCTGATCAAGATGCATGCATAGATGCATTAGAAGAAATTTTTGGCAAAAAACACAGGTAAAGTTTATGGAAAGGCTGTTCCAAGATATACATTTTAAAATGTTTCTTGCCTAATTTTCATTAGTTGTGACCGTGAAACAACTTTTTGTTTGATGACCGAATCTGAGCCTGCTGAATCTGTTTCACAATCTCCGTTAACAAACACCATTTCACGACCAACATATACTTGCGTCTGTAAAGAAGGTTTTTACATTCCAAATCAAACACTACAGGGCTTTCCTAGCGATAAGGTTGAAAGTAAAACAGGAAATTTCAGCTGTGTTCCATGTCCAGGTTGTGCAATGTGCGACAAAGATGGTTCATGCTTTTATGGGCATGAGGAAGAGGAAGAATTTTTGACGGAAACAGTTTTGAGAACTTTCATTGGAGTTATTCTTGGAGCTTGTATTGGAAGCTGCTTCTTATTATCATTAACTGTTTTTCGACAGAGAAAACGTAAAGTAAGTTTTCAGCCATTTCAATTGAATAATTAAATTAAATATTTTTTAATTGTCATTGAATTTTTCTTTCATTAGACGATAGCAACAAGCATGTGGACCATATTAGAGACTATTTTGCTTGGAATTATCTTCCTCTATTCAGCGGTAAGATGAAAATAAATTTGTATGTTATATGTTATTAAAACTGAAATTTTGTTTTAGGTTGCTCTTCACTTTCTACCAGCTACATCGTTTCGATGCATGTTAGAGCCATGGTTAAGAGAAGTTGGCTTTATAATCTGCTATGGTGCCATTGTTCTCAAATTATATCGTCACTTGGTAGAGTTTCGTACACGAAAAGCACATAGATATGTCGTGCGCGATTTAGATTTGTTACGATATTTATGTGCAATGATTGTAGCTGTTTTATGTTACCTAGCAGCTTTTACTGCGTTGTGTATAGATTATTTAGACTTTAGCGAATTGACATGGAATGTTGAAATGGAAAGCATAACTACAAGCAACATGTGCAAACCCTTGAAATGGGATTACGTGAGTTTTAATTAATAAAGTGATTTGAAAATAATTTTTTTATATTTCCTGAAAATATTTGCTTATTAAATGACTTTAAATTTTCTATTTGACACACAAAAGGTCACACAATCTGGAGAAATGTTAATATTGAGCTTTGGAATTCAATTAGCTTATGCCAGTAGAAATGCTAATACACAGTTCAGGGTAAGTTTCACTTATATTGTTTTAAATTTTATGATTTTTAAGCGATAATTTTTTTCTGACGCCATATTTCTGTTTTAATTTTTTCTAAACAGGAGAGACAATTTCTAGTCGCTTCCATTGTCATAGAGTTTATAGTTTCGTCTAGCTATTACATAATAAAGGACTGGTATTTACCGGAATTAAATCCAACAACGTTGTTATTAGCTATGTTCATAAGATCCCAACTTACCAACACAGTCACAGTAATTCTCATATTTATGCCAAAAATTTATTATCAACATAGGCAGGTGAGTCAGAAGAGCGGAAACTTCCTGAAATGTTGTTTTCATGAAACTTTTTTCTGTTCAAGAATAAATAATTATTGCTTAGATATATAAAAAAGTTTATGAAAGTCAAATAAATATCATCATTCCAACTGCTGTTGTAGTTAGTTATCATCCTTTCCGATTTAAAGTATTTCATTCATTTGATTACATATTGAGCTTGAATTTATATTTGTAGATTAATGCTTTTAACTTCGATATCATTACCTACACATTTTTGCTGAATGTCTTCAGGCATATAAATTGCTTCTATTTAACCAGCAAATATTAAATAAATTATTTTTGATTTCTTTTGTTTGCTTTAACAATATTTGAAAAATCAAATGATTTCTTGCATGATAAAAATGAATAATTTCATTTATGATGTCACCATATGATGATTTGATTTTGTCACAGTCACTTATTCTTCTTATTTGATATGTTTGTTGATGTTGTTTCACTGTTCAACCCTAAATATGTATAATATACAAGAAGTTACTTCCCATACAAATGGTCCTAGTCCATGAACTTTCATTTCGTTTACCTGTCTGCGGTTTTAAGGGCGCACACGAAAGCTCACATCATCATCATGGTTTGAGTGGGTATGCTGGTATCTGTTTTGGGGACCCCGAAGCAGGAGATCTCACAATATCTGAGATGAGTCCCGAAGAAGTTCGATCAGAATTGAAAAGGTAAAGTTTTTTACTGTTTAAATCCAGCTATCCAACAACTTTAAACTTTTCTACTTTCTTCTCTTTTCCCCTTATTAGACTGTACACACAATTAGAACATTTAAAAAATAAAACATTGCGCTTGGACAATCCACACATCAGTAAACGTCGTGGAGGAAGAAAAGTTGCACATCGACGGTTCTCATTACAGGTAATGTACCTTCATTAAAAATAAAGTTTGTGTACATACTTAGAAAGAAAAAAGTTTTAATACATATTATCATTTATATCCTGCTTTCTTTTTTTTAAAGCGAATTGTTTAAAGTTAAAGGGAATTGACGGCTTTTCCATCGAATTCTTTGCTAATTATTTTAGTTATGTTAAAATTACTTCCTTTCGTTGTCACCACACTTCAAACTCCCTTTTCTATACTAGTTCACAATCCTAATCGATTTATATTAGGATAAAGAATCTATTTATATCCGCAAATTTCCCCATAAGGCGCTATATTTGTTCACCTGTTGATAAGATATTTTCTATCATCCTCCGCACTTACGCTTGCTTAGTTTAGTATTAGGTACATACTTTATCTTCAAAGAAAAGCACAAAAGTTTTCATATGTACATGTATATCCCTTTCCCCCTCAGACATTTCCGTAATATCTAATGTAATTAGTGAATAAAATATGACAGTTAGATATAATTTTTCTTTCCTTTCTAAATCCTACATAGAATGTTAACATTATTGTGAAAATTGTTCCGTTTCGTTACCCCAACTTGAGATCAAACCTGAAAAGTATTAGTTAATGATCTATTTCCCTAATAATTGAATGAGCTTAATTATTTTGTTATTTTATCCCTCATTTTATTTACATAAATGCTCCCTTAAAAAATAATCTCGCTCCATTTCTCTTTCCTTAACCACCAACGATGTATAAATGACATGGAAAATTCTCTTGTTTCATTTTTTCTGTGTGCCACACCAAACTGTATAAAATGTTCGAAATTCATGTTTAATGAATCAAACTGTTCCGAACTGTATAAATATAATGTAGAAGAAAGGAAGTCGCGACAAGGTAAATTTTTATTATATTTTGTACATCTACTTTTTTTCTTTCTTACTTTCAACTCTTTGCTACCACCTTCGTATCAGCATTTTCATTTTTGATTTCTCTTATTAGATATCTAATTGGTTTTTAATTCATGTTTTTAAAGCAGGCATTAAGCTAAATATTTATGAAATGTGAAGTGACGTCGGTCATATCTGTTAAATTGGGGTTAATATACCCAATGATGTTATGAATTTAGTTGGCATCAATTTTATAAGTGACTGCCCTGAATGAAAATAAAAACAGATTTTAATTTTTCTTGGTCCAAAAACATTGCTCCATAAAGTTTGCAATAAATCTTGTTCAGAAAGTCAAATCCAATTTTCAGATCGTTAATAAAATAAAATGGATATGTCTTTTTTCTTTCTTCGCCAATTTATTATTCTAAAGAAAATGACGATGTTGACAAAGTGACCCTTTATTAAATATATCTTTGTTCACAATTTTTCTCTTCATTCGTTTTCTATTGAGTTTTCTTATTTTGGAAATACAACAATATTACAATGGGACCTTAAATAGATAAATTGCAAAAGAGATCTTGACTATTTATTGTGTCAGATCTTATCCACAATGTTGACAACATATCTAAGGATGATAAATTTAGTTTCATTTACTGCTTTATGAGAAATATTGCTTGGTTTACATTTTTCTAGTTTCTTCTAAATATTATTTAGAAAAGTGTTAAGAAACTTTATTTCTCTTTGATTCAAAGGCATTAAGTGCAAAGCACCGTAATAATCGACCTCCACCAAGTCAAGACGTAGAGATCACCGAAGCGGAACCATCACGAACACCTGAAGATTCAGTTTGTAGTATTGAAGGTCCTACAGATACTGGCACCGGTGGAGAAGCGTCAGGCATTTCAGCATCTAAATAGCATCCACACATCCAGGTGACACATTTGTAGGCCAAGTACAATGTTAATTCCTGTATCCAAGAAAGTATGGAACATGTATATTTGTAAGTTTATCAATTGAACTATCTACCGTGGAAAATATATCTCACCTTAATAATAATAATAATAGTCATAAGCATGAATGAATAATAATACCAATAGTACAATATTGAAGCTTCTTTTAAGCGTTGAATAGAATTCATTTGAAAACAAGAATATTGAATAAGGTACATATTTATGTTAGCATAAAATATATCTAAATGGAAATATCTATTAGAAACAAGTGTATAATTTACACTATGTCACAGCTTTATGAAATACAAAATCAGATTATTATAGATCATTAAAAAGAAATTCCAAAATAAAGTACATAAGTAAGCTATTCATTTGACTGAATTTTATAAACTCAACAAGTAACTGAGTAACGAAGTCAACCAAGTTGAAAATAAGAAAGCTTCAAGAATAAATCACAATGAGTATTTGAACTATTGAGACGAGAGGAAAAGTTTTATCAAGAAAATAGAAAATGCAGACCGTCGTTCTTAACTGTTAACCTTCCACATGTGGCGTAAAATCTTTGATAAAAAGTTATCAGCATTTTTATGTTCTTCTAATAAACCTTCTGTAAAAGTCAATCTTCTAAATAAAGTGATTTAAACACCAATCTTTAAATTATTTTCCAAAGGAACGTAAGACAAAACAAATCTTACACTTTATCTTCCAAAAAGGTTTTACGCCTTTTGAAGAACGATTCCAGTTATCTGCATTTTTATTTATTTTCTAATGGTTCGCTCAAATCAAGTAACAGCAATCCATAAAATAGACTCACTGCACATTGCCTTGCACATGCTGGAGAAATAGAACGCACAACAACAACAACACAAAACATTATAAAACCATATAAGAAGACAAACAGTATTAAAAAGGAAAAGTGAAATTTTACATTCCACAATGCCTCATTATTTTCCAGATCCCACGAAACAATTTCAAAGACAGTAAACAATATTTGACATGGTGCGATACATTTACACAAATAAAGATAGTAGAAAATTCTGCTTCCGGTTCTTATACCTATCTATTAAAAAAATCCATTTCTACCATCACCCAATTTACAAGACAAAAAAAGAGCAACAGATGAGTTTTTTAGGATTTTAAACACAAATCTTGAATAAAACTTGCATGTACGAATACCTATAGGAAAATTCCATTGATAATAAATGTAGAGCTTTTTCAATAAACAAAAAGAAAAGATTTGAATTTAAATATGTAGTCATCATGAACTTAAATTTATTAGTGCATAATGAAAGCTTTTTAAAAGCAATGGAAAAAAATAAAAGATAGTGAAATACTTAGGAGCTTTTTAAGATAATATTAACGTTTTTCCCGAACATATTACATACAAGCATAGGTAAATGAAACCCAATAAAAATTGGAACGAGATCACTTGTAAAGGAAATCGTTTTAAGTATATCGTGAAATATTCAAGATTGTAAATTTATCAAATTTCTAAAGCTCTTCAACTTCTTGTTTTTTGACAGCATAGCTACAATACCATTATGTTTGAGTATTTATTTGCCAGGTTACCTACTTATATTGAAAATTGACCATTTCGACAATTTATAGTATAAATATTGAGTTCAGAAAATATAAATCCTTATATGAAATAAAGATATTTAGAAATACTTAAGAAACATTTAATTGTACCATCAAGAAAATACTTGTGTACAGTCAAATGAAAATAAAAGTAATGACTTCATTATAATTGATAAATGTTTGAAATTATTTTAAAAAACATTGAAAATTATTATTTTCAACTTTATGTTGTACTTGATCGACGCAATTACAAATTGTCATTAGTTTTGCGTAGTTTTTTTAAAATAAATATATAAACAAACAACGCGCATTAGAATCACAAAAATTATTAAAGGTTTTAACATTTACTGCCAAATAAAAGCTTTAATTATGATTGGAATAAATGAAATATTTAAAACAGATACAAACATGTTTCGCTTAAAAATAAATTCGAAACAAAATGAGATTCAAGAAGGTTTAATTTTATTAAGGCCATAATTTACATTTTATTGAAATTGACGTTTTGAATTTTTCACAGTCATGCATAACTCGGATCATGGATATTTTATGATCAAATCATGTCATTATTGAATTAAATATTCATTTACAAGTCACAAAAATATTCTAGCTAGCCCCACTCAAATTATATCTACTTGAATTAAAAAATTCATCGCGTCAAATTTTCGAAAACTTTTTTTATTTCCAATTTTCTTTAAGTTTTTCACAACTTATTTTCATTTCCATGAAATAATAATTTATAAAGTTAACATTTTGAATAAAGATGTAATGTATCGAAAAGATTGCTCACAGAATGACCTTCGGAATAACCTAGGAGTTAATCTTAAATTGCTTTCCTAACTGGAAAGTGAAAATTGAGAGCATTAACACACCACAAGAGAAGAAATGAGAGGAAACTCTTAGCCACAATACATTTGACAGTTTTCATTATTCATTCTACGTATCTAATCGCTTATAAAGAAAATCTCTTAATTAGATATATCAAATGTTATTGGTGTGATTTTATTATTATTGTTTTTTTCGATCGGTGGAAAATTTCCGATGGGCACTGGAAGACCCAACAAATTATTTGTTTAATTTCCATTAAGTGCTTTGCTTCATTTCTTGATTAAATACATAAATAAACATACACAAGATATAATTGAAAGCTCCTAAATATTTTGTGTTAAACAATGAGGTTGATTAAGTAAGAACCGATAGAGGTAGATTTCTTAAAATTTAATTAAAACATAATCACAATTATATTGGTGGCAACGATTAGACAACTCAGCATAATTAAACCAGCATTTATTCTTGCTGCTCTCAATATTTTAATTCCATATTTTGTTCAGGCAAAGAGATGCAGCACAGTTCCTAAAAAAAATATGAAATAATGATTGAATCGAAAATATTTTGAAATATAAACATTCACAAAGCAGAGATAAAAATATTTCTACAGAAAAATAAGCTTTGTTTGTTTGTTTGAAGTGTTTTAAGAAGAGCGGCTTCCCGTTTCCGCTTCATAACTTGTAAGTGTAAGTACGTAAGAAAAGAACACAAAGATTGATGGATTTCACAATTGTTATCGTCGTCTCTTCTCATATTTCATCCTCAAATATTCTTTGAACTTTCTGTACTCATAGGACTCGTCTACTCTTTTGTAGATTGTAAATTTTTGACTTTCTAAATATGCTTTTAATGAAGTCTCATCGTTAACTTTAATCAGGTCACTTTCATTTGTGCAATACCACATCAGCTCGTCTTGATTTTGGTAGAAATCATCCATTGTTAAGATAGGTGCTATTAGTTCAAATAAAATTATCATTCTCAATGAATTTGGTTCAAAATTTGAGTGTCTGTCGAGTCTCACGATGAATTCTTTGAGTAAATTCCTAGTTTTCTTGTCATTTAAAATCTCTTTTGCATCTGATTCGAGAGTTGATTCTAATTTAGCTCTTTCTGATGTGTACATCTCTTCAATGAGCTTTTCATAACTGGCCGTCATCAACTTAAAAAAAAAAGATTAAAATGAGTATACACAGTAAGCAGACAAATATTTCAGTGGCAGAAATAGAATTTATTAGCACTTACTCTTGCCATGTTTCAACAAAAACTAAATGCTACGCATTGAGCTACCCAATCAATGAAACAATGGGGATAATCTCTCTATTGTTTGTGGAAAAAGAAAATCAATAATCAATTTTCTGTCGAAGTCGCGCAGAATCTTCTTTAAGTATTATCTACCGCGATTTTATGAATTCGTTACATGTGCACCTCTACTTACGTATAAATATTTGCTTAAACTTATCAGTTATGAGCCCTTCGACTTCTAAGCGGTGTTTGTTTCTTTTAGTGGTTTATTTTAGTCGTCATTAATACAGTCATTTTGATGACAACAACTTTAAATATATTATTCATAACTTATACATACATAAACACGCGATGAAATTAACAATCGTCGGTGTGAGGTGGTAATAAAACGACTTTTAGACATGATAAAATAGTTCGATATAAACCTTTGTTATAACAATCGTAGTATTTATAGATATTAATATTACTTTATGACTGATACGCATTTCATAATCTTTTGCAAAGTGTATTTGTGAGAATGGAAATGTATTCTTTCCTACGATCATCAACAAAGAAAAAACAATTAATTCGGTATTTTTTTTCTCTTATAAATGTGTTGAACATTTAAGCTAAGCTTTGTAGTTGGGTAGTGGCAAATGTTTGAAATATTCCCTAGAGACTGAACGTTAAACTTTTTCGGGGAATAGTTTTTCACGCGTCCACACTTCATTCATTTTCATTTCGTGCTTTTAATGTAGGATGTTCATTATCGGGGTAAATGTCTAGAAAGAAAAATGTTTATATTTTGTGAAATGACATCGGAAATTATTATTCCAGCTGAAAGTATTTAATTTCATAAAATATTGAATCCATCTCTCAAAAAGTGAGATGACAATAAATGATAAGATAAATGTTTATTAAAAAGCATTGCATTTTTAAACTTTTGTTTATCTAAGAAATCATAACAAATCGTGAGTAGATAAACAGTTTAACATGCGACTCATAGTAACGAATTGTAACAAAATCTATTGGAAAATGATCAAGCCCATAACTTCTTGACTTTTATATGCCGGAAAATTCTCTTTCTTAAGCGCATGCGTTTTGTTTTTCTACGTCGTTGAATCATTTTCATTTCCATTCATTTCCAGCGTCAAATAAAATATTTGTAATTTGAAAATTTTGATTTTTATATTTAATTTTGAATTTGTAATTTAATTATTAAAAGTGAAGTTCAAGCGATCTTAAAATTCACATCCCTTTAAATGTTTAACATTAATCGTGAAGTTCAACTTGAAAAGATGGATTTGTTCTTAGAAGAACGTAAAGTCTCGGAAAATCTTCAATTAAAAGAAATATTCAGACGAAAATATAAAACAAGTGACCCTAATTGTTATGATCCATCGGAAAATATAAGAATCTTTGAGAAAATTTTAAGAACGAAAGATTCTTCTATCGAAATTGAATGGTGCATGAAAAATGGAGCTCAATTATATACTGTAAGTCATTCGATATTTAAGATGATGTCATTTAATGACATTAATAATTTCTATCTTTAAACATTTCAGAAAAATGAAAACAAGAAGTATCCGATTATGTATGCAATTGATTCATTATGTCCGAAAAATTTACAAACATTTCTCGATTATTATGACAAATCAAAGATTAATGTCAAGTTTGAAGATAGAAATTGTCTTCATTTATTGTTGAGTATCTTTGAAATGAGTTCAAAAAGAAGTGAATTTAAAAACGTAGCAGAATGTATTAAGATTTTGGTGGATGCTGGATGTGACCCAAATTCACCAGATGTTAATTCAAGAACACCATTTTTCATGCTTTTGAAATTAAAGTCACGTCTCGACATTGACCTTCATAAGAATCTTGTTGAATGGTTCTTACAAAAAAGTACTATTGATGTTTACTCTTATCGCTCCGAAGAAATGATTCAAATGTTGAAAGTGCAGAATTTTCCCATACCCGAGAAAATTGAAAACTTTATCACTTTCGATTACTTGTGCAATTTAATACACAATGGAAATGAAACAGAATTTATTGAATGCTTTAATGAATTCTATGACAACTTTGGTGTTGATATGAAAAGTGAAATTGACAGTGGACAAACTGAAAGCACAATAAACATAGAAGGTGGTGAAAATAGCATTATGTTGAACAGTCACTCGGAACCTCAATGCCAGTCATATAATTCTGGACCTTTTTTTAATAGTTTCGAAGAGAAATGTGCAACTTTTCTTATAGAGTCTACGAAGAATGGCATATATCGTATTGTTGAATGTCTTTTACAATATAAAATTGACATTAATAAGTTTCCGGAGTTTGAGCAACCAGCTGCTTTCATAGCATGTTCACGTGGTTATTGGAAAATTTTGGAACTTTTCTTAAGTCATCGCAACTCAGGAAATATTTTCGATTTATGTTTTAACTATCAGAAAAAAAATTTACTTCATGAGATTTGCAGTCATTTTGGAATGGACAACAATCTAGATAAAAATCAGGATTATCAGAAATGTTTTGATATGTTACTTCCTTGTGCTGATGTTGATGTTAATCAACAAGACGAACTTGGATTCACACCTCTCTATTATGCCATTCGATATAAAAATGATAAAGCTACAAAAGCATTATTGAAAAAATGTTATGTGGGAAGAAAGAACATTTTCAACAGAGGTCAGATCTTTAACATCGATAAAGAAGTGCTTGAAGATTTCTTGGATGATTGTATATCACTTGATGTTAACGAAACGACAGGTGAACAAAAAATCAAAATTGATTTCAATTTCCTTGTCGCTCCCAAAGAGCCGGGACAAGATTTCTTTGAAGAAATTTCGCCAATTCATGAGATTGCAAACAATAATGAACTTCGTCCCCTCATTTTACATCCGGTCTTATCGACCTTTTTATACTTAAAATGGATAAAGTTGAGCATTCTATTTTACTCTAATCTTCTCTTCTTTTTCATTTTCATGACATCTTTTACAACTTACATGGTATTTTATAAAAACGATACGCTTTTCATGATATCTCTAATATCTTTGGCCTTTATGATAATGAAAGAAATTGCACAATGCTACTTATCTTATAAAATATATTTTAAAAGTTGCACAAATTGGCTTGAGATTATTTTAATAATTTTGATACTCACAGTGTTGCTTGATAATCAATTTGAAGATGTTCACAATGAGTTGGTTAAAATTATAGGAACTAAAACAGTGAGAATTATAAGAGCAATAACAATACTTTGTGCTACTTTTGAGTTTCTGATCTTGTTCGGTGATCTTCCTTTCTTCTCTGTTTCTACACATATGATCATTTTAAAGCGAGTTTTCGTGACATTCTTAAAATCTTTTGCATTGTATTCAATCTTATTAGTTGGATTTGCATTTTGTTTTTATACTCTTTTTGGTGACACGAGTTTGGAAGTGAATGATAAAATGAATTCGGAAACAAATGAGTCGAAAGATAGCGAAGATGATTTCCATCAATTCAGATATCCAGGATTTGCACTTATTAAGACTATCGTGATGTTTTCCGGTGAATTGGAAGCTTCAAGTATTGACTTGAAAAATAATGATGCCGTTTACAGTTTAATCTTTCTCTTGTTTGTATTTTTAATTACAATTGTGTTGTTGAATCTCATTAACGGTCTCTCAGTTTCCGACGTGTTTCAAATTAAAGCTGAAGGACATTTAGTCGATTTATGTCACAAGATTCATGTTCTCAACAAATATGAACGAATTGTTATGGATCGTCGCGATTCGTCACGATATTTGAAAGCAATTATAAGTATTTTCCCAGAGTTTGTTACAAATGGCATTATTGAGATTGATTTTCAGAATAAGATCAAACTTAATTCACTTGGCAGCAAGGGACGTGAGTCAATTTTAGATTCCTGGTACAATCAAATGTTTGAAAACCTCATGGAACTCAATCAATTCATGACAGCGACAAATAAAAATGAAAAAAGAAAACTCAAACCTGTGCTAGATGATGGTTTTCACATAACTCTAAACAGGAAAATTATGAGAAGAATTAAATCCGTTATTGAGAATCGAGATGAAAAACATAAAACGATAAAATTGGAAGAAAAAATTACGAATATTGAAAACAATCTCAAACTTCTTGCTACTCACGACACAAAACTTGATTTAATCTTGAAATTTCTCGATCCTAAATGAATTTAATTATTTGTATAAATACAAAATTTAATCCCAAACCTCATCATATGCAAATTATTATGTCTAATGCAACTGTTACTAAATATGTATGCAAAATAATTACCATATTTTTAAAATAAAGCAATTAACAAATTGATTTTGGTTTTGGTGTTTTTATTTATTCAGATGAAGATTCTTTTTTCTCTTTTTAAATGTACAACATTTCATAAATCGTAATCCATTAGTAGCAATAATCTTCATCTTCAGACTGATTATCTTTATAGTCATAGTCACTAGCTTCATCTTCACTGTTTTCAGAGTTCTTTCTCTTATTTTTCTTAGTCGGTAATGGTTTAGGCTCCACTTCTACTGCTTGTGATGCTGAACGATGATGGAAAACAAACGAAACATTGTTTGATAATTTTGAAGCATTTCCAAGTATTTCATCGGGAAGAGTGCTTGGGTTGTAACAGTGAAACCATTGGCTTAAGTCACTCGTGCAATCGCTTTTCTCAGGTGGTAAAGTGACTTGAACATTGTTCACACATCTCTGACACTTGAAACTTAAAATAATAAAATTATATAAACATTTAGTTAAGATAATTAAATTAATTTACAACTTACAGCTCATGTGTATCTGATTTCGTTTCCTCGTTAATTTTAAATAAATCTTTTAAATCATTTGAAGTGAAATGTCTCTCACTGTCGTCATTATCAACAACTGTATTGCTAAGTGCTTTCTTTTGTGTTTGTCTCTGAAAAATTTTCTCTTCTATTGTTCCTGTTGCAACAAAACGGTAGATGTAACATGGTTTCTTTTGACCTTCACGCCATACACGAGCCATTGCTTGTTCATCATTTGCGGGATTCCAATCCGGGTCAAACATTATCAGACGATTTGCTCCAATAAGATTTAAACCACAACCACCCGCTTTTGAACTAAGCATAAAAATGAACTGATTGTTATCAAGATTATTGAAGTCGTCAACTGTTTTTCCTCGCTTCTTGATTGACATCGAGCCATCAAGTCTCACATAAATATAATTTCGTTTTCTGCACAATTGTTCAAAAAGATCCAAAGTTTGTGTGTAATTTGAAACGAGTACGATTCGATCATTTGTGTTACATTTGATGGCAGCTAACATTAAATCAAGAAGTAAAACTTTACCACCAAGTTCCGGTTTTAAGTCACGTGCATTCCAATTATTTGGCATGAAACTTGCAGCGTTCTCAAATCCACTATCGTTACTGCAAATTTTATCGGCAATCAGATCAGGATGATTGCAAAGCTTTTTCAAAGATTGAATATTTGATAAAACGGTTGTACCTTCTTTAACATCTTCATTCGTCTTCAATGACTTTCGAATAAAATCCGATTTTAGGAAATTCTTATAAATATCAAGTTGACATTGTGTCATTTTAACACAAACAACCATTTCGAACTTCACAGGTAAATATTTGTTCAAAAGATTGCTGGTTCTTCTTATAATGTATTTGTTTGCACAAAACATAAGTTCATTAAGTCTTTCAGTTGCTTTTTCACGTTCTTTATCGGTACTGTCAGCTGTTTGTCCCCGACAAATTGCATTTTCATATTGACGACGAAATTCATTTGTTGAACCTAACATTCCAGGATTTATGAACTGAAGTAAACTGTAAAATTCTGTCATGTCATTTTGGATTGGTGTACCAGAAAGAAGAACTCGTCGTTTTGTTTGAAGTTTCATCAATGCAAGATACGTTTGACTTTCACAATTCTTTAACCGATGACCTTCATCACAAAGAACAAGTCCAATTTCAGAAGCACATAAAATATGAGAATATAAACGAAATGTTTCATAACTGATAATCAGAATCGGTGCACCACATCGAGCACTCAAATTAGCCATGAATGTGTTGAGAAGTTCGGTTGTCTTCTCTTTTGATTCATTTGCAATAGCTAAACAATGAACGCGACTTCCAAGCCATTTACCAAACTCGTTATACCAATTTTTCACTAAGGATGATGGACAAACGATTATTGCTTTCACTATTGTCGGTTTAAAATCTGGACTTTGTTTCAAAAGAGTCCAAACTAATGTAATACATTGGAGAGTCTTTCCAAGTCCCATTTCATCAGCCATGATACATCCACAATAATCACCATTAGCACCAGTGACACAATCATACATAAATTTTACTCCTTCGCGTTGATGAGGACGGAGAATATTTCCCAAAACAGGATCAACTACAACATGAACTTGAATTTTATTTTTGTCTATTTTCGACATCATTTCTTTTGGAATTGGTGGCGGTGTATAAAGAACAAGAGCATTGCATGCTGTAGGATCATGAAAAGCTCTTCTTATGATAGTTCGTTTCAACCCCAAACTTTTATTTGAAAGTTCAGGAATGTAATCATTTATTGGAACTTTAAACGGCCGACTTAGAATATTTTGAATCATAGCTTCATGATCAACGATTGAAATTTTTGTCAAAGGCACACTGTTTTCAGACTCGGTCTTACATTTTCTGTGCTTTCGTGTAGAAGAACTTTTATCAAGAAACGGAATTTTAAAGCCCATTGATGAATCTGTTGAGGAATTTTGTCTATTCGTTAGAACACTTGGAGCTAGACTTTTGCGCTTTAATAATCAAAAAATAAATTGTTAATTTAATATTTTATGAACATTTAATGAAGTATTGTCTTACCATCTCGAGATTTTTTATTTCTACTGATTTTTATTTGATTCTTTAAATTTGTTACCAAAAATAAACAAACGTTACAGAGGATTTGAGGTAGATTGCGAAAACAAGGGGTCGAGATCAGGGGTGCAAAGCTTTAGCAAATATCCAGCTGCTTCACATCAAAAACATCTTTAATAAAAATATTCATAACTATGACACTCATTCAATATATCATTGTTCGAAGCGATCTTATAAAAGTTATGAAATGGAGTATTGGAGCAGTCATTACTCAAGCTTGTCATGCAGTGGCAGCTATTAATGAAATTACAAAAACCGACGAAGCAACTAAACAATATTTGTCTCCAGAAAACTTAAATAAAATGCATAAATGTGTTCTTAGCGTAAGTCAGGAAATGATCTCTTCGATTCATTTTTAAATTTAGTTTTTTATTACAGATATCTGATCAGATCTCCTTAGAGAATCTTAGCAAGGCTCTTGATGAAAATGGAATCATACATAAATTGTGGTTTGAACAACCGGAAAACATGCCAACATGTATAGCATTGAAACCATATGAGAAAGAATCAGTTCAATCATATTTCGCAACTCTTAAGCTATTTCGTTAATTCTGAATACAAAAAATAAGTTAAAAGAATAAAGTTCCTTATATTTCTGTGCTTCAACTGAAAATTAAATAGCATTTTATTGAATTTCTAACACATTTTCTATTATAGTTTAAATTTCAAATTTTCCTACCCCTTGATTTCGATTTGTTTACTAAAAAAATTCATGTTCGTGCTCTAGAAAATATTGAATTATATTAAATTACAGTAGAAAGCAAAATGATATTGGAAATCCAAGTATGCTGAATAAACTCAATGTTTCGTTGCGATTTCTTGTCGGATCACCTTCTTTGCTGTTTATAGCTGGAGCTTCGTTTTTATCGTGTATAATAATTTCAATATTCATCAATGGACTATTAGGATTTTTTATTTTCAGTGGAACTATTCTAGGTAAGATGAAGTTTTATCACCATTTCATTTTAATTAACTTTACTCTATTTTTTTAGGATTATTTTACACAATACAAGATAATTTCTTGTTTTATCCTGACATAGGCCGTCATCGAATATGTGTACCATCTCCTCAAATATATGGTCTTCCATTTGAAGTTGTTTACATTAAAACTCGAGATAAATTATCCCTCCATTCATATTTCATTCGTCATCCCGAACCCAAAGCCGAATCAATACCTACATTCGTTTATTTCCATGGAAATGCTGGAAATATCGGTGGTCGGTTACAAAATTGTAACGGGATCTTCCATAATCTTCAATGCAATATTTTAATTGTGGGTAAGTATTAATCATTTTCAATATTATGATGCTTTCAAAATATTATTTAAACTATTAATTTCTTAGAGTATCGTGGTTATGGCCTTTCGAATGGAACTCCTAGTGAAAAAGGACTCTATATCGATGCACGTGCTGCTGTTGACTATTTATTCACCAGACATGATCTGGACCATTCACAAATTATTCTCTTTGGTAGAAGCTTAGGTGGTGCCATTGTAAGATTTACATCTAAAAGCATTGAAAGTTACAATAATTCTTTAAATTTTTTCTTTTCATAGGTGATAGACGTTGCTGCTGATCCTAATTATGGGAATAAAATAATGTGTTCAATTGTTGAAAATACTTTCACGTCAATTCCTAACATGGCACATCATTTAATTAGGCAAACCAAATGCATCCCTCGCTTCTGCCATAAAAATAAAGTAAGGAAAATAATATTTAAAAATAACATTGAACAGTGATAAAATATTTTCTTCCACACAGTTTGATTCTATTAAAAAGATTCAAAAGATATCTAGTCCGATCCTTTTTATATCAGGCTTAAGTGACTCCCTTGTGCCGTCATCAATGATGACTGATCTATATAACCGTTGTAAGAGTTCTCATAAACAATTATTTCAACTTTCTGGTGGTCATATGGATACTTGGAATAGTACCGGGTAAGTCTTCAAATAGATTTTCAAGATAATACTACAGCTTTATTCTACTTATATGAACGCTTATTTTAATTTTAAATCCAATTGAAAGAAATTTCTTTTAATGATAATGACGCGATAAAAAATAATCCAATTAAATCCTTATTATTTCAATTTACATTTGAACTTTTGTTTATAGAAATGCCATTTAATATAAATCTTACATTTATGTTTCATATGCATGAAAGAATAATAAAAAAAATAATTAACGAAAATATTTACCTTCAAATCCTTTTGCTGTAAAAAAAATTAACACAGGTAGCAATCATAATAAAAGTTAAAATAATGAAGCAAAAAATGTTTTATTCAGAGTTGATAACATAATATAAAACTTCTAAGCTGTTAGATGTTTAAGTTCTTTTATTTTCAAAACAATTTCTTCTAACAAGCATCCATTTTAATTTAGATTAATCTGATAAAGTCATTATTGAGTTGTTTCAACTAGAAATAATTACTTCATTAACAACCCTTCATTCATTGGTGTGAAAATCAGAGTAAAAATCGATTAGTTGCCCTCTCAATTATAAACAGAAAGGCAAAGTTGTTATCAAAAACCGGAATTTGTTAAAACTCGTTTAAACATAAAACTACCTACTTATGTACTTGTAATCCGTGACGCAAAAAAATGATTATCATTCATTACAGATACTACCAAGGTATTGCACAATTTCTGATGAAATGTGAAGTTCAAAAAACAACTCCAAAGCAAGTATCACCACCCACACAGCTCTCTCTATGGCCGGTTATTGAAGAAGTTTGAACTGAATGATAAGAAGAGTTAAAACAATGACTAAAATAAGAGTAAGGTTTTCATGTTGAAATTTTTATTAAATATTTGATCAGCACAGCAAATAACAGCATAATAAATAACAATTTTAACGAACTAAATAAAGTGAGTTTCATTCATTTCCCCATAGATTTCCCCAATGCAACCTTCATATGAAAAGAAGAAAAAAAATATGTTTTGTGTGAAGATAAAAACAATTTTATGAACATGCATATTACATTTCTCGATTACGCATTTTAAAAGAGAAACACGTTCATCGAGAGAAATATTGTTTGTTGATATCTTTTTTGTTTCATCATTAATTCTTTATATTGATTGATAGATGAATAGACTAAGTGTATGGGATTATGAATCTATTGTATCATTTGCAGATTCTATACACATATATGTGTAATCCTACCGTAGGGTTCGAGTTGTCTGAAAGCAACAATTGTTGTATTGTGAGAGAAGAGAAAATATCTTTTAAAAAATCACATTCCCTCCTTCTTCGTTTTTCAATCTCTCTTGCTAATTTGTACGCGTGCTTATAACTTGAGAGTGCTCTTTCATGTTTCCTTTTCATCCGCAGGCAAACATCGGAACAGTTTCTTTTATATTTTATATCGTGAGAGATATACAAAAGAACCTAATTGAAAAAAAAATTGAATGAAACAATAAACACTGAAATAATATATACAAAGAGCGTTGAAAAAGCAAAAATAAAGACCTAAGAAGTGAAACGAAAATAAAAGTGAATTAAATCAGTGATAATCTTTTAACTCAAGGTTTATTCATCTAATTTCGAACTCATTTTCATATGCAAATCTGGAGAAAGTCGCCATTGTGTTATTAACCGAATTTGCTAATAGTAATTAAAAGAATTTATGCTTTGTCACAAGGTTCTTATCAAGGAGGTGATTGTAACATAAATTAAATAGATAATTTCTGTATGCAAAAATATAATATTCAGAAGATTTTTATGTTAGATATCTCGCTTAGTAAATCAAACAAGAAAATACGAATATTTGATTTCTTTGATGAAACCCAAGATGAAAGCAACAATTATGATCTGAGAGCAGCATAAAAAATGAGAGTTCAACAAGGAGAATGTTCTCAATATACCTTCAGTTGTTCAGTTTTTCTTGCTAACTCTCTGAATTGTTTGAATCATAAGCCGAAAGGTTCTCATCAATGTAGTTACTTTTATATTTTGTAACCGTGAAGACATATTAATTCATAAATGAAATTTGATTAAAAACAAAAAGAAAAAAAACTATAAAAAATTAAATTAAAATTGAATTTATAATCATGTTTCAATACATATCCAATTCCATTATTTTGTTTATTTGGAAATTTAATTAATATAAATTGTGTCATCTCAATAATACGGCTGTTTTTGGAATAGACATAGAAACATTTATGTTCCAACATAATACAAGGAAAAATTGCTATAACATTAAAGACTTCTTCTTTATTTAAAATGTTAATAGACGAATAAAATAAAAAAATATAAGAAATAAAACTTAAACAGGTAGATATGATTTTTAAATCATTAAAAAGTTTTTGTCAGTGATAATTCAAGTGATTCAATTAACACAAATGTATTCAATTGAGAAAAAAAAGAAATCAATTAAACATCATACCAAGCGCCACACAAATTTTTTGAAGGAAAAAATGATTTATTAATGAGAAAAATGAAATTTTATGAAGTTGCTCATTTCCACGCATGCTTGCTGCCAAGAAATGGATTTTTTCATCTTATCCGCCATTCGTTGTGAATATATGTTTCGAGTCATTCGTTTATGAATATGATTCGGAGAAAATATAACACTTAAACGAGGGTGATTGAATTAAAGCGGCTTTTCTTCTCTAATATTTTTAATATTTGATTATCTACATGGTTATTTACAAAGTTTGCATGCAATTTTTATAAGACCGAAAAAATGAACAATTTCCTTCTTTATCATTTTAAATATGAGAATTTAAATTGGATTGCTATGCTCCTTTTGTTATATATGCTACATAATTTATGTTGTTTGAAAAGTCTAAAGCTTATTTTTATGTTTTTTTAAAAGCTCATTTTGAAACTATAAAATACCTATTTGGGCAAGCATGTGAATAATTAATGACAAAAGAAATTTGATGACTTTTCATTCTAGACTCCTTCTGAATCATTGCTTAAAAAAATTAATTTGCTAACTCTTTAATTTAGAAAGTTAATTAAAATTTAAATTTATACATTTTATTGCGATTTTATGCTTAGATATAGAAACAAGAAAAAACCTTATAAAAAATTGTTTATGTCGAGAAATCCTGAAGTATTTAAGCAAAAAAAAAAACAGCGAAGCGCACGAAAGCTTGCATTTAAGTTTAAACTTTAAACAAATATTAAAAAAAACCATCTCATAAATCTCGATCCCATAAAAAATATCTTTCTTTTTTCATTCAGAAGAGATTTCATACTTGAAAAGGGTAAGTTAAATAACAATACAAAAAAAAACCCAAAGTGTCTGAAAGCAACAATTATTATGAGAACATAAAAGAAGAAAATAAAGAGAGGAACTAGTTGCTTAGTTTGCTCAACATAGAGACGCTATTTTTTATAAATATTTTCGTTTATCTTCCGAGTCAAATGGATTTTCTGTATAAATATTTCATAGAAGAGAATCCTATTCACATTGCGTTTTGTCTGCTTTTGCGCATGCCTCAAAACGAGAGTGACGTGATATAACATTTTTTTATAGTTGTTCTCTCTACAAGTCTAGTGTTTCATGTTTGAGGTCTTCTGAACTGAACATAATGTTTGAATGAAAAAAGAAAGTTTGTTGAGTTTATTGAAATCAGTTTGAACGTGCACTAAATTTTAAGCATTAATCCTGGAATGAAATTAAATGTAAAAATCGATGCATATAAATTTGATCATGAAAAAGAGAAACAAATGAACGACAAAAGAATAAAATGCTCTTCAATACTCAGGTGAAAAGTTTTTGTATTACATATTTTGTTATTATAAAGGAAAAGATTTCAACTCGTTTAAGGAGTTTGAAACTTCTAAGTATTGATTTTTATTCTGACTTTTATAGTTTGTTATTTTATTACAAACACATTCATGTATTCACGATATTCTAGATTAGCATAGAAAACAATTGATTATTATTATTATTCATTTTACCTTAGATGACTTCAACAAATTTTGATAGATTGTTTGCTAAACTCGGGAGATAATCAAAAAGCAAATAAATTTATCTTTTGTACCGATAAAGAGTTTGCGTTATTTAAAAACCTATAAACGTCAATTAAATAGAAATCATTCAAGTTGCCTGCTTAATATATTCTGTCAACAGACTTCTTATCTTGAAAGATAATCTACCGACGATAATATTCAACCCAATTTTACTTTACTTTTAATATTTTTAATAGCATAACAATTTTTAGGCAACATAGAATTTTTATTATTTTAAACGCTTCACAAGCTACGGTAAAAAATGAATACAATTTAAAATGTAAGCTTGAAAGCTTTTTATAACAAACAAGCACTCTAATTGAAAATAAAAAATGTCAGGAAGCACGTAAAAATTCTATCGTAGAATTTTTTGAAAGCTATTCACAGAAAATTGATGAATCATAATTAGTTCATTGATTATTTGTAATAAATTTCTTTTCTATTCTGAATATACAATCGATAATAATAATGAACATTGTTAGCCATTGTTAGTATCTATTTTTAACACAAAACAAAAACATTTTAAACTTTTTATAATAGTGCAATGCAATTATTTGAGAGCTGTAAGAATTAAACAAAAAAAAAGAAAAACGAAGTGAACAACAAGCTTGGAAAAAGGGAAAAAATGACATTTTTATGGTTGCCTTCATTCAGAATGAGAAGTAACTACTAAGTGACCACGTAAAGCATATTGGATAACTCATTTAGGAGTGCTTTTAAATCTAAAGGGTAAGTTAGATTATGATGAATATCATTCTCCCTAGTTTCCAACTTTTCATAAATACATTTATTGATTGTTGTCAAGATCTACATTCATTCATTTTTCGTGGCCATTAGATAGCTATAAACCTGAAAACAACTGAATTCTTTAAATAGATACAGAAACTCGTAAAGTATACATAAGTGTGTATATATTTACTACGTTTATGACTTTAATTATGGATTTGAAATTAAAAAGAAAAGTTGGAAAACAGCAGATCTTTTTTAGAAGTCTGTTTTAGACTTTCTTTGTGTTTCGTATTACAAAATTTCTTTTCCATAAATCAATAAAAGTTTAACTGAGTCTAATTCTTCACAAAAAAGCCTTTTAATCTTCAAGGATGAAATTATTAAATATATTTTGATCTACGTACATAATTTAAATACGAGTTTTACAAAGTTAGGAAGAAATGATAAAATTCAACTTCACAATTGAATGAATTTAAAATTGAATGAATTCAAATTTACTTAATCCAAATCTTAATGCCAATGATACTAACTTTGTATATTTGGTTATAAATATCTACTTAGTTACGTAGAAACACGTTTTGATACATATTTAATAAACTGTTTCTTCATTCTCATTACAGATTGTAGAAAGCAAACTTCTAGTTGTGAAATATGTGGAAAAATACATAAATTTCTGCATAAAGTAGTGGATTTCTTCTTATCATGCATTTAGTTCAACAATTTAAAGGATCAAAACATATCGTTGATTATTTGTTTGTGTTTGGATTGACTGTTTCTTCTTCATAAACTCGTTTAGAATTGGAAGGATGACATTGAGAAATATAATTTACGAGTTTCCCCATGCTATACAAATTATCTTCCTTTTCCTTGAATTGACTGGTCAACAGCAATTTGTTGCTTCTCTAGATTTATGTAAGTTCCATTTATGACGATATAAGAACAGTCTTCTTTTTATTTATTATTTTATTCTCATAAATCATTTCAAATTTAAAGATGAGTAAGCAAACAAAAACATACATATGTTGTTCTCTGGTTACGCATTTCCAAAACGGAGATGCGATGATGTTGCCTCGAGTATTTAATGAGAATTCTACTAAAATGAATTTATTTCTTTTCTTTCTTTTTTATATTTTTTTTGTCCCCTAACAGTAAAATGTAAAACTGCTTTAGGCATGGAATCAGGTGCAATTACTGATTCTCAAATCTCTGCAAGTTCGGCACATGATATAGGAAATGTAGGGCCGCAACATGCAAGGTACAGTCGATTTGAATTATTAAATATTTTTCCTAGAAATGTTATTCACCATCTTTCTTTTCTGTATAATACTTACTCTTAGATGCTTATTCATTTATGTAATATTTATTTGCTTATTTACAGATTAAGAATAGACAATAATGGTGGTGCATGGTGCCCCAAGCACATGGTGGCGAGAAACCTGAATGAATTTTTACAAATAGATTTGCTATCACTACATGCAATCACATCAATCAAAACACAAGGAAGATTTGGCAAAGGACAAGGACAGGAGTTTACCGAAGCATATGTTGTTGAATATTGGAGACCAACATTTGGAACTAAATGGAAGCGATGGAAAAATTTACAGGGAAAAGAGGTACGAAAGATAAAAATATTTTTCCTCAAGAAGAAGAAGAACACTAAGACTTTTGCTTTTCTTTAAAATTTCTTTCCATTTGTCAAGATTTTAACGGCAAACATCAACACATATAGTGAAGTGGAAAATTCTTTGAAACCAATTATTGTGGCACAGAAAATTCGACTTTATCCCTACAGTCAATACGATCGAACTGTATGCCTTCGTACTGAATTAATTGGTTGTATTTGGGAAGGTAAGTTATATTCCTAAATTATTTCAATGTTAACTTATCCCTAACGCAGAATATGAAAATTTCTGAAAACAAAACTTAATCCTTCGAAAATATTATTTAATAATAATTTCTTGCTTACAGAAGGGCTCATATCTTACATAATTCCAAAAGGCATTCAACGTGGAAATGAAGTTGAACTATCGGATAAAACTTACGATGGTGAAGATGAGGGAAATCGTCTCATAGGTGGTTTAGGTCAACTGGTAGATGGCCAAAAAGGGGTCGATAATTTTCGAAGTGACATTTATGGATTTGGAAAGGGTAATATATTTATTATCAGAAAAGAACATTTTCCCTTTTTCTTTTGAAACTTGAACATGCTTTAAAACATCTTATTTTACTTAGGCTTTGAGTGGGTTGGATGGAGTAATGACAGCTTAGGCGAACCATCAAAACCTGTCGAATTAACTTTTCTATTTGATTCGGTGAGGAATTTTAGTGCTATGGTTCTACATACAAACAACATGTACTCGAAAGGTGTCCAGGTAAGAAAAGTTTGTGATTTGATGGTTTCTATTTTTATGTAAATCTCGAAAATTTATATGTACAAGTTTTATACAAAGAGATAAACTCACGTTCATGTTCTACTATAAAATTTTCATATTTGCTTATTTATTTATTTATTTAAAGGTGTTTTCACTTGCAAAAGTTTACTTCAGCATTGGCGGTCGGTATTACAATGGAGAATCTGTTCATTTCTCATATATGCCTGATCCAGTCATGGAACATGCCCGTGACGTCACAATAAAACTTCATCATCGAGTTGGAAGATATGTCCGACTACAATTATATTTTGCATCTAAATGGATTATGCTGAGTGAAATATCATTTATTTCAGGTAAGTCATGAAACAAATGGTTCGTGCTGTAAATTAATTTCTTTGTCTTACAGTTCCTGCTATAGGGAATTTCACAGAAGAGGTGACTTATGTTAAGAAACCTTACGACATAAACTCCATCGAATATACGCTACAAAGCGACGAGGTTCAGGTATCAAAGAAAGGCGATCGAAATGGAAATCATACAGCACAAAGTAAAAAGAAATCGAAATTTAAAATTAATTAATTCACCAAATATCTAATTCATTTTTCTATTAGATTTTCCACCACGCGCTGACAATGATGAAGAGCCACAACATCATATCATTAGTATTGTAACGACAGTATTGGCAATTATTATTCTTATTCTTATCACTGTTATTTTGATAATATTGTCAAAAAACAAGCGAACAAGAACGGCAGCAGTATTCAATGCCTTACAACAGAATCAATATTCCAATGGATTAGACAACGACAAACGATTAAATAGTAATTTCAAAATGACGATGAATGACAATGAGTCAATCGACAAGAACAGTTTATACCATGAGCCATTTAATCTTAATATGTTTACAAGTGCAGCAAGTGGTTGTGGTTTAAATGATATGCAACAACGACTTCATGTTACACCTGACTACACTGGTAAGATCGACAAACACATTAAGTTATTTATGTACATATTTAAATATTTAAATCTCTTTTCTCTTAGATGTTCCCGACATTGTATGTCAAGATTATGCGATTCCCCATATGCAAGATATTATACCAAAAATGTCGGGAGGTTATATTGGGATTCGAGTAACGCCACAAATTAATAGCGTTTTTACAAAGTCAAGAATATCACCACCGAGTGGACAACAAGAGAAATATTATGCAACAACACCGGTTTGTTCAAGCAGAAGCAGCACATTAAATCACTCAAGTTCGATGCATCATCATAATAATGAGACAAACTTTGGCACAATTCACAGTAACACAAACAGCAATGGATCAAATACAACAGCATCGATTAATGGAAGTTTCAATACACCAGAGAAATTACTTGAACATCAACAGCAACAACAGCAATCCAATATTTACAATGATTTTGATTCACCTTTCATGAAAGACGAGACGCCATTGAAAGAATATCCCCGTGATAAATTGGTTATAATTGAAAAGCTTGGATGTGGGATGTTTGGTGAACTGCATTTGTGTGAAACAAAAGGAATAACGTAAGAAATAATTCTCATCACAAATTTCTGTTTCAAATTGTAAAATTTATGTTTCTATGGCCAGATCAAATCTTGTTGCCGTCGCTACACTTAGGTCGGGTTCATCGGAGAATGTTAAGAAGGAATTCAGATCGAAAGCAAAATATTTGTCAAGAATAAACGACCAGAATGTAATCAAGGTTATCGGAGTTTGCTTGAAGGATGATCCCATCTGTATTGTTTTGGACTATAAATATAATATCGATTTGAATCAATTTTTGCAAGATCATGTGCCTGAGATGGGCTCTGCCTGCATTCAAAATAACACTCTAAGGTATGTTTATTCTTAGAAGAAAATTTCTTTATCATTTGTATAACAAATATTTATTTGTTTTCTCTCTTCCCAGTTATGGATGTTTGATTTATATAGCAACACAAATCGCATCAGGCATGAAATATCTCGAACAAAAAGGCATGGTTCATAAGGATTTAGCTGCAAGGTAAGTTTTCAATGAAATTTTATTAGTTCTTAAAACTTATCTATAAACATTTTGATTTCCTATAGAAATTGCATTATTGGACCAAACTTGGACGCTAAAATATGTGCATTAGGCACTGTCATAAACCGACTTGCATATCCAGCTGATTATTGCCATTTAGAAGGCATCAGCAAAGAATCACAGCCTATGCCAATTCGTTGGATGGCATGGGAAAGTGCTTTATTTGTAAGTTTTTCAAAATGATTTCTTATTGAGTTTATGTCTCGAAATTATTTCTATAATTTAATTTAGACTAAATTTACATCAAAATCTGATGCTTGGATGTATGGAGTTTTATTGTGGGAGATTCTAACATTCGCCCGTGAACAGCCATTTGAAAATTTGACTGATGACATGGTTATCGAGAATATTAAACACATTTATCATGACAACAAAAGACATGTGAGTGATTTCATTTCATTAAATTAAAAATGTAGTAACATTCAGAGTGAGAAAAAGTTGTTAAATTAATTTAATATTAAAAAAACTCTTTAGATTATGCTACCGATTCCCATGAACTGTCCACGAGAAATCTACGATCTAATGTGTGAATGCTGGCAACGAAACGACTCCAATCGCCCAAACTTTCGTGAAATTCATCTATTTCTACAACGAAAAAATTTAAGTTATAAACCAGTTTGAAATTAATTAAAAGATTGCAATATTTTCTTCTCATAGTGCGCTTGCATAGTGCTAAATGCAAAATGAAGATAGATGGAAAAATGAAATAAAATAACTTGTTGAAAGCAACTTCTTCAATTTTATCTTTACGGTCGAAAAAGATGAGGTGATACTTAGCATATTGACAATGAAAGCTGTAACAGCAGCTCCCTAATTTGTACATTTGTTTTACAAAGGAGTTTTAAACTATCTACTTACCAAGGGAAGAAAGTAATAAACATATAAAAAAGCTGGAATTAAATATTAAAAAGGCAATAATCGTAGAGACGATGGCCAAGGCACAAAAACAAGATAAGTTAAAATTATTTAGAGAAAGAACACAAGAAAATCATGCTTAATGTAAAAGAAATGGAAATCCCTTTAAATTATCTACTTTTAATAAAAGAAAAGAAAGAAAAACTCATTAAAACATGATTTTCTCGATGCCTTCAGCCTCGAGTAATATTTAGTTCATAGAAGAAATAAAGATCATGCCAAAGTTTAAATAAAAATGATAAAAAAAATCCTAACATATATTTCCAAACAATAACACAATTTCTTACTTAAAAGTACGAAAAGCCTTGACACATCAGAACTCATTCGTTTTCCCCATATAAATATTTTCTATGGGTGTTATGAAAATAAAAAGTCGTACAGATTTTTCAATGGAAGTAATTAATTGGAGAACTATTTTTTGTCTTAAAATAAGTAAAATGTCTCCCTTACAATTAAAAGAATCCGTAGAATGTCGCTAAATATCACAATTGAATTACCTAATTTGTTTTTCATCTAATTAATATAAAGAAAAGAAAACTATGCGACGATTTTTTCAATCACGATCAATCTAATCTTTCTTATTTCAACGCTTTAAAAATCTTATCTATTCGACTTTCACTTTCATTCACCTAGAAAACGACTACTGTTTCACGTTTATAACTTATAGAGAAAAACTTTATGACAGGAAAGAATAAGACATATTTTTATTTAAGGGAAATTTCCCAATAATTTCTAGGAAATAAATTTCTAAAATAAATTTTCCTTCCTACATAAATTTGAGATCAGACTGCCTTGAATTTTGAAAAATTCTATCATTTTTATTTATTAAATTAAGAAGCTCATTTCCTTGTACATATTGAGTGATCGATAATACATAGTAGACTTTTATATAGAAGCTTTTTACTCATGGACTAATGAACATAAATAGCCATATACATTTATCTCATAAAGTTTTAGGTTTAAGAATTTTATAAGTCATGTTTGATGAAAGAAAAAAAGTATTATGTTCTCAAAAACTCATCTTTCACCTTTTTCATAAATGAAAACAAACCTTGGTTCTATTATCTCTTTACTTACATCTAAAACTTGAGAAATGCAAGAAATTTCGAACAATTTATTTTTATTCCTTATTTGAATAGATCTCGTAAAAAGTTTTAAAATACTTTAAAAAGCTCTAAGCTAGAGTTAGAAATTATTTTGTGCATTTTCATCTTTCTTAACTACGCAGTATTATGGCAAGATTTGATGAGTGAATAAAAATAAAACAAGTAGATATTTAGATAATGAGATAAGAATGCAAATGCAAAAAAACTTTGGTTCTGGGAAAAAGTCACGGAAAATATGTAACTTAGCTCTAGAAATCGATTTTTTTAAGAATTATTGACAATGTAATTATAAAATTGATATTTTGCTTCAATTTAAAAGAAAAAAGTTTTTGGAGTTCAAATGTAATGGGATAAATATTCTAATTGTAATCTATCTTTGATATTTTCTTCAAATCAGAAACCTCCGAAAATAGTCCCAAAACTCTACACAACAATCATTCGATATATAAATAATTTTGAATTACATTTAGCAGAACTATTAGAATTAGACGACTCATGTAGAAGAGTATCAATCGCATGCTTCAAAATCTCGTAGGCTTATAAATTCTAAATAGTAGTAACTTCACTCTTTAACTTGATTCATACTCAATCTCCATTTATTTTTTGTAGTCTGAAACACTCGACTTTAATTCCGTGCCCTCGTGACTTTAATCCCGTTCCATATACCTTCAACTCTTTAGGGATTCAAAATGATTGGACAATCTTCAACTTTTTTGCTGTTCGAAATTGTTTAAGCCAAAAGTGGCTGCTTAAATATTCATCAAGTAAAAGATTTTATACATTGTACCTTCTTCCAATAATCTCATTGCCATCAATTAACATAACGTTGATTGATAGCAAAAGTCCTAGAATTTACGAGTTTTTCATAGAAATCCTTTTATTTCATTTCTAATTCATTTGAGTATTAAATATTTATATGAAATTTTTGTGTTTTATTTTCCAATGCTCATATACAGGTTTGGCCTTAGTAATTATTAAAAGCATCGAAAATGTTTTTATTTCAAAATCAAATTAATTCAATCATTTTATTTAGTTGTAGCAAAGGTCTCTGCCTCTTTTATATTTACACACCTTGACCTTTAAAGTCGTGATTTTATGTAATTAACTCATCTATTTGGAAACGAATTTTGATTAAATGCATTTTTAATTTTTGCTAAATATGATGTTCACATTGAATGGCATAAGTAGAAGTTTTTAATAATAATTAAAAAAGGAAAAAATTTCTTTGCTTTCATTTAGTTGCTTTACAATTCATTCATCATCGAAATGCATATGCGCCATCGCTTTAGTGATTAATTTAGTTGACAAAAAAAATATTTATTGAGAAAATATTAAGTGTAATGAAAGTTTCTTTAAATTTGGAATTTAAAAAAATTGGCGATGTATGTTCCTATCTCGGAACTAATGGTTCATAAATGGTTGTTGAAAATCTCTAACTCAAATTTAAATAATTTGAATTCCTTTTATAAATACGCTGACCAACATGAAATTTTCAATAATAATTACGAAATTAATTCCAAACTAATTTATAGATTTGTAGCACTGAAGTTTTTTTTAGCGATAAGAATCCAATGTCTTGGAATTTACGAAATTGAAACTATAACTGAAAATGTATGAGTATTTAGCTGAATTTAGTTCGCTTAACAATGAATTTAATCGTTCTTTTATTCTTTCAAATTAAAACGCAATTAAAAATCTGTTTTGAAATTATGGCGTCATAAAGTATGTTAGTAAAATAAAGCATACATAATTATAAGAATAAAATATTGATGTTTTTATTATCTCATTTTATATTTATGGTGACAATAACATTTTAGGTGACCTAAGCTCCTTTTTGTGACATTTCATAAAACATACACACACGTATGCTTGCATATGTCACGCATGTCACTGTCACAAACATTCTACCGTTATCGCTGCTAAAGCTGTTAATCATTCATAAGATCTCGACGTCACGTCTCCAGTAGAGTATTAGTCCCTATCTAGACTGCGTACCTAATTACTCACTCACTTTGCATCTGCGTGAAGTTAGTTTGTAAATCATCATGAAATCAAATTTTATTTAATCATGAAATGAAATTTTCTTTGTTGAGATAAATTTCTTTCTTTCTAAAACTTTCTTTTATAATTCAATTTTTATTCCTTAAGACACAGTTCATAATTAATTAAATTAAAAAGGCGTGGCCAACTTTTATTACTAAGTAGGTATACTTCAAATTAATGTTGTAAAGCTTCTTGGCTTGTATGGTGTGTGAGAAATGAACTATAAATTTTGTGGATGAAAGCTTTTAAATCTTCTGAATATCACATTGCGAGTCCGTTGCACGCTCTACACAAGGAAAATAATCATCGTTAACATATGAAGGTAAATCACGTTGAAACTGTAATTAAAGAGGCTAAAGCGAAAACACTTATGCTTTTAGCAAGAGATCAAATTGGATTTTATTAGGATTTGTAATTTTTGTTACTTGTAAGCATTATCCTTGCCATTAACACATGGAAAAGATGTAAGTTACAAAATCTTAGATAAGTATTTTTATTAAAGGTCTTGTTAAACATAACAAAAAAAAAGAGAGAGAAAAGTAATGTAGAAGCATTAATGTCATTATGCTAGTTATAAATTGCCTTCGTTATATCCAAATCTTCTATCAAAATATATCAGTACGAGGGTTTTTAATTATTTAGATAGGAAGATTCAATTAGAATAAAAGGTTGAATCAGAATATCTAATTAAAAATTCTGAAACACAAGTGTTTTAAAAAATAACAATAACAAAAGAAGCAAAGTACGGTAGTCATCGTTCTGAGGATGAATCTACAAAATTTTCTTTTTTGAGTTTATCAAAGATTTTCATTAAACATTACTTCACGTTTCTGTGCCTGTTTTGATTCGTAATCTGCTCGTGCTAATGCGATTTGTACAGATTTTGGCCGATCAGGAATCGCTTTATGTATTATCCACGCTAAGAGTAATAAAAAATGTTCCAAACCGACGAAGACAATTAGCTTCAATTCAGCTGTCATAGTATGAGTCAAATCTCTATGAACACGACAAAATATTAAAGTCAAGAATGGCTGAAGTTGAGAAAAAAAAATCCATACGAACCTAACTTGTGGAGATAGATAAAGAATACCACAGTTTGTCATGATTGATAGACATGCTAGAACTTCAAAAGCACGTTGCCATGCTCCAGTATTTTTCGCACGTTTAGCCATTGGACGACGGAAGGTTTTGCAAAGCTGAAATTTTTAAGATAAAGCTTCTTATTTTCTCTCACTTCCACAGTATATTGAAATGATTTTGATGTTTCAAATTATTTACCTTATACGCATCTAACCTTATCTCGAAAAAGTTATTCAAGAGTGCCCAGAATGCTGCTAAGGGAGCGACTGACGAAAAAAGAACAACGTAACCAAATTGAATGTAAAGTTCAAGATAATCTTCGTAAGTCTCATAATTTTCCTTAGCGCTTTCCCTCATGTACTGTTTAAGAATAATATGCAGTTGAAGTATTCACTGACAAAGCCATAATTTTCTTCAAATAATACTTACTTGGTAAATCCTCGAATCATCTGCTCCAAGTTCTTGAATATTAAGATCTTCAAAAACAGATTCAAAACTTTCATTATCTCTCTTTTTCTTCGCATTGGCGTCTTCGCCTTTCCGATATTCACACCACAAGTAATACTTTTGTTTCAGCTTTGGTATGAGAAATTCTTGGGCACTTTGAACAAACTTTAAAAGAAGAAAGTTTGAAAGTTGAGTTAATTGACAGTAAAGTAAAAGAAAAACAAGAGGTAAGTTGTTTTCTTACTTGTAAAATAATCATCTGAGTCATGAGTTGATTTTGAAGCATTTTCATGTCACGTTTAACGAATGCAATGTAAAACAAGCAGAAGAAGTTGTTCACAAACTCAAGAACAATCAATTTGTTCACGCGATATCGTTCGTAATGAGATTGAGTTCGATGATTTTCTTTTGCTGTCAAATAAGTTGCAAAGCGATCATAAAAAACTGTCAAAGTTGCTACAAAAATTGATTGACAGATTGATGGTATAAGCACAATGTAAGATTCGTAACCAAATTTTACAGTCAAGTAATCTTCAAACCAAAATTGACAAAGTGTCATGAATACAGCACCAATTGAACAAATAAGAATAACTGGCACAGATACAAAATAAACTTGGCACATTGTCTTCCAAACTGGATAATGAGGCATCATTTTTCCCGTAATTGGATCTTTTCCTAGTTTTCCATAATAATCAGGACGTGGAATTTCCGTGTTGGTTAATGATAATGTACCCCAGTTATATGCCATATTTGAGCATTTTCTTTTCCATGTCTCAAGAAAAACGGTCATCCATACAACATAAAAACAACAGAAGAAAATTGTCCTTTCACCGCCAATTATAAATTGCATAAACCCCAAAAGTGTTGGTACTATCAATGCGTAGGTGTAAAACTCTGAGTATTAAAAGTGTGAAATGAAAAACATCACATTTCCTAAGATCAACAATAAATTATTTGTCTGACTCACCTACAAATGAAAAATATATTCCAATCGCATCTCCAAAGTAAAAGCGAATCTTTTCGATGGGCTGAGGTTGTAATATTTTTTTTACGTTCCACCATTCTGTACCCAATTGTTTCATATATTTTTTATCATGCAATGAAGACATAGAGATAAGCTCTTCCGAAATTGCTGCTTGAATAATTGATTGACCATGGTAAAGAAAAACGGAAGCGTAGCCGGGTATGTGTCGTTCATCTGCCTTTGCTTTGATATTTTCTAATGCATATTTTATCACGTATTGTTTTTCGGCTGGTGTTAGAATGTCATCGATTGTCATGTTATCTACATTCAGGAGTAGAAAGAGATTGAAACCATAAAAATCTGTTCTAGTTTTTCTGGAAATATCCTTTCACACTTATAAACATAGATTTCGTGTACATTAAAATTTACCTTCATAGACAAAATCGTCGAGGCATCCAATGTTGAAATTTCTCATCCCATTTTCTGTTTGCTTTGTAAACCCAATTTCATCAGCAAGTTCTAAGAGTCTCAGTTTCGTAGCAGATATGTGGATGATGAGACCTTTTTCATCGCTATGAAAATGTGTACCGAAATATTTGTTTTAAGGTTGTGACCCATTTAGAAATTTAAATGTTACCTTAAAGAAGGTTGCTTTTGGATTAGCAATTCTGCTCCACCATCGATTTTTTTCTTCCTTATTTTATCGACTTGAAAATGTCAAAATGGAAAATGATTGACTTTTTCAATAACATGTAAAAGTTTCTTTTGTGTTTAATAACTTAACTTCAACTTACCAATCCAATGAAGAGCGTGCCTGTTGACATTTTTCTCAAATTCAATGACTATGTAAGACTAAATTTATCATAAATCAGTTTTCCATTTTTCGGTTCCATCTATCATTTTTACCTGAAACGTGCCATCTCCATCATTGTCACTTTGTGAATCAGCGCTATAAGCTACTGTATGGCGTCGTCGTTGTAAAGCGTCCACAGTTGGGAATTGAAATTCCCTATTCTCATGGTTTTCTTTTTCAATAAAATTTAATAAACTTATTTGTGATTTCCTCTGTTCCATTGATGGAATATGAAATTGTTTGTGAAACTGAGACATTTAACACGAAAATGATTTCTCCTTCTGAAGCAAAAAAAGTTTTGACAGAAATAACAAGTTAGACGTTTGCCTTATGCTGCACATATTTAACAAGAATCAAAATTTAAACTTTTTTAAAATGTAAAAAGAGAATAGAGAGAAGAAGATCTTGTAAAGTCAGCGCCAAGCGTAAAGATTAAGCAGAGATGAAGAAAAAAATAGCTGACGTCAGAGAGTTGGACTCTCTCTTAGAGAAAAGAAAACTGAACTATAAATAAGTTAGCAAATTCACGATCAAAATATTTGATCTTTTTAATGAACTTTTTTTAACTCACTTCAATTTTATGGCACAATATTCACAATTCAAACAATCAATTTTATTGCATCTTCTTTAGTGCGAAGAATTCTCTTCAAGAGTATTAACAGAACCTTTAAAAAAATAATTAAATAAATTAGATAAACGCAAACCTTCGCGACTCTTCGATACTTTTCGAATGTTTATGTCTCTCGTGCATTTTAGGAGAGTAGATGTACATCGAAGGTGAAGAAAATAATATATGAGTTCAAATACCAATGACGTATAAATGACATATATTTGATATATGCGGTGATAAATAGCATTCAGAATTTAAAACATTTAAAATGATTCGTTCTTTATATACAAAAAATATTCATGGAATGCTTAAATTTTCCTTGCAATCTGAAAGCTTTTAAGGTATATTCAAGTTAATCTTCATTCATAGAATTCTGTTTTGACAACACGAATAATATTTTTTTATTATTATTTAAAAATTAACATTATAATTAATTATCCCTTGAAACAATTCATGATGCTCCATTACCACAATTTTTCTGAATTTGATTGTATAATATTTTCATTCTAGCTCCCAGAACTGGTTGACCTTTTCGTGTTGTCTTGAGAAAACTCGCATTTCTTTTTTTCTCTAAAATTAAAATTTAATATGTAAACGTTAATTTTCTAAGTACCTAGGTAAATTTTAATTAAAATTTGATGGAAAAGGATTTAAATCTTACTCTGTGCTTGAAAATCTTTTTGTTTCTTGCTAAATTCTGTTTGTTTGTCGTTTGTTTTTTTCGTTTTTAATGTTTTCAGCAAAATTTTAGGATTAACACAGTAATGAACTTTGTTTTCCGAATCTTTGTTGTTCTTGTTTGAATTTATATTTTTCTTGAATCTTTGATTGAATTTTTCATTTCGCCGCTCCGGTCGATTAGAATTGTTGTGTTTTCCATTTTTAACTTGTCTCTTTCCATTGCCTTCTGTTAGTTATAATTAAAAACATTTGAAAAAAATATACACCTTAGTATTTCTAGGAGTTATTATTTCCATCATTTATTTGTATTAACTTACCTTTATTTTGCTTTGCCATTTTTCAATTCTTTACTCAATAATTTTAAAATTTCAATCCAAATTCAATTTATGGAAACCTAATGTAGAAACCAATACAATTTAATAATTTTATTCTTCACATTGATTCACGTTGTTTATGTTTTCAGAAATTGTCGTTCGACTATAAGCTTCTTACCCCCGGCAGGTTCTCACAAGTCTTGATTTCTGAAATCCCCTTCGTCAATTTTTTATTAGTCAAAAAGTTTGAACATAAATTGAAATATTATTAAAAATGTTTATCAAAGCGTTTCGAGTAAAAAACAATATTCAAGTGAAAAGTTCAGAGGTTAAAAAACTTAAGACAAAACTTTCACAACAATACAAATTAAATGAAGATGAATTGTCGATTTTGTTGCCGTCTAAATCATCTGTTCAATCTGTGAAAGCGACGACACATGGAGAACAACAATTGATAATTTTTACAGTCGATAAACGACCAATGTTCTTCGAATTTGAAGATAGAATTTATCCTACAGTGTACTGGTTATGGCTTATACCATCATGTGTTCCTTACTTTACAACTCATCCTCAAGTTCTGCCGAAACTAGCGAATGGTGCAAATTTAATGATGCCAGGTGTTGTAAAAGAAGGCTCCGATCGAAAGTCTTTTGGGAGATTCCAAAAAAATCAGATAGTGGCTGTAAATTTATCATCAAATGCTTCAGCAGTTGGTGTTGGTGTGCTAGCATTGGACTCTGAAGATATGTACATGTCTGCTGGTCATGGAATTTGCGTAAAAATGTTGCATGTTTTTGGTGATAAGTTATGGGGAATGGAAGGAAGTGTAACTCAACAGATCCCTGTTTCAAAACCTGCTGTTAGGCAGCCGAATTTGAACAGTGAACAAGATTTTCCTGAACTTGGGTCAGTCCCATCAAATTCTCAACCACAGGAGCAAAATGATGATGATTCAAGTTCTGAAGACGATAGTGAAAGTCAACAAAGTGAAGGAAATCAAGCTTTAAATCCCGATGACATTCTCAAAAGTATGTTCATGTCAGCTCTTAAGATTAACAAGAAAGAACTTCTTAGTTTATTACCAATCCAAGTCGGAACTTTTTATCCTACTTACGTTCTGAAGCAGAAACATCCGAATGGTGACAAGTCAGTTTCAATCAAAGAAACATCGTACAAGAAAGTTTCAACATTTATTAAACAAATGACTGATGAAGGTTTCATTGTCGTCAAAGAGGAGAATAAAGGTGTTGAAAAAATAATCTCAATAAATTATGAACATCCAGAGCTTGTCACACATATTCCTTTCAAAGTGAAGTCAGAAGATGCGAAATCAGAGCAAAGTTGTCATATGCTTTTAACGAAAATGACTGAACTTTATGTCGTCAATGAATCGACAAAGAAAATATTTAATGCATTAGGTGTTAAAGATGGAAACGCTCTTGATTCCACGGAAATTAAAAATTATGTAAAGGATTATGTGTCGAGGAAAAAACTTCTAGATCCCATTACCAAACAAGCGTTATTAGATGACGTTCTTGTTGAAATATGTCTTGGAAAACGAGAGAACGAAGATCCTGTTCGAATGTCTTTGGATGAAATCATAGCGAATGTTAACTCAAAGATGGATAATACTTTTGAAATGCGAAGTCAATCAGGGCCACTTATTAGAGGCGGAAAGAAACCAATAATACAAATAACAATTGCAACAAGAATGGGCAATAAGAAAGTAACTTTAATCAGCAATCTTGAAGCTTATGGAATAAATATTGCAGAATTTTCGAAAGCATGCAAAATTGGTGTTCAAGCTTCAACAAGTATAACAAAGACTCCTGGCTCAAACACTAACCAATTTCAAATTCAAGGAAATCAAGTTCGTTTTGTTTATTCTCTTCTCACTGAGACTTACAAAATTGCTAAAGGGAATATATCCGGACTTGAGTTTGCAAAGAAAGATAAAACCAAGAAAAAGTAGAAAAATGTCAAATTTTTTATCAACATTTGTTTTAATAAATTATTTGTTGATGTTACAAATTTTCATAAATTACTATCTACATGTATGATTTTTACATAAATTTAAAGCAAAAGTTTTCTCTGATATTTAAGTTTGAAGATTGAAAAGTTAAAAGTTTGGCATTGACTGAAATGTAATAAAAATTATCTTGAAAACTGAAAATCACACTATTTTCTAATCATAACAATCATAGATACTTATTACATATAAATATTTTGCGATATTTACCAACACAGCAATTAGATAATTTCATTTTTTTTCATGTAAACTGATCACAAAGAGCTTTCATTCTGATGTGAATTTATTTTGTTTTTTTCATCCTTTTTGAATCCTTGGAAAAGCTTCAGTTCGTTCATATACGAAACAATATTTTGTAAAACTAAAATTATGACGAGAAAAAGAAATAATTTTAAATGTTTGCGAACTCTTTTTTTTAGTCACCTTGAGATCTTTGCGTTCTTTCATTTACAATTGCTTTAGTAGCATTGTAGAGGAACACATATTGATCTAAAGTCTGGACCATTTTCATTCTTTGTAAACGCAGCTGATTAATTAACTCAAAAATGTTTATTTTCTTCTCCTGTTTCAGACGTTGCATTATAATGTCGAGTGCTATAAATGTTCCTGTTCTTCCAACACCAGCACTTGAAGTTAAATTTGTTTATTAATGAAGATTGATATATAAAAAGAGAGAGTGAATCAAACCTGCAATGAACCACAATGCTGCCACTTAGCTTTTGTCTTTCACTTCGAAATAATTTACAAAATTCAATTAAAGCTGATGGACTTGATGGAATGCCATGATCAGACCAAGACGTGAAATAATAATGTTTAACTGTATGTATTTCATCATCCTGAAATATAATATTAAAAGTAAATTAAATTCATTTCTCTCCCATTTCATTCTCATCTTACCTTTTCAACTTCCATAATTCTTTTTATAAAATTTTGATGATTTTCTTCACTTTTGCATATAATGTTAATGTTGCTGAATGTAATTTGACCATTTAACTTCGGGAAATATTCATGACATTTGATTCTATCTTCCTCTACAAAAGATGTAAGCATGACAATCGATTCAACTTTATGTTGAAGAATCATTCGCCAAAAATCAATCGCGGTGTTTGGTTTCGGACCTTGAGCTGCAATGTATTCTCGAGGATAATGATAACCCTAAGAAAATGTAAAAAAATTATAAAACTTCAAGATTTCCATCAGAAAAGACAAACATTAATATGCGATGCATTAATATAATCATTTTCAAACTCATCATCATTAAGAACAACACGATTGTAGTCAAAAGGTGAAATATTTGTGTATCGATTAAGTTTCTCATTAGCTTTTGATGCAATAAAAGTTTTATCTAAACTTTCAGCATATGCTTGAATTGCCGCATATTCTTCCTTCATCCGTGCATTGTCATCTGCAGACATTTCAGAAAAATACTTTCCAAAGTCATTAATTGGGATATCTTTTTTATCGTTTGAAAAATCCATTGATTGTTCTCTGTTGTGGATAAAACAAAGGAAAAAAAGTTCTTTAAAGTTTTTTCAAATCTTTTAAAATGTATCAACTGACCGTAGGGTTCTTGTTTTCTTGTATGTTATATAAAATCCAATCATGAAGACAACGCACATAGTAGAAAGTATTGATATTGATATCGTATAAAATGGAACTTCCTTCTCAGTTTTAATTAAGATGTAATCGGTATCTGAGAAACCTCTCCTTGTAAAGACTCTCATAGTGATTAAATAGCTGGCACCTGGTTTCAAAGGTCCATTGCAATAACTGGGTGAATCTCCACAATTCTCATTTCCAACAGTGAAAATAAATACTTCAAGTCCCTCTTCTGTCGTTAAAGTTTGAATGCTTTCATCGGTAATAGTTCCAGTTTGATATTGGGGAACGCAAGATTCAGATGAAGCTTCTCGCCATGACTTCAAATATGGCTCTTTGCCAACGAACCCTTTCTCAGGTGTTAAATCTCCGTCACAACTCTTTAAGAAATTTATTTGAAAGTAAATAAATTTAAATTGAATTCAATTCCCATTTACCATTTCTGCAACAAGAATTAAAATTTTGGTGATTCTTCCAACTTCGGAATGAAAAATTGAGTAAGGAATCGTCAATCTTGCATCTTTCGTTGATATGCTATAAATGACTTCATTAGAATCCCATTCAGTAAGAAGAGGCACTTTGAATGAAATTTTAAATTAATTATGCTTCTAAGTTTTTCGCGTTCATTTATAAGCTTACATCCAGCTTCAAGTATTACTGTTTGGAATGTTTCTCTTCCTATAAATTCTTCCGTATTTGCTTGAATTGAAACATTGTATTGTGAATCGGGTTGAAAGTTTTCAACATTAAATGAATATTCTTCAATGTATTGAGAAGCATCAACCTCATAAGTCCAACTTATTTGAGGATTAAATTGATGTACAGCATTAATGATGTATTTGGTAATTTTTCCATTCCGACGACAAGGTGGAGTCCACTTTAGAATTGTTGTCCGATTATATTCCATATCTAATTCTTGTTGCATTCTTTCATACATGAATTGTTCAACTCTGGCAGGTGAAGCTTTAAATGAAAATTCTCATAAATAATATTTTGAAAATATTTTTTTAATCCTGAATACCTGCTAAAGTTCTACAATGCTGTGCAATGCTATATTGACCTTCGTTTTCATTGTTCTTCGCTTTGACTTGAACTGAATACGAGGAAAAAGGAAGTGCATTTATCAAAACATGTTCATTTACATTCTCAGATAGAGTTAAAGTTGTAGGTTCAAAATCATTTTCACATTTCTCCGAAGTAACATACGAGAAATTCAAAAATTGTATATGAACATAATAATTGACAATGATTCCATAAGCCTTTGGTGAATTCCATTCAAATTTACACGATGTTGCATCCACTTCAACTATTTTAACCAAAGGTTGTTCAGGATCTAAAGGGAAATAATTAAATCAAATTTATTTTATATTTCTTTATATCAAACTTAAGTGGACATGAACGCACATCCTTCCTTTGTCTTAAAAGTGACTTCATCACTTTCTTCTGAATAACCTGTTGGATCTCCTATGTTGACTTCAACATTCTTAACCTTCGTATAACAATAATAATCAGTGAAAGGCTCTAATCCCGTTAATTCTATGCTTGTATCATTTTCCATTTTAACATTTTCTTCTTTTGTTATGTTTAAAGTCTGAGCATAATCAATACATCTTATCGTTACACTTTCAACTTTACAGGTGCTTTTTTGATTGACTGGATTGATTGTAGTGGTCAAATTTACACTTGTTGCTGACCGGTCTGCGACTCTCGGTGGTGATGGAGCATTGAAAACTTACAACGAAAAAAAATATTAAAATTTATTCGAATTTAATATTGAAAGTTCAACTTACTTCTTGTAGGTATTAAAATGTTTTTTGTTTCTCTTGCAGTTTCAAGGTCGCTGAATGTTGTTGAAAAGACTGTGATATCATAAATAGTGCAAGCATAAACGAGATTGAAAACTTCTCTTGTAAGAGTTGTCGATATGTTTCGCGCTTCCATGTCGCTTTCTACTAATATTTCATAAGTTTTAACACATTTTGAGCCACTAACAGGTGGAGTGTAAGACACTGCGAGAGATTTCTCGTTTTCCAAGTATTCAACAGTTAAATTCCGAATGGGTGGAGGGTTGATTTGATTCATTGTATAAGTGATTGAAGATCCTTTACTTTCAACTAAAGTGTTGTTTTTATACGCAGGGTACAATGTTATCGTGTAGGTCTCACATGGATCCAATCCTTCAATAGTTACATTGACTTCTTTCAAATAACTTTCCCTTGTTGTTTCAATAGAACTCAATTCAAATTTATAATTTGGTTCACATAAGAGATTTTCATTTCGATTCCACATTAGAAACACCGCGAAATATGATTCAACATCTTGAAAAACTTTTAATTCGATATCTTCAAACTCTTCGTTTGCTTGAATTTGTTGGGCTATTTTTGATTCTTCACCATTCCATTTAATTTCTATAATCTCATATTCATAATTTCCACAAGCTTCTAACTTTTGCGGAAATGAATAACTGAATCTAGTTATGAGTACAGAAGCTTCTTGTTTACAAGTTTCGTCGTCACATTCCAACCATGTTAAAGAAAGGTTTAACGTTTTTGAATCACAAATTGAAGGATCATTGAAATCTGTTGTCCATTTGATAGTAAGAATGTTTTCATCACTTATTTCGGTTGTTGTTATTAAGATGATACAATCTTTTAAGAAATAAAAATGAAATTTTGTTTGAGATATTATTTTGTTATCATTTTACTTAGGAAAGAAAACAAGAAATAAAATTATCAAAAATTATTGGAATAGGCAATCTTAGTAAGCTGTTATCAAAAACTGTCGACTTAAGATAATTTACTGATATCGAATTAGCACAATTGCTGTTTTTTTCCCATGAGAAATGAAATGCGGATTCATTGTCGGATCGAACTTTAAACTTTTTACAAGACCAAATTACCTTCAGGTTCAGTTTCTGTCGTTTCATCAATGATGAATTCAGTTGTTGAATCACCATCACGATACATAAAATAATCCTCGTCAATTATTGTAACAAACGAAGAAGTTTCATTCTGAAAAGTTTTATTGTCATTGCGATTATGATTTTGATGAAAAAGTTTTCCATCTACTCTATCACATATTATTATTTGGAATATTATAAAAGTGATGACGCGTGTTGAAAGTTCAAATTTTAACATTTTCTTCACTAATTTTATATTTCCTCCTTAAAAACTTCCATGCGACAGTAGCGAATTAATTACACTCTCTGATTGAGCACAATTAAAGCCCTATAATACTGATATGGCAAGTTTCTGTCCGCTTTTGTTAAATCAATCAATAAACTTTATAATCAGCCATGACGCTATAAATTGTTGATATCTATTGGGATTTGATATATTGTATGGTTGTAATTGTTTTTCATAAAAAAGGCAGCATTCATTTATTCCATCAAAAGAGGGATGAATATTCCAGAACATCAGAATGATTAAGTTTTAAATCTTTTAAATTTATATCCTCACAATTTTAATCAACTTTTCTTCCTTTCTTAATAATCACAATGACGACACTTTTAAATTTTCACAATCAGAAGTATTCCAAAAACGATCATTAAATGACGCACTATGTCTGCGTTTGAAACAATCCAGGTGATAAAGAAATTAAATTTATGGCTGCTCTTTCTTATCAGTAAAATTGAATAATGTTATTTATAGTTGTCATCAGAGTAAACTCTAAATACCCAATACAAAACAATATTTTTATCTAATAAATATTTAATTTATATTATCATGTACAAAAGTGTAGAAACAACATGTAAGTTGTAGCAGAAGTTTTGTCTTTTCTGAAATGTTTAATCAATTTGTATGGTTAATCTACTTCACGTTTCATGTAAAACTAAACAAAATATTTTTTATTAAATTTTCTTTAACAATTGAAGCAATTTTACAGGAGCTCACATAAAAACTAAAGTCATTCATAAATTCAAATAAATATTGAGCAAAGAGAGAGTGTTTTAGTTGATAAAACATTATGAAGAATATTTCTCCATATCAATCATATATTTGTTACAAGTGTTGGTAATGAATGCGATAAGCTTCATATTCATGAACTGGAGAGGAACAGCAAACAAATTAGTTCTGCATGCATTTTAAAAATTTATTTTTTGAAGACTTTAACAGTTTCATTGGTACACGCAAATTGGAAATAAAAATATTTAGAAGGACATCGACAGTATGTGAATCAAACATAAACATTTATTGTGATTTTTTTTCACACTTCACAAGTTGAGATATTTTGTAAATAAATACAAGCTGTGCACAGCTAGTTATGTGTACAAGATTTTAAATTTTTAGAGAAATATTATCACTAATTTTAAGAATTCCGTTGCTGTTTTTATGAAATTTCAAGCTCATCATTACATATTATCTAATCTAATCATTAGAGCACACTTTCTTACTTTTCCAAGGCTTTCTCCATAAACAAAAACTTTGAAAGTTTTCCATAAAATTTATTAGAACACCAAAAGAAGAGTATAACATAATTAAAATAAATATATTTATGCCGACAATGTTTGGATAAAAAAATATATAATGTATGGAAAAAAGACTTCCTAAAGCCTGTATAAATGAAAAAATAATAATAATATTAATAACTTTGCTTAAATTAAATTATTAAAAAAAAAATAGTGTCACGAGTCATGTTTTAAGAATAAACATTGTTACGTTACAACTTTCGAGAATATTTCGTGAGAGATTCATCATAAAACTAGTTAATAGATTGGATTTTTTTAGAGTTTACTTATTGCATCCTTCTTCTGTCGTCATTATTTATTAGATAATTTAATTTAATTTCTAATCAGGATGAAATTGCGTCACATTTGTTTCCTTGGTATCATTTTCCTTCTTCTTTTCATAAGAATGGATTATTTGTGTTGACAGGTCCACTTGTCTAAATATAATTAAACAACATTATAAAATATTTCTAATTAGAAAAAGTTAATTTCATTTACCATAAAAGGATTTCCAAAACCATTTTTGTCGTCTGATGATGAATGTTGAGAGTTGAAGCCATTGACCATGTTATGATTATAATAAAAGCCATTAATAAAATCGTTAGAGTTAAACGATGGTTCAATTCCATTCATTTGAATGGGTTTCTTATTCGTCCAATTATGAAATGGTTGTTGAGTTCTGAACTGCTCATGATCTTGAGTCACTGTTTGGAATGGATTCTTCTTAAATGGATTTGCCAAATCTTGAAATATATATAAATTTAATAAAACATTTCAGCAATTGAAATTTATTCACTTACTTTTCGTTTCAATTTCATTAGTAACAGATTTAGCTTCTCTCAGTTGTTCATCCAAATCTTTTAAAGCAGCATAGCGATCTTCTGTTGGTGTTGACGTCGTTGTCATGTTAGAATTGAAAGCTTTGTTATTTGATTTGAGAAAATTTTTGGCGTTTCCTCCAATTGACATTTTATGGAAACCTGAAAATGAAATGAGCATAAATGAAAATTATAAAACAAAAACATTTTTTTGCTTCCTTACCTCCGGCATTATAAATTGTGTTGTTCTCAAAATCAGCAAAGTTCTCCGACATATTGTTGGTTGCAAATCCATTTGACATTTTCTCTTTCATCTGTCCACCACTTCCAGTGCTATTAAGGCTGTTATTAGAATTATAAATGTTTGCTTTGCTAAAGTCAGCCATAAAATCGTTGCTTTGACTACTCTTGATGCTTTCGTTTGGAGACGAATTGAGTTCAAGAGACTTTCCGTTGATAACATTTTGCTGACTAAAGAAATTATTATTGCAATCAGATCCATTGTTGAGCCCATTTTGAGTGCGATGACGACTGTAAATTGCTGTTGGCTTTATCTGAATAGATTTTTGTTGTTTATCATTTAAACCATTGTTGTTGTTCGTTTTTGAGATTTCATTAGAAAAAGAATTTTGTTGTTGTTGGATTGCTGTGCTTATCGATTTTAAAGGACTTGCAGACTCAAGATAATATCTGCAATAACATGAAAAGTTTGTGAAATAATAATAATAATAAGAACTGTCTTTTTCATTTACCTTTTCTTTTCATATTTATCAATTATAAAGTCACGTTGATCTTGCTTAATTACTCTCTTTGAGTCCCATAGACCAAGCCATGTTTTTGAACATTCATCATTTCCATGTTTTTGCAGAAATTCAAGTTCTTCGGTTGTAAATTTTGCCATCGAAATTGATTTGACTCGATGTGGAGGAGTTAAACCGCGGCTAAAAATAGAAAAGAACAACACAGAAATCAATAAGACTTTAAGTGATAATCTTAGCCTTGATCTGTTATCTCCTTGGCAGCAATTTAAGTGAATAAGTTGCAATACTAATTTTTTCTTAAATCGCATTAAAATCTTGTTTGACGAATCCATAAAAGATAAAAATTATAAAGGAAAAAGGAAACCACAGTGAACTTTCTTTGTAAGAATTTTGAAGGGAGTCTCCTATAAAGAGCTTCTTCCTATAAAGAACTTTTTTGAACATTACGTCTTAATATGAGTGTGTGACTTATAAAGAGCTTTCTACTTATAAGGAGAATTCTTATAAAGAAAGTCCACTGTAAATCCTTTTCAGGTTTCACAAGTAAATTGAAACTTTTTCTCAACTCTTGGGGATATTATAAACACTTGCAAAATAGAAACTTCATGTCATGTAACTAAAAAGAAGGAAGACTATAAATAATCTACTTTCGCTCAAGCGTAGATGGCTCAATGAACTTTCAACAATATTTTCAATCGGTGCAAGTTTTTTTATCGCTTAATTTGAAATTAAACCATAACTAACACCTGTCTTTAAAATAAAGATTAAAATATTATGAAAAAAAGATATTTAAGGGCAATGAAACCTTTGAAAGTTTAGGGATATCTACTAGATCAATCGCTTTAAAAATTTGATTAAACTAAACTTTCTATAAATTTTGCTGATTTCTATCACATGCGTTGTTTTCATTATGAAAAGAAGAAGAAAGAAAACAAATTCATGATTCTTTATTTTCGCTTTCGCGTTAATTCCAAAAACAAAAATTAATCAGTGGCGTTATATGGCTAAAGTTCGTCATGGGGAAGTCTTGCTTTTAAGATTACTCATTTCGTTATCTTTTATGAGGAAATTCATTTTAAAACTTCCCATATTTAATATACGTAGTACATACAATCATAAAACGAGATGAATTATTTCAAAATAAACAGTATTAATCCAAACTTAAATCTTCCGTCTTCAGTTCAAATCTTTAGCCTTGACAATGATCTTCACACTTTGCACAAGTAACTGAAACTCTAACTTTTGCCTTGCTGTAATGCATATATTTGTTTTTCTTTTAAAAATATTTAAAGACTTAAAAATAACATTCAAGCGATTTAAAACGAGTGAGCTGTCGATTGTTCATCGTAACCATTTGAAATTTATGCCAACTACAGATTTCATTGTTGTATGTCAAAATGTAAAATATTTATACATGACTCTGTATGAAAATACAACTAAGAAACGCATTCAATAAGAAAAGGTCTTGGAGAAACTTTGAGATTGCATTTAGGAGAAGAGAAACTTTTGATCTAAATAAATTAGGTATTCTTACAGTATTCCTGAACATGATGTGCATGAAAATGATCCACATGTCATATTAACATATGTAACACCTTTTTGTCCACAGTCAAAGCATTGACGATTACTTCCAGATGCTACTAATTCGCGTAAAGCTTTCAACATTTTGTCATTGTTATCTACTGTTGGTTTCTGCATTTTGTTTTCTTATATTTTTTTTCACGAGTGATTCACCACAAGAGAAAACTTAAAGATTCAAAATTTCATATGGAACTCTACTCTTAAATATTATAAGAGCTATTTAACTCTTGAATGTGTCGATCTCAAACCAAACTTTAATCACTAACAAAGCACTTTTCTTAAAAAAATAAACGTAACTTCAATAATTTAAGAAAAATATTATTTTTTTCTTTTTTAATTTTTTCTTTGTTGTTTTATTTTTTCTTATTTAAACTTTAATTTGGGTTATTTGCTCTTTGTAATAATTTTTAATTATTTTAAACTTTGTAAAATTGATTTCAGATATATTAACGAGAACATTCAGTGTCAGACAAAAAGATTTTTCTCATTAATTACAGCTTTTATTAGAAGAAATAAAAAGAACAACTTAATTTTCAGCAAGTAAGAGCTGAACTAAAGGAAAACCTGATCAAACCCTGGAAGAAACTTACACTCTATCGAGACTTTTGTGATTATTTTGAAATTTTCATCCGTTAGCAAGATGCAAAAAAATGTTTAAACAAAATTTAAACTTAATAATATGATATAAAGATATGGTATCACATATCTATTATTTACATTGACAAGAGAAAAGAGTCAATATAGGTCATACAAAATTAGTGAGATATTAATCATTTTTATTCATTGCAAATCTGAAATTGAGGTATCGATAAGGGAACTATCCCTGTTTTGCTAATAAAACGGGGTTTAAGTGTGGAAATTACATAAAGGGGCTTCGGGTAATTTTTGTGTTTTTTTTTCTTTCTTAATCTATACTTATTCTTTTCATATAGGTGAAGATGGCAGCAAGAACACAGGATATGCCTCCACCAGGAGGCTATCAAAAAATTGAATTCAAAAGAATTCCAGCTCGTAAATACTTCACGGGTTATCAAATGATTCTTGGATACCTTGGTACAATAATCATTGAAATTCTATGAATGTTTCTCTAATTTTTTAAACCTTTTTTTTTACTTAAGGGGTAACTGCTGGATCAGCTTACTTATATTATCTAAATACACTTGAAATCGATCGCGAAGATATTGAAATGAGATCTGCGAAATTAGCAACGTTTCCTCTGTTATTAGCAGAACGTGACAGAGAATATTTGAAGCAATTAAGACGCAACAGAGATGAAGAAGCAGATCTCATGAAGAATGTTGCTGGATGGAAAGTAGGAACATGGTATGGCGAGCCCGTTTTCAAAACATTGCCAAAGGATAAAATCATTGATCCTCATTGGCAAGATTTCTGTGCACACGCACCATATAGAATCCAAGCTCATCGTACTTTCTTCCATATGTACGATTAATCATTTCAAGAAATGATAATTCGAGTAAAAATAATTTCTTGTAAAATTGAAGTTCGATAAAATGGAACTTAGTGAAAATAAAAACTAATAAAAATCATAATTTATGTTTTTCTGTTTATTTCTCAAATAATTCGGTGTACAAAATGCAATTGTACGGAATCAAAGAAGAATAAGATGTTTAATCGAAAAGACCGAATCCCATGTCATCATCAGATGCCTCAGATTCCTCTTTCTTTTCTTCTTTCTTGGCTTCTGCAGGTGCAGCAGGGGCTGAGAAATGAAAAAAAAATTAGCTTATATTTTTATTAACACTTTTATTTCAAATATATTACCTGCTGCAGCAGCAGTGGCAGCACCACCGGCCGGTGCTGATCCAACTCCTGATCCAATGTTGGTGATCAAGTTTTTGATGTCAACTCCTTCAAGAGCCTTGGCAAAAAGACTTGGCCAGTATGGTTCAACCTCGACATTAGCAGCTTTCAAGATAGTTGAGATCTTTTCACCCTAAAAGTATTCAATCATAAAAATGAATAAATAAAACTTTCTTTATCATTTCCAAACAATTTTGCAACTTACTGTGATGGCTACTTCATCGTCAACAAGGATAAGTGCTGCGTAGACGCATGCTAATTCAGCGTTTGATAATGCCATTGTAATAATTTTTGTTTTGGTTAAATGTGCAAGTCGACTGAAGTCTTTAACTCTGTTTATGAGAACAAGCACAAAAGTATGTGTTTAGGCTTCAAACTGTAACAGAAAAAAAGTATTATTTAATGAGATGGAATTAGATATTGATTATTTCGACTGTTGATCAGCATTTTTAACCTAACATCTTTTAAAAACTAGATTTTTCGATGAAATGCTAATAAATAATTTGTTCTTCATGTTGTACATGATAAAATATTTATGATAATTAAATTTATTGGAAGATTCTGAGAATTGAGGGTTGTTATCAACAAAAAACTTTATTAAATTAAAAACTTGTACCTTATTGCTCAAATGGTGATTCGGAAAGGAGGATTGGTGTTAAACTAGTACAAGCGAAACCTCAAAATGTCACTTATCCCAAAACAGTTCCAAACTAACGCTATACTCAGAGTTGCCGACCCGGGTTTAAGAATGCGATTCGCATTCACTCTGCGATTCGCATTTGGAAATTATTTCCTGATTTTAAAAAGTGTTTATAAGCTATTGACTCAAGCGGAAAAAGGTTTAGCGAGTTGTTTAAACATTAAAACTTATAAAATTAACTACTTCTACAGTCGCTGCATTCAAAAATTGCAAAAATAAATAAGTTTCTATTGAATTTCTGTTAAATAAGCATGAGTTTTAGTTCGGATGAAGTTAATTTTCTTGTATACCGATATTTACAAGAATCTGGTAAGTTTATCATTAAAATTTGTTCACAAGTTGATAATTCTAACTCTTTTAATTGAATATTTAAGGATTCCTTCACTCCGCGTATATGTTTGGTATAGAATCCCACATATCGCAGAGTAATATTAATGGCGCCCTTGTTCCACCAGCCGCACTGCTTTCTATCATACAAAAAGGACTACAATACACTGAAGCTGAAATAAGTGTTGGTGAGGATGGTAAGACGACTTTTAAAACATTTTAATTCAAAGATAATGAATTTTAATTTAAATCTTTAGGAACAGAACAAAAAATTGTTGAGAAGCTCAGTCTTATCGACGCTGTTATGCCGGAAGTTGTTGCTAATCGACAAAATCAAATCAGCAAACCTAAATCTAATTTGTCCGAAATTGCTGACACAAATGGAGATCAAATATCAGACACAACAAATACAGGAGGAGCAGAAAAGAATGAAGGTGCTGTAAAAGATGAGATGGATGCTGATAATTTCGTAGAGATACAGCAAAATAAAGCAACAATCTTACGAGGACACGAGAGTGAAGTTTTCATATGTGCATGGAATCCAATGCGAGATTTACTCGCAAGTGGTTCTGGTGATAGCACAGCACGAATATGGGACATGTCAGACAATGCTCCAAGCAGCCAGCAACTTGTCCTCCGTCATTGTATAAACAAAGGAGGTGCAGAGGTTCCTTCTAACAAAGATGTGACGTCGCTTGATTGGAACTGTGATGGAACTTACTTGGCGACAGGATCATACGATGGTTACGCTCGCATTTGGACGACTGAAGGTCGTTTAGCAAATACACTCGGGCAACACAAAGGCCCAATATTTGCTCTAAAATGGAACAAAAGAGGAAATTATATTTTGTCAGCTGGTGTTGATAAAACTACAATCATCTGGAATGCTGTCACAGGAGAATCAACTCAACAATTCTCATTTCATAATGCTCCTGCTTTGGATGTTGATTGGCAGACTAATAATTCATTTGCTAGTTGCAGTACCGATCAACAAATCCATGTTTGTAAATTGGGATATGACAAGCCAGTAAAGACTTTCATTGGACATTTGGTAAGACAATTTACATCTTTAAAGATTTTTATTTCTTTAATTTTATTCTTTATTAATATTAGAATGAAGTGAATGCAATTAAATGGGATCCTCAAGGACAACTTCTTGCTTCCTGTTCTGATGATATGACACTGAAAATTTGGTCAATGACTTACGACTCGTTCGTTCATGATCTTCAAGCACATTCTAAAGAAATCTACACAATCAAATGGTCACCGACTGGTCCCGGAACATCAAATCCCAACATGAATCTGATTCTAGCTAGTGCTAGTTTCGATTCTACAGTTCGGTTGTGGGATGTTGAAAGAGGAACTTCAATTCATACATTGACGAAACATACAGAGCCAGTCTATTCTGTCGCTTTCAGCCCTGATGGTAAATTCCTTGCTTCCGGAAGCTTTGACAAATGTGTGCACATTTGGAGTACTCAAAGCGGTCAATTAGTTCATAGTTATCGTGGAACTGGAGGAATATTCGAAGTATGTTGGAATTCTAAAGGATACAAAGTCGGCGCGAGCGCATCTGATGGCTCTGTATTCGTTCTTGATTTGAGAAAACTATAAGTTAGTTAATGGGCGGCTTCAGAATAAATGAAATAACTTTTTTATGACACAAAATAAAATTTAACTTAAGGTACATGACTATAAAACTTAAGATAAAGCTTAAGAGCAGTAAGTGAAAAATAAAGATGTATAATCAAATATTCTAGTTTATAATAATGACTCATTTGTCATCAGAATTGTTTAAATTTTAATAAAAAGAAATAAAATAAAAAAGAAAAATTTAGATTGGATTTTTTAAATAATGAAAGAACTAAAACTTTCTTTCATTAACTCGATTGTCATAGATTGAGATATTTATTAAGATTTTGCGTCTCATTTTCGACAACAAACATTTTGAGTAAACATCATGACAAGCTTTTAAGTATCTAAATGAAATTTAAATTTGTACGAGATTTGGACGAATTACGATTGGTTCTTTTGATGGCTTTTTTATTATGATAGATATCAAATTCATGAATGAGTTTGTGTCTCTTTTTTTCATATTTGCCAAACATCTAAATGAATATTTCGAATTTATTTTATTGATTCATTTTTTCACTTCTTTTTCATTATTTTTTTTTTTGATTAATCACATGCATAAGAGTTGAGAAGGAGTTTCTAAGCATGTAGAAACATCATGATTATCTTTCATATTATTGAGAGAATGAGAAATGTATCCACAGAAACGTTTCTATATTCTCGAATAATATAAATTCTGATCTTGAGTATTGTTATCGCTCAGTTGCATTTGAAAATTCAAAAAGACAGAAGCTTCTCACGAAAACGACTACACGTGATTAAATTTATTAGATTGAACTAGAAGTGAAAAAAAAATATTTATTTGAAAATTCCTCTCAAAATTGACAACTTTCAAATTAAATTAAAGTGAAACAGAACAGAGCAAATAACATAAATTAAGCAAGAAAGAATTAGTACAAAATTTAAAATGGGTGTAAATAATCAGCTACGTCTTCTTCTCATAATTTTAATCAGTAAAATTAAAATAGGAATGGCAACAGACGAAGGCAAAAGAGGTAAGTAAAATGTGGATAAAAGAAACTTTAAACTTCCAGCATGAAGAAAAATCGTTTTTGAAGCAATTAATACTTTGTACCTTCTTTAGTAAAATGATTGTAAATAAAAATTAAAGTTCTATGAAGAAAACAACTTTTAAAAATGATCTCAAACACAAACATCCTCAGACCTTCAAATAATCTCTAAGTTTAAATAATTAAGTCATACATGAGTGATGAATAGAAATGTGCATGCATCAATAAATAATATTCAATTGCAAGTGAAACTTAAACCTTGACCTCAACTACACACACAGAATTGAGATGGAATTCGTTGTAAATTTCTCTACATTGCAATACTTTCAATCAATTTAAATGATTTTAATTAACAAATAAGAATCAAAAATCTCAACCATGCGATATATTCCTTTCTTCAATGCTTACTTAGTAAGTTTAATTAAGTGGTATGATAGTTATGCTTCACGTGATTTCGAGTATAAGTAAGCCACATTCTGTCATCATTTGTGTTACATTGTTTAAATGGTCATCTCTCGTACTTAGCCGCAAGTGTACTTAATGTTCTCAAATGCTCATCTTAAAACTATGAGCGGCTATAAAAAATATTCCTGTTTGGCTTATTCACTCTATTTTGAAGTGATTTATTATTAATAAATTTGTTATTATTAACTTTATTAAATTCATACGGAAAATTTCCCTATTCGTGAAGGTTTCCAATTAGTGAAACGTTTTGATCGTTTGAATACTTTATTTATTGCTACCTAGTTTTATCATCTGCTACTTCGTAAAGGTCCTATGAGAGACAAAAGATATCTGATTAATGTTTCCAAAAATTATTTTTAGGTTTCTTCATTTATAGCTTCTCAATAAAAGAAAATTCTGATGAAAGAGTCTGAGATTGTATAAATAGCTTGTTAGAAACGAGACATGAAATAAATTTGATTAAAAGTGGGCGAATTTTTTTTTCCATCTTTTTTCGTGCCTGTCCACAGATGTTATGTACATACATTGAGCTCATTTGAGATTTGTTGAGTGTGAAGAGCTTTGAACCTTCTAGAGTAATCGCATTTCTCTTTAAGTATAAAAAAATTATGCGACTCTAATAAGTTCACATTGTGTCCATCCTGATTATACATTGAAATGATTTACGAATATTCATTTCATTCGTTTTTTCTCTTGACTTCAGTTCTTGTTTATTCTTCAATTACAGCCAGATTTGTCTGGAATCACCCGCATTTGATGTAGTCGTCATCGATGCTTCTCTCATTTTGAGAGCGCAAAAATTAGCTCAATATTTTTCGTTAGCAGCAGAAACATAGGAAATGAAAAAAAGAAATCAATAACAATTGAACGAATCACATAATCTAATTTGATTGATAATAAGAATAATAAAGGGCAATGAGTAATTATGTTATCGTTTTTTCTTTCCAAACATTCTCAAACTGAGATTGCTCAAAAATAAATAAAAAATTGGTTGTTCTTATTGCAGAATGCGTTCTCCCACTTAAGCCCGATTGGTCATTTTTTTCACCATTGATATTTTCAACCAATGGAACACTCATATCAACTGGAAACTATGACAATAATATCGAAGATATCGCACTTGCAGAAGGAGCTGAAGTTTTATTATCATGCACACCCAATTATTTCCGCGATAATTCGGCTGAAAAAGTTATGAGAGCATTATGTAAGGAAGAACATCTTTTAGGTAAATTAATTTCGTACTAATAATGAACACCTTTTAAAACTCACGAGTTGACATGTCATCAATCGAAATTCTTCATTTTTAGTGGTGAATGGTGAAGAGAAAGATTTTGTTTCAGAGCTTTCATGTGAGGCACGTGTTATTGAAGAGATCGTAATACCAATTAATGGATGTCCAAAAAATCTGAAATCTATAGAGTTTGGTTATACCAATCCCATTAAACAGAAATCTTATGTTTTGGGTGAAGCATGCTACAATACTAAAGGAGGTCGAACAGTTTTCGCTCACATGCGCCTACGATCACAAAATATGGATGTTCAAGAGTTAGCATTGAAGGTCAAAAACGGAGCTTACTTTCGTCAAGAACATCCAACAGCTTTCTACAGAAATGAATTAATAAAAGCTCTAAGAAGAGACGAACATGAAGAGTTTTTAATTCAAATATTAGGAACGAAAGATATTCCTAAAATTGGATTTCAAAAATTTATCAGCTCAAATTTTCTGACTCACAGACAATATCAATCAACATTAAAGCTTACATGGAATTATGCCATTGTAAGCGATCCAGATGAATTAGAGAATCTAGAAAGACTACAAGAAGATATTTCATCTTTAAACTTGAAACATGTTGACTTATATACCGGAACTCATGGAACTCTCTCTAAAACGAATAATGAAGGAGAAAATGTAGAATTGTTTCTGAAAGAGAATAAATTTCCAGTCCCAAAGTACCTTTGGTATGTTGTAAGATCAATGAATAAAGCTACTGCTTTTGCTATTCGAAACACAGCGTCAATTCTAGAAGGAGATAATCAAAAAGATTCCTTCTGCAAGAGTAAATGCGAAGAGATATCATGGCTCAACAAATTATCAGAAAATGAAAACTTCAATAAGCAAGAAAATGGAATTGTGCTCTGTTGTGAATTCCATGAGTTTAGAGAATCCGTCAGCGAAATGCCTTATCTTGACAGCATTACCGAGCTTTTAAAATAAAAATTTGTTCCTTCACTAATCAAATTTGAGATTAAAGTTTAAAAAAGAATCTTGAAAAATCCTTATTATTGATAATTTCATAAGTATAATGTATGTATGAACAGAGATTAAAATTTAAAAATTGCTTGAAATTTATGCATAAGAAAGTCAAAAGCCACAAAATTTTGTAAAAACGAAAAGAAATAAAGCTGGAATTGTGATTTTTTGAAGAACTTAGTTTGAAGTGTTTTTAAAAAAATTATGATTTTTATGTAAATGTTTTGAAGCTTTTATTCATCAGCAACAATCGATAATTACCGGTATGGTGCCAAATCCGTCTTCATATCCTTGAAAAATAAAAACGTAAAGGGAATTTAAAAATCGAAAATTAATGATTGACAATTGTCAAACGTGATTTTAATATTTTATGAGGAGTGTGGAAAGTTTTATTTGAAGTGTGATTGCTTACATTTTTCTGCAAGAAAAAAAATTAGCGTAGAGAAAACGAAATTTCTTTTTTATTTCAACTTCTATTTTCACAATTTAATATGGATGGAGAAATTAAAAATTTATTTAGTATTCATTTTAGAAGAAAAGATTAACACATTGGAGGTTTTCTTGGAAGGTTTGGAGAATTTTTAAACATGAAAACAATCGTGATAGTCGTTTGAGTACTAAGTAACAATTTTCAAACCAAATAAATAAGGTTTGCTTTTTATGGAATATTATCTACGAATATTTTATTGTTTTACCAATGGAGCGCATTGAGAAAAGTTGATAATGATTTTGTTTTCACACTTTATACTCAGCGTTCATTTGAAAATTTGTTTAATAAAATGTAAGTTTTTTGTGTGATTTTTTGAATTAAAATAACGATTTTGAGTTCATCTCTTTTTGCATTCTAAAATTTCAAACAATCCAAATCTGTCTGGAGACGTTTCTAAGCAATTCCAAAGACATTAAATAAAAAGCTCATGTTCCAACTTGATAGCGTAAATTAATAATCGAATAAACAACACGAGGCGAGAGCGAACACGTGACTGGCTCATTCATTTATTTTTCTTTTTCTCTTCTTATTAATGCTCACGATTCACAAACATTTGAATGCAATAAACATATATCTTTTCATTTCATTTTCTCTTCGTTTTATATTATACAGAAATGATGCGAAAAGAAAGAATATTAAATAACTTTGCTATTCCTAATAGCTCTTTGTGTTGTTATCACATTCTTACATTTATGTAAAATATTCTCATTAATTACGTTTATGTAATTGAATTTGTCAGAATCCCAAAGTTATCTTCAGAGCGATTCGTTTTTGATTGGATCAAAAACAATTGAGTGATCGGTAAGTTTCATACCGGGTGTCCTCATTACTTTTTTGAAAAGAAAAGTAAAAGCAGTAGAGAGTCGTAAAAAATACAAACACAATATTGTTCATATCACAATAATGCGCGGCGTGGCGCGGCTGCTGTTGTTGTCCGTCTTATTCTGTCTTTCCATTTTCGGTCTTACCATTTATTCAGTTTGAAGTTTCAAGTTTTCCCATTATTAAAAATGTAACTTCAATCTTTTCTCTTCAATATATATTCAGTTTTAAACTATCGGGCATAAGAAACAGTCAAACTTCGGAGCGGTAACATAAAATATCTACAACATAAACGAAATACGCCGCAATTTGCATGCGTAAATACTTAGTTCTTGGAAAGTGAAATTTTCTGTTTGAATATCAATCATTTTAAGTGAATTATAAAATGCCATCAACAGAATGCAAAAAAAAGTTCAGAACATTTTCATTTAAAAGTCTGTACAATATTAGCAACATAATTGAACTTTCTTCGATTTTTTTATGCATTCGTGTGATTAAAAACTAGTTTCGCGAATCGAAAAATGAATGAAAACTGAGGAGGTGTTTAAGAAGAAAAGAATCATAATTAAATAAGACATTCGTTTGTTCCATTACAAATGAATAAATCTCTATTGTAAATATCGAAAGATTTCGAAACATTTATCACTAAACTTGAATTAAATATAAAAATAAAAAGAGTTGAAGAGCTTAAAGAAGAAAGAGAACAACAAGCAAACATAATGAATAATATCAATTGTTACAAATGGATTTTTATAGTAATCTTCACAATTTTAAGCTGGTTTAGAGTTTATGCAGAAAACCAACAAGAGAAAAGTGATAGTAGTTTCTTCCGATCTGGTGAGTGATCTTAAAAGGTGTAAACTATTGTAAATGATACGTAAAATATTTGAACAAATCTTCATTTTTCTCGTCAGTATTATTCTTATTATTATTATAATTCAATATTATTATTATAA